CGATCAACCCAATTGGAATGCCTCCAAAAAATTTCGCACGTCAAAACAAACGCAATTTTTTTCTGCACGCCTTAAGTTCAAGACACCTAAATGATTTTTTTTCGCTCAGTGCATGTAGTGTCAATGAATTTTATAATTTATATTCGTAGAATGGGTAATCAAGATTTAATTCCACACATTGATACATAAGAAAGACAGTAGGCGGCGATAAGGTGTGTTATTAGGTTGCTATGGTTACTACTTTGTTGCTAGGCGATAGTCGCATGGCAACCTCTGATTTATATGATAAATAACTTTGATTTTGTTAATTTGGCAGAAGTGCGGTGGGAAGTTGTTTTGTCTTTCAATATATTGCGAAATATAAATTCGTGTTTTAAAACCTTAAAATATATATCTGAAATTTAATATATAAAATATATTTGAAAAAAATAATCTCTTAAAAAAAATGAAAGGATATTAGGTACAATATTAGCTTAAATCAAGAGCAAGCGATTTGTTGGTACCAGAAACAAAAATATATCTTCGGAAGATATTTCTCTTTTGAATAAAGAAAACGTTTTTTTGGGCAAAAAATGGAATTTTACAAGAAAACTGCATCTCTTATTTGAAAAGCTTTGGAATTTTCTAATAAAGAAAATTTGTCTTGTCACAAAAGCATATACTATTGACCTAACCACATTTTATTTTGATTTTAGAGCAAATATCTCTTGGTATGTATTGCTTTATTCAAAAGCTTGTGATCTTCACTGAAACTACCAGCGTTGTTAGTATTTAAGCTTAAATTCCCCTCACCACATTTTGATTTTAATTATTGAAACAAGCATTTAACAATTACAATTAAGGACCTTCCACCAAGAATAAATAGAAGCCGCCACTGTTACTCTATCCATGCGTTCATTGAAACGTTAGCACATGTCGATCACTATACTGCGGAGTTGGCTAAGGTCAGTTTATATCGAATAGCTTAAACGAATTGGGAAAAAATAACATTTGTGATGTTGATAAACATGACCTTTTCGTACGAAATGATAATTTATCGTTTTTATTGTAGCTGATGAGTTTGATTAGTTTGTTCATTATTTTTGAAGATTATGTCGAAAAAAAAATTCAGTATAAGTTGAGTAACTGCGTATTTACTTACGATAAAAAATACAGTGGTATTTTGCATGTTTATCAAAAACTAATAAATCTAAATCAATACCACGAAACATTCATGTTTTTTCCCAATGACAAATTCATACCACCACATTAACACAAACGTTTATGAAACAAAATTGATTTATGTAATTTAAAAAAAATGCTGGTAATTTGTTCAAAAATAATAAATATTGCTTTCACGTATTCCAGGTGCAAAGTCTATGTCAATAGCTAATATTTTTTTAATGTATTACTGATAAAGGTACACTGCATTTTGTTGTCTAAGGTTCGGTAAATTAACGTTAATTAATAAAGTGGTTAAAAAAGTGATGGTTTTGCAGTTTTCATTGTTACCTGCATAGAAAAAAATGTTTAAAATAAAAGTTAAATGATTCAGTACTAAAATTGGTCCTCATACTCTCCTTATAGAGGGAACAGGGGGTAACTTTAAAATTTCCAATGGAACACCCTATTTTTTATTTCAGATTCGGATAATTCGACTATTTCAAAGTTTCAAGTTAAATGACACCCTGTATATACCTATAGGTTGTGATTTTTGTGTGATAAAGCCTAAAAAAACATTAAAAAAAAAAGACTTCAACTTGCCATAGAAGAGTTAACAACGTTGTAAATATTTATTTATCTACAAATCTTAAAACAGTCCCCTGACATTTAATTAATTTGGTAAGCATCTATAGGTTTAATCACAGAACAGATGCGTAACAAGTTAGTTTAATTTGACTAATTTTAATAATTATTAACTATATTGTGTTACATTAACCGAATTTAAACCAAAACCAAAGATAAACATTCAATTTTCTTAGTTTCTTTAAGAAACTTTTTTGACCCATCACTGGTAATATTCATAAGAAAAAACTTTGGCGAGGTGTAGGTTCAATTTTTTCTTATGAATATTACCAGTGATGGGTCAAGAAAGTTTCTTAAAGAAACTAAGAAAATTGAATGTTTACCTTAATGTTTAGCCCGGTTGGGTTAATTCTAGATTCCTTTAGGCCATATTAGTATCTGTGATACAATTGCTGTGAGCAGTCCCGGTTGCATAGTATGTACCGATTGCGGCAAAGGCCACGTCGTTTGACGGTGTGGATCACCTGATGTTCTTACATCTCGCCTCTGTTGACTTAACAACTGAGCATATAGGCTCAGGGAGTGATTTGTTTTGATTGTGTTCCACTACACCAAGTTGCCCGACACTGATGAGACCCAATAAAGGTCGAAACAGCTGTCTGTCGGTATTTGAAGTTGGTGGAACGCATTCAAAACAAAAAACTTTGGCGAGGTGTAGGTTCAAAACCAAAGAGTTATAAATTACCGATAGATAAATGTGGTTAAATTGCACACAATAAAATAAGCAAATGGTTTAAATAAACTTGCAGGTTAATTTATATTGGTTATATAACCAATAAGTAAAAGCATCCTAAAATCGCCATATTGTTTGCGTCCATTCTAACAAAAGGAATTTAGTGCAAACGTGTTAAACACTTGAAAGTCAATAAACTTTACAAATTTTACAAATTGCGACTTACCTTTACCTTATCAAATTACGTACATGTATATTACTGGAAAATACTGGAATGTGTGATTTTCGAGAGTGATATGATAAAAATCGTCCAAGTGTCAAAGTACAGATAAAAAGCGAACTAACCAACTCAAGTTGCCATTAAAAAAATCTTTATACACAACCATTAATTACCATAATTATGCAACATTGTAGGGCATGAAGTGTACTTGATTAAATTCAAGATTAAAATCTTCAAAGCAAACTCTAATTAGATTTTATCTCAATTAACCTCTTTTCACTTTGATCGTGTTTGATACGATAAATACAATAATTAATAACAGTTCTTTATTTTGAATAGACGTCACGTATTACATGAACAACGATTGGGTTTTACATGACGGATTAAATTTTTTTTTTCAATTTTGGACGAAAACAATAATGCATCATTAGCGCCACCGTAACAAAAGTACCACTTTTAATAATCAGCTGTCAAACGTGTATGCTACAAACGAGTGTTTTTCAGAATATATCCAAATAAACAGTGAAAATCCGAATGAAGAAATAAATTACATAAAGTCCCTGTAAATATAATCTATTAAAAGCGTTGATTGATAACGGTAAAAACCCAAAAACGGGTATTATATATAAAATTATGTTGCCATGAATTCGTAGGTATATTTTGTTGTTTAAAATGCAGGTGTAAGTTATCTGGACAATCTAAAGACTAGCTTAACTTGGCGATCTTAAAACAGTTATATCTGGCTTAGGTTGACATTCTTAAGGCAGTAGAATTTGGCCCAGGTTTACATTCTTAAGGGCCGGTTGATTAATCTTTGGTTAAGTTCCAGTTAGTCTATCTTGAAGTTAAATTCTATTTCGATCGTTGTAAGAACAATGGTACCCATGGAGATTATCTGCCAAATAACTAACTGCAACTTTATCTGGACATTAATTAACCGTCCCTAAGACAGTTATATTTACCTTAACTTGACGATCTTGACGAACTGTTATATCCATCTTAAATTTAAGATCTCTGAAATATTTTCTACCTTAACTTAAAACAGTTATATCTAGCTTAACTTGACATTTTTAAGATAGTTATATCTAGCTTAACTTGGCGATCTTAAGACAGTTATATCTACCTTAACGATCTTAAAACAGTTATATCTTTAACTTGACGATCTTAGCTAAGCTAACTACATCCATTTGTGTAAGAAATTGTTTTTTTTTTGCACAATAAACATTATTATTATTATTATTATCTTAAAATGGCCTTGGTTGATAGATATATCTAAAGTTGAGGATTTTAAAACAGTTATATCTAGCTTAACAACAATCTTAACACAGTTATATCTGGCCTGGATTGACATTCTTAAGACTGTAACATCTACCTTAACTTGACCATCTTAAAACATATCTTGCTTAACTTAACTATCTTAACACAGGCCAGGTTGACATTCTTAAGACAGTTAGATCTACATACTTGACGATCTTAAAACGGTTATATCTAGCTTAAATTGACCATATTAAGACAGTTATATCTAGAAACTTACGATCTTAAAACAGTTATATCTGGCTTAACTTGACGATCTTAAGACAGTTATATCTGGCATTAGTTGACATTCTTAAGACAGTTGTAATATAATCTATTAAAAGCAAAGCAAAAATGGGTATTATATATAAAATTATGTTGCCATGAATTCGTAGGTATATTTTGTTGTTTAAAATGCAGTTGTCGGCGGTTTTTAGAGGACTCAAATATAAAATGTTTTATTTTAAGGTTATGTTTGTACAACCATTATTTTTTTAAAATGTCCAAACTAAATATATATTATATTGGGTAAAGTTGGCAAAACATGAAAATGCAAAGATTTAGTTCTTGAATAACATTTACGATTAAAACACAATAATTCACCTTGATCACTTGACACACACTAACGTAACTATGTAAGCATATAAGCGTTGATATAAGGAACAATAAATCGAAATCGAGTACTTACTAAACCAAAGTTTGCAGTTTTTACTTGCCACACAAAATTTAAAATAAAAAAAAATTACTTAAACTGTCCAATGTTTTATATTATGCTGGATATGTTATTCTAAATGCCAATTAACCACTTTTTAACCTGATTTTGCAAATTGATGAATAAATAAAAAACTCTTAATATAATAATAAATTAAGTACGCGAAATATGTAAATGGGAATTTTATTATAATTTGAACAGATGTTCCAAGCAACACATGATTAATTCATGATCAAAATCGTCCGAAAAAGGCTAATCCGTTTCGTAAAATTCCTGATGAATGAACGGTTTTATATAATTTTGGTTTTCTTCGACAGCTTGACAAGAATCGGTTTTAATAGGTGCAAAAGTATGTACCAACGCATCAAACTCAAATTGGTTGTTCTACTGTCGAAACCGATCCACATCTCGAGACAATTGCCGAGAAAAAAGGGAAGTTAGTTACAGAAGGGATTCAGACAGATAATTCGGGGGAAGAACCGAGGATATAGAGAGATAGTGGACCAAGGAAGGCGGCTTGGGTTGAGGAGGTTGTCCAAAGTGGTTACAACGGCTTCCCGAACGGTCTCCAAGCGCAAAAACTTGAAGAACCTGCACCTGACGCTGTTCAAGATACCGTCGCGGACGATCAAGTCGTCGTTCAAGATAGACGGGCACGCGGGCGGCGGCGGCGGCGGCAAAAAGCAGCGGCGGTTCGGGCTGGTGCGGAAGGCCTCAGGCGTGGCAGTGACACTGAAAGACTGGTGGCGCGATGTAGGCCTCTGTCCGAAGGTCGCTAGCCCTTCGGCGGGCCTTCATCCCGGAGGAGGCACGGCCGCCGCCGCCGCCGCCACGGTCGGAGGCGGCACACGCAGGAGGAAACAGGCCCAGAGATCGATGGGCCAGTCGTTTAGCGTGTGCAAATTCAACAATTGCCGGCAGAAAAAAAGTAAGTACACGGCGACTTAATAGCGAATCACAGTTATTATGCGTTCGATAAAATGTTTTGGGATTAACAACAATATTTTAAACAAGGAGTCTAGCCCAGGTTAACAATCTTAAAACACTTATTTCTGGCCCATGTTGGCATTAATAATACAGTTATATCCTGAACTTGACGATCTTAAGACAGTAATATCTGGCCCAGGTTTACATTCTTAAGACAGTTAACTCTACCTTAACTTGACGATCTTAAAACAGTTGGATCTATTCTAACTTGACGTTTTTAAGACAGTTATATCTACCTTAACTTGTCAATCTTAAAACAGTTTTAACATACATAGTTAACAATACAAGTTATAACTAGACCAACTTGACGTTCTTAAGAAAGTTATATCTGGCCTGGGTTGACATTCTCAAGACAGTTATATCTACCTTAACTTGACATTCTTAAGACAGTTAAATCTACTTTAACTTGACAATTTAAAACTGTTATATCTAGCTTTACTTGACGTTGACAGTTATATCTGGCCTAGGTTGACATTTTTAAGACAGTTACATCCACCTTAACTTGAAGATCTTAAAACAGTTATATCTAGCTTAATTTGACGATCTTAAGACAGTTGTATCTGGCCTAGATGCCATTAATAATTTATAACCATAACTTGATAATCTAAGGACAGTTACATCCAACTTAACTTGACGATCTTAAAACAGTTATATATAGCTTTTGACAATTTTAAGACAGTTATATCTGGCCTTAGTTGACATTCTTAGGACAGTTGTATCTACTTAAGTGATCGTTTTTAAAATAGTTATATCTAGTAACTTGACGATCTTAAAACAGTTATATCTAGCCTAACTTGACAATCTTAAGACAGTTATATCTAGCTTAATTTCGCGATCTTAACACAGTTATATCTGGTCTGGGTTGACATTCTTAAAACAGTTATATATAATAATAATAATAATAATAATAATAATAATAATAATTTATTTATTGCCCAACAGTTCTCACAATAAAGGACATTCAAATAACAAAATTACAGTAGATACAAAAACAATTAGTAATATACATAAAATAAATAATAAAATTAATTATATATGTATAAAGTGATGTTTAGAAAAAGTAGACAACGGATAAAAAAACCGCAAACATATAATAAAAAAAGAAAATTATTGATAAATATAATAATTAAATGGTTAAAAACATTGTAGTATACTCCTCAGACTAGAAAAATTAATATCACAAAGACTTGCTACTTTATTAAAAGTTAGGGACATTTTTATATCGGCGACCTTACTATACTATATACCCTAACTTGACAATCTTAAGACAGTTATATCTACCTTATATCTGACTTAAGTTTTTAAGGCAGTTACATATACCTACCTTAACTTGAGGATCTTAAAACAGTTATATCTATTTTAACTTGACGATCTTAAGACAGTTATATCTAGATATAACTTCACGATCTTAAAACGGTTATATCTAGCTTAACTAGACGATCTCAAGATAGTTATATCTGTCCTTGGTTGACATTCTTAAGACAGTTACATTTAGCTTAACTTGACGATATTAAGACAGATATCTAGCTTAACTTGACTATCTTAAAACAGTTATATCTAGCTTAACTTGACATTCTTAAGGCAGTTATATCTGACCTTGGTTTATATTGTATATCTTAAATTGATGCTCTTAAAACAGATATATCTAGCTTTACTTGACCATGAAGTTATATCTAGCTCAACTTCACGATCTTAAAACAGTTATATCTATCTTAACTTGACGATCTTAAAACAGTTATATCTAGCCTAACTTGACAATCTTAAGACAGTTATATGTAGCTTAATTTCGCGATCTTAACACAGTTATATCTAGCCTGGGTTGACATTCTTATGACAGTTACATCAAACTTAACTTGACGATCTTAAAACCGTTATATCTAGCTTAACTTGACGATCTTAAGACAGTTAAATTGATGCTCTTAAAACAGTTATATCTAGCTTAACTTGAAGATCTTAAGATAGTTATATCTGACCTGTGTTGACATTTTTAAGACCGTTATATCTACACTAACTTGTCCATCTTAAAACAGTTATATCTAGCTTAACTTGACGATTAAAAGGCAGTAATATCGTTATATCTGGCCTAGGTTAACATTCTTAAGATAGTTAGATCCACTTAACGATTCTAAAACAGTTAATTTAGTTTAACTTTAAGATCTTAAGACAGTTATATCTAGCTCAACTTAACGATCTTAAAACAGTTATATATAGCTTAACTTGACGATCTTAAAACAGTTATATCTAGTTAAACTTGACGATTTACACAGTTATATCTGGCCTAAGTTAACATTCTTAGGACATTTATATTTATTTTAACTTCACCATCTTAAAACATGTTTATATAGCCTAACTTAACAGCTCTTAAGCTTAACTTAACGATCTTAAAAAAGTTATATCTAGCTTAACTAAAATTCCAAAAAGTAATATTATGAATTGTATTCAATACTTTTTACTAATAATAAACGTAACTGTGAAAATCAATGATAAAAATGTATAGTCGTGCAAGACATTTTTGCACTTGTCGTGTGCAGTAGTTAGTGAAGACGGGGGAAATTTTTCCTGCTGTTTGTCCACCATGTTATTTTTAACTCCGCTCTGCGAGTAGAAACGGCGGTGACGTACAATTTCAGTGGGCGCACTGAAACATATCCGTCAACAGACGAACACAAAAAATTATCATCCTAGACTCTTGAACAAACTGAGTTTTTATTTTACAGTGTTTAGATAACTGTTGTGGCAGCAGATCGCGCATGTTGTTTGGGAACAGTAAATATTATTTTGAATGCTTGACAGGCACATAAGTTTTTCGTTATATAAATAGGTGGAATCATAAAAAGCACGATACCCAGCAGCTGCAAAGTATGGCCATCAGTTTTACAATCTTGTAAGGGGATTTACAGCTGAAATTTGCTTAATAAATCAATGTCCCGCTTGTCGCCAATTAATCATGGCCCGGTCTATGCTCAAGCACCTTTAGTCACCAAACGCTAAATCATGAGAATGTCATTTCAAATTTTAGGTATTTTTAGTTTAAGGACTGAAAGATTTGAAAAGACATCTTTCTAAAACGTACTGTCCTGCTCTCCTGTGGCGTTTTACAGAAGCAACCTGCATCTATCTGGCCTGGGTTGACATTCTCAAGACAGTTATATCTAGATTAACTTGACATTTTTAAGACAGTTAAATCTACTTTATCTTGACAATATAGTTAACAATACAAGTTATAACTAGCCCAACTTGACGTTCCTAAGACAGTTATATCTGGCCTAGGTTGACATTTTTAAGACAGTTACATCCACATTAACTTGAAGATCTTAAAACAGTTATATCTAGCTTAACTTGACGATCTTAAAAGAGTTATATCTGGCCTAGATGCCATTATTAATACAGTTATATCTATAACTTGATAATCTAAAGACAGTTACATCCATCTTAAGTTGACGATCTTAAAACAGTTATATATGCTATTGACAATTTTAAGACAGTTATATCTAGCCTTAGTTGACATTCTTAGGACAGTTGTATCTATTTAAGTGGTTGTTTTAAAAAAAGTTATATCTAGTAACTTGACGATCTTAAAACAGTTATATCTAGTTTAACTTGACAATCTTAAAACAGTTATATCTAACTTAACTTGAAGATCTTAAGATAGTTATATCTGGCCTGGGTTGACATTCTTAAGACAGTTACATCAACCTTAACTTGACGATCTTAAAACAGTTATATATAGCCTAACTTGACAATCTTAAGACAGTTATATCTACCTTATATCTGGCTTAAGTTTTTAAGGCAGTTACATATACCTACCTAAATCATGAGAATGTCATTTTAAATTTTAGGTATTTTTAGTAAGAACTGAACGATGTGAAAAGACATCTTTCTAAAATGTACTGTCCTGCTCTTCTGTGGCGTTTTATAGAAGCAACCTCCATCAACACAATAAGCATCGGATTTCTGAAAATTCGGTCAAAAAATAGCAGCTGCATCCCCTAAATGACTCCGGCCAGACCTTGACACAAAATTGTTGGAGTTTCAGATGCACCCGCCGCTTTCAACCCCCCTGTTCAATGATATCGAAATGCATAGGAGAGCAGCTATGCAGCTATTAATAGCTGCAGCCTTCGGGGTTTCGGTTGCTCGCAAAGTAGGTAGAAAGTTCTAAATAGATCAGACGGGAATGCGGTTATCTCCACCCTATGCGAGGGATGTTCTATGCTAAACTGGGTTAAACTGTGATTCAATACAACAATGACGATATCCACAAAAAACTAATAAAACTGATAAAATAGTTTATCCTTGATCTTTATTTATTCATTTGGGTTACCTCAACAGCGACAAAAAATAAAGCAAATACTTATCATAATATTAAATTAAATAAAAATCTGGGAAACATTATTCGAATTACCACTAATATCTTAATTAATCTATTTACGAGCAAAATTAATTATTATTTACGCGCATTTAATTGAGTTGTGCTTGGCCGGGTAAATGCTTAACAATTAAAATGTAAAGACAGTCTGTATGTAAGAAAAAAAATACTTTTAAATTCCAAAAAAAATATTAGCACTGTTGTGTAATGTCAATTAATTTATTCCTGCCTGCCCATTTATCACCATTACAACGGTTAAATAATTGTATTATTATGTAAAAACCCGAACAAAAAGCTTAATGAGCTAATGGAGATATTTATAATCAATTAAAATTATTAAAATTTCCATAAAAAAAATCGTTTGCATATCTGGCCTTGGTTGACATTTTTAAGACTTAACTTGACGATCTTAAAACAGATATTTAGCTTAACGTGATGATCTTAAGACAGTTATATCTGGCCTTGGTTTACATTCTTAAAACTGTTATATCTATCCTAACTTGACGATCTTAAAACTTGTATATCTAGCTTAAATTCGCGATCTTAACACAGTTATATCTGGCCTGGGTTGACATTCTTAAGACAGTTACATAAACCTTAACTTAACGATCTTAAAACATTTATATCTGGCTTAGCATGACGATCTTGTCAGTTATATCTAGCTTAACTTGACTATCTTAAGACGGCTATATCTAGCAACTTCGAGATCTTAAAACAGTTATATCTAGCTTAAGTTGACGATCTTAAAACAGATATTTAGCTTAACTTGACGATCTTAAGACAGATATATCTGGCCTTGGTTTACATTCTTAATACTGTTATATCTATCCTAACTTGACGATCTTAAAACTTGTATATCTAGCTTGACGATCTTAACACAGTTATAGCTGGCCCAAATTGACATTCTTAAGACAGTTATATCTACCTTAACTTGACGATCTTAAAACATTTAAATCTATTTAGCTTAACGTGACGATCTTAAGACAGTTATATCTGGCCTTGGTTTACATTCTTAATACTGTTACATCTATCCTAACTTGACGATCTTAAAACTTGTATATCTAGCTTGACGATCTTAACACAGTTATAGCTGGCCCAAATTGACATTCTTAAGACAGTTATATCTACCTTAATTTGACGATCTTAAAACATTTATATCTATTTAGCTTAACATGACGATCTTGCCAGTTATATCTAGCTTGACTATGTTAAGACGGCTATATCCAGGAACTTCGAGATCTTAAAAAAGTAATATCTAGCTGAACTTGACGATCTTAAAACAGATATTTAGCTTAACGTGTCGATCTTAAGACAGTTATATCTGGCCTTGGTTTACATTCTTAATACTGTTATATCTATCCTAACTTGACGATCTTAAAACTTGTATATCTAGCTTGACGAACTTAATACAGATATAGATGGCCCAAATTGACATTCTTAAGACAGTTATATCTACCTTAACTTGATCTTAAAACATGTATATCTAGCTTAACATGACGATCTTGCCAGTTATATCTAGCTTAACTTGACTATCTTAAGACGGCTATATCTAGAAACTTCGAGATCTTAAAACAGTTATATCTAGCTTAACTTGACGATCTTAAAACAGATATTTAGCTTAACTTGACGATCTTAAGACAGATATATCTGGCCTTGGTTTACATTCTTAATACTGTTATATCTATCCTAACTTGACGATCTTAAAACAGGTTATATTTTTCATTTACCTATATACATATGCATTTGGACGACAAAAATTTGTTTTTCGAAAGCAGCCTTAAAATTTGGTACATATCTAGGAACGTAGCGGACGTCCCAAAACTGGGGCTTCCGCAAGGTACACTACTTGGCCCTTAACAACGCATATCCACGCAACTATTAAACGCCGACTATTTTCGCCATATTCAAAATTTCCGCGACGCCGACAAAAGAAATAAAATCCCAAATTGTAACGTCGACTATTTTCATAGAAAACACTGCGTATCGAAACTCGATGGCAATAAAAACAAACAAGTTGTATCGGAAAATTTTCGGTTAAAATCAGCGCCGGATCTTGGCGGAATAAAATGTGGATCTAATAAAAACAAACAGGTATTTAAATGAGCTAGGAATGGTGCACCTATATTTAATTTTTAGAGTAAATATTTTCACTGACGCTGTTGATGCCAAATGAGTTTATAAAAAAATGTTTATTTTGTTATAATTCTTTATTAACATCGCTATTAATTTTGGGTAGTTTCTCATAATGTATGAAAGATTTCTCAACTTTTCCTGTAACTATATTTTTAACGAAATCGTCTATCAAACATTTGCTGAACACTTCATTGTACATATGGTAGTATTTTTCTTTGTAGACCAAAGCAATAATGGTTGAGTAGTAAAAATCGATGGAAAAATATTCTTCCAGTTCGCTTTGGCTCCAAAATTCGCTCCATATGTATCCCCAATCGTACCTCCCATATTCCAGAGCCACCTCTTTTAAAACCTCCAAACTGTTCAACCTGCATTCGCGTGGACAATCAAACAGCTCCGGCAGAATCAAAATAAAGCAAATTTCTTTCTGGATGCACCGTCTGAAACTTTCATCGTCCATTTCTTGGTTCACTTCCACATTACGCCCGATACTTTTTAAGTTTGTCAAAGCCCAGTCTATAATGTCATCAGGATCATAAAACCCGTGATATGTCAGAGAGTTGTTTTTTGATACATAGATAACAGCAGGAACTTCACTGACTTGATATTTGTTGGCTTTATAAAGGTTCGATGAAATGTCCAGTGTTTCACAGATAATTTTGTGACACAGAGAAGAAGCAACCTTAAAAGTCAATTCAATTTTAAGGGGTTTTTGTGAGTTATGTTTACCTTTTCCCAAGTTTTGTCGTAATACTGAATTGAGTTGTGAAAGAATACTAAACTCTGGTCTATAACATTACTTTGTTGGGTTGTATTAAAATAACTTAATAAAATTAAAATGCACAACTTTATCATCATCAAATTAACTTAAATATTGTCAAAACTTGACATTTTACACAGTGCACTGTTACAACAATCACAGTTAATACCTATTTGATAACAGACCTACATAGTATTATATATATTATAATATATTCTAGCTGATAAGATAAATCGTAAAAGTAAATAATTGGGTAATATGAATTGTAAAATTCCCGTACGAATAAAGCCTAATTTATAGATTGCCTTCCTTCCTCCCTTCCTCCCGTAAAAGATGAACAATACAAAAACCGTTGTGCTGTTTATAGATTCCCGTACGGGAATCTATAAATCCATTCTCGACTATTTGTTTCAGGCTTGCATATCAGGACTTCCGTCGACGCAGACCGGATGCAGCCGGATGGAATCGTATCGAGCAGCGATTCCAACAGCGCTTCCGGCGTCCGACAGCAACGCCAACAACACAACAACGCGAACCACCTTTACGACCCGGAGTACGCGAAAATCGAAGCCTGGCTCGACGAACATCCCGACTTCGTGCAGGACTACTTCTTGAGGTAGGCCAACAAGTTTGTCTCGTGCAAAGGACCCTTTAGCTTTTAAGTGCGAGGTTTGCGACGTGTAAAGGCACCTTTAGCCGAGAAGAATTATTTTTATGTGATGTTTTAGATAAAAAATATTTAATTTATCATGTTACGGTTAACCGGCGTTGCCAGATTTTGTTTAAATTTAGCTTAATTACGAAAATGACAAAATAAAAAATGCAAATTGCCAATTTGGCGTTTTTATTAATTGTTGGTTATTTCATTTTTGTACTGAAGGTAAATTCAAACAAAATCTGGCAACTTTATGACAGAATCTAGTGCATTTCTTTCAAATTTTAGGTTATGTGCTCAAATTGTAAATATCTTAACTAAGGGAAGTGCTTTTGGATTTATTTACACAAATTGAATGTTTAAAGATTAAACTGTAAACTTTTCCTAATTTCTTCTGCGTAAACAGAAAGAAAAAAAACGATGAAAAAATTAATTTTGAGGTTATGGAGTTTTTAAAATAGGTATTAAATTTTTTAATCGTTGTTTAGGGTATTAAAGCATTAAGGGCACAAAATTATTGTTTTTATTAAGTTTTTATTTATTTTTTGCAAGAAAAATTTTTAGTAACAATTTTTTACAACTGGCAACGCGCAGCTACTTTGTTGGTTGGTATCTATCTATCACATAACACAACCAGTGGCGTATCACAAAAAATATAAAAAACTTCTAATGCATATTTTTTCTTTATCTATGGCAAAATATATTTTTTTTAAATTTCCGTTACAACTTATGTCAAAAGTATTTTAATATATTACATTAATTACATACCACCCTTTATAATAGCAGATATTTTAATTTTTTAATTATTTGATGGTAAAAAAAACAATGAAAAAATAAGAGTGTAATTGGGTCATTACAGTCATAGAGGTCCGTAAAATCATCGTAAATTTTGTTATTATCCGCTCTAGTATCTTCTCTTGGAATAATTAAATTTTCTTAATTGCATTACTGGAGTCGAATTTATCGCTTTTTGATAGCCATTGTCTACAAAAAATAACAAATAGGTTTCATATGCAAAGCTGCTTTCGGTTATACGTTAAACATTTGTAATCATACACAAGATCCCCATTTGCAAAACGTAATCTTCTCGGTTAAATTGTATTGCGTGGATAAGATAATTTAGTTATCAATTAAAAGTTTGCGACCATCTAGGCGACGCGAAATTCGCTAAATTTTCCATTAGAAATTCATTAAAATACAAGGCGTTACTTGGATACTCCAGCCAATACTTAAATGTTTCCATGGTAATATTATTAAACTAAGAGACTTTGTTGAAGGTGTTTGAACTCGATACTTTTTTGAAAGAAAGTTAGAGCAAAAGAATTCCTTAAACTTTTTTTTAGGAGTTATCTGTAATACAGATTCTGTATCACTCACACTCTTGAATTATTCTTGAGTTCTTGAATGAGCTCAGGTGGTGTTTTGTAGACTTATGTTTTTAAATTACCAAAAAAAAAATCAAGTGGCGTTAAATCTGGGGATCTTCCCGGTCATTCTCGGGAATCCTTTGTTTCAACCGTTGGCATAACCATTTTTTCTAATATTTAGGTAGTTTGATAAATCAATACAAATATTTGAACTAAAACGTGTAATAACTCTGCTTAAGGTGAATTAAAACTAAGCAAATATTATTTTATGTATAGTGTATGTCTTGTCGTTTGTCCCCATATCAAATTTCAATCTTTAATAAAAGGGGAATGCAAAGCATCTGAGGCAGACAAATAAAACAGGATAAAGTGATGATTTTCACATACATAAGAATCCGAAATAGAGAAATGAATGTCAGAAGTTCCGAAATTCCTTTATCCTTCCAATAAAATAGTTTTTTTATTATCGTCTACTAAACGGCAGAGAAAGAATCTTATATCACCAACGGAATTCTTAATAATAATTTTTTCATTATTCCTTTTTCGCCTGTTTTTCATTACCTAAGAATGTCAATTAAGTTTTTTCGCTGCTTTGGCTGTGGGAATTTTAAGAGGCCATTTTTTTAATTTGATTTGAATATATTAATGAATGAAATGAAATAAACTTTCTCAAAATATTTTATTTCAAGTTTAAACCCAACATTTTGATTTCATAGGTTGGCTATACTTTAAACAGTCTAATATTTTGCATATTGGTTATAATATTTTTATCATTTTTCTAGTACTTACGAGACTTTTCTGGCAATAAATTTTGCTTAACACCCAAAGAAAATCCTTTTTTTCTTATTATTATGTAGATATAAAAACAAATATGTTTTGAAAGTTTCACGTGTTTTATTTACTTTTGACAATTGTTTCGTCACACAGTGACTTCTTCAGAATGTGTGACTGTGTGACGAAACAATTGTCAAAAGTAAATAAAACACGTGAAACTTTCAAAACATGTTTGTTTTTATATCTACATAATAATAATAATATGGAGTTTCATCAAGTAAAGGTCGAAACAATCAAATACCTTTTTTTTCTTCTTTAACTTTAACAGCCGCTTATTGTAAATAAGTAAATTAAGGACGGCATGGCGAATCGATTTTGACATTAACTGCCAAACCAATGACTGTGATACCAACCATCTAAAGTTAAATTCGACCAAACTAAATTTAAGGTATAAAATTAATTTTTTTGATATAGTTTTTGCAAAATAGATAAAATAGCGTAAAAAACTCATGTCATAAGACCTTTTGACGTCTTATGACATTAGTTCTTTAATATACTAATCTTATTCTACAAATAGCAAGCGCTACATATGGACGTACATGTAAAAACTTTTAGTTGAAGAAGTTTTATGAAGAAAGAAAACTATCATCCATACAAAACCAGACTAGTGCACTAGTAGCAAATAATAAAATTTATTTATTTTGGTTAAGACTTATTCTGTTTGTTTTCTCCAAGTAAATTTGTTGTCTAAGATTACACCCAAAAATTTCACTGATGAACCCAAATCAATGTTTAAACCATCTTCAAGATAAATTGGAAGCATACTTGAAAATCCGTAGGTACTCTCTAAACTTAATGTACTGGGTTTTGTTTAAATTAAGTTTCATTCCATTTTTATTGAACCAATCAATCATGTTTTCTTGAGATGAAGTTAAAGTCAAAGTCAGCATTTCAAGAGTTTTACCTTGTTAAGCTGCTGCTGTGTCATCGGCAAACATTCCCTGATAGCAAAATTTGATTTTAAGAATCTTCTAAGATATGACCCGGAATAATGGAATATTCTTAGAACCTTCCCTTATTGCTAAGAATGTTCTTAGGGACTTTTAAAACATTCAATAGATACCCTTTTAATGATGCAATTGGATTCTTAGAAGCTTCTTAAAACCTTCCTAAAAAGCATTCTAAGAACATTTTAAGGATACGTTTTTGGAATGTTCTTAGAAGGTTTCTTATGGAGCTTCTAGGAAGCTTTTGAGAATATTTTCAAATATGTCGGATACCCACGTTCTAATATGTTGGATTCTACATTCGTAAAATTCTTCAGGAGGCGACAAATACGCCTCAATGTCAAAATATGACAGTGAAATGTATTTGTCGTCTCCTTAAAAAATTTTGCGACATATTAATATATTTTTATTTAAAAATATTAAATAAACAATTTGACCTCTAAACCATAAGTTGTATGACATTATTTCATAAAAAGTAAAATTGGAAAATTTTGTGGGATAAGTCAGATTATATTGAAGTTGAAGATAGTTAGGATTATTATACATAAAAATGTTAATTCAGAAATAAAAAATCGGTATACAAATTAATATATATTTATTTTAACATAAAATAAAATAAAAAAAAATATATTTCCTTATAAAATAATTCTTCATAAAAGAAAAAACCAAATAGTTCTTCATAAAAACACATTTTTCATTGTATTTAAGTTGGATAGAAGATTTTATGTAAAAGCCGGATAATTTAGATACCTATACTGCCCTACTATGGAGAAAGGCAGTAACTGCTAAACAAGAAATTTGTGGAAAATTAGCATAAACTACATTTTTATAAAAAGCAGTAGGTATTTAACTGATTTTTTTAACTTATGAGATATTTGACTGCATTTCTGTGTTGAATTCTGTTACAAAATGTCCATAGCTTTACCATAGCACAAGAAAACGCATTTTACATTTTTTTGCGGTTACTGCCTCTCTCCATAGTAGGGCAGTATAGTAAAAGTAGTTTTGTTATAGGAATATTCCTAAATGAACTTTCTATAGCAATTACTTTCTCAACATTCTAAGCATATGTTTAGAGAGGATTAATTTTTACCACTAAACTTTGCACCTTCTAAGAACCTGCCTATAGGCCAGTGAAAATATTCTTAGGATTATGCTATATTTCTTTTAAGCATGTTCTTAAGAAGAATTATAGCATGATCCTAAGAATATTCTCACTGGAAGGTTTAAAAAACATTCTTAGAACGTGACTAGAAGAAATATAGCATGATCCTAAGAATATTCTCACTGGAAGGTTTAAAAAACATTCTTAGAATAAACTGTGCTATCAGGGTTAATATCACTTGTTATCAGATCATTTACATACAATGTGAAGAGTAAAGGTCCAAGAATTGATCCTTGAGGGAGACCATGTTTTCTTGAGATGAAGTTAAAGTCAATAGTTTTACCTTGGTAAACTGCTGTGTCATCGGCAAACATTAATATTTTTTTCATTACTTTCATAACTTATTATCAGATCATTTATAAACAATATGAAGAGTAAAGGTCCGAGGATTGATCCTTGGGGTACACCAAGGACAATGCAGAAGTGCAATTCAATGCTCACAACGTAACTTTTGGTGTTTCAGGAAAGCGACGCGCCAGGTGGTGGACTCGTGGCTCGTGTCGCACGCGACGCCGACGTCCTCCGGCGGCGAGCTAGCGTCGCCGACGCACAACCAGGCGTCGCGCGGCGGCTCGGGCGCCACGACGCCCGTTCGCAAGATATCGGCGCACGAGTTCGAACGAGGCGGGCTGCTGAAACCGATGATCAGCACGATCGACGGCCAGCCGACGTTTTTGACCGGATCTGCCGAGCATCACCAGACGCAGGTCAGCGACAGTCCTACGCCTGGTCGCAGGCAGAGGAGGAGCAGACACGAGCTGAGGCAGCTCGACGAAAAGGAGCTGATTTTCGAGTTGGTAAGTTTTTCTTGCAAAACAAATATTGGAAATATTCCCCAACACCAAAACACGGTTATCGGACACTTTATAGTTATTGGACAATTAACATTAACACTCTAAAAACAAGAAAAAAAAAGTAAGAATGCCAAGATATAAATTAAAGAAAACGGTATAAACACTACTTTAACAAGGTGGGTAGCCGGTACTCGGCAGGAGGAATATCCACCAAGGGCTTCGCTACGAAAGACTCAGTATCACACAGGGGGGCAAACAATTCTAAAGAGGTCACCAGGAACCTGATACTGACTCGGACAGAGATGTTCAGAAATACACCAACAAGGACAGGTTCTAGCAGCGTACCAACACTTCTACCCCCATTCATGAATCCCAATTGAATGGGGTTATTACTAAGGCCCAGGTTGAGGAGGATTCCGGATTGTACTTAGTTTTGGGTCAGTTCAATGTCCTCCAAAAACCCTTCCTAAACTGGGCCGACCCGGCTGATATAAATCCGTGGAGCGGCCTTAACCATAGACACTGTCATCCACGACTTACTAGTCTACTTACTACTCTAAAAACAAGAGTTCTATAAATAGTTACCTTAAAGTCAAATCATTAGATGACGCTGTATACAATTATAACTATCTCAGTCGGTAATAATATAGAACTACTTTATTTTGGGTCCAATATACGACAAAAAAGTTCTCACGTTACTTTGGTGGTAAGATTTTTGTTTTTTGTTAAAAGCAGGGCTGTGTTAAAATTACAATAAAAAACATTTCTAAAAACTGTACAGATCAGTGTGTGGTATAAATGTGTTCCTCATGGATTAAACATGCGTTTTAATTCTAATTCTGAAAACAAACTGTAAAATGGCCAGTGTCCAATTACTGGTTGGTAAAAAATGTACATATGTCCAATATCATACTCTATTTGTATCTAACAACCAATTCTTATGTAAATTTGTCCCCTGAATCCGAAAACTATAGAAGTTAAGCAGTTTTTGAGATATAGTCAATTCCATATTAAATATAAAATTGATTATATTTCAAAAACTGTTCTACTTTTATAACTTTTCACGACATTTTCGGATTCAGCGAATGCTATTTCATTGGAATTGACTGCTAAATATCCTGGACACAAATTGCTGTTATTAGTGGCTATGACATTTTTGACTAATTCATTTTTAGACAGTATGTAATATAGTGATTTCTTCGTCACAGGACATCTTGCAGAATAACAGTGATTTACATACAGTGCATGATAGAAAACATAAAAAACTAATGGCAACAAAATTAATAAATTCGGAAAATACTTTTAACATACTGTAAGGTACACTATGTATTTTCGTAACCCGATTCTTTAAGTATACTGAAATACTTATTTTGGCATATTCGTGATCGTCTAGATAATTTACTTACTTTATACAAATTAGGACTCTACGTTGTGTATTTACTTACATTGATAATAACGATATTTTGAAATTGGTCAGGTTTAATGAAACGCAAGCATTTAATTTTTAAACCCCTGATTTAATTTAAGCAAAGACAAAGGGGTGGCCCGTTGAGTCAAAGCACAGGGAAAAGGGACCATAAAAACCCTGGCGACTTACACAGTTCAAATAAAAATAAATTACAAAACAAAACATAGTCATATGGGTCATAATCACAAGAATACAGTATAAATAATAAGTGAATAAAATAACATAAAAAGCAGCTAAACATATTTCATATAATTTGGGTGTTTTTATCAATACTCAAAACATTTTTGTACTCAGGTAAAATAGCTATAATAGAGATCGTCATTTTATGACGAAGTGTTTGTTTACCTTACCACGCATCTTCGAACTATTGAACGAGGATACGATTTAATATAAATAAACTACAGTAACGACACATTTCAGATAGAAGGAATTCAAATGCTTTAAAGGGGAGAGGAAACATGGACAAAATGTAATCTAGTGCAGATATTTAACCGTAGCCAATAACCACTCTATGGGACAATTGCATACTCTGTGAAGTGATATAACGTAACCTAATGTCCCTATCTCACTATAGTATCCCTATATCACAATATGTTCAAATATCCTCACAAAATCAATGTCCAGCACAAGACAACAGTATTATGAAAATATACAAACAATTCTGCACACAGAGTTTATAAGTAGGTAATAACATAACGACACCAAATGTTCCTATCTCACTATAGTGTCCCTATATTACCTATGCTCAAATATTCATGTATGAACACCCTCCAAACAAAATATAAAACAAATACAAAACAAATAAATATGCAATAAAATAAAATAGTGTAAAATACAATACAATAAATAAATGGTGGTAAATATGAGAGTGTCATAGCAAAAACATACAAGCATAGCCTAAAACTCCAACTAAAAGAAAGTGTCGTACCGAACAAAATAATATTTAAACCCAATACAGTACCGAAAAGGTCATTATCAAATATTCCAATTAAAGCGCTTAGATAAGCAGTTTAAATCCAAGTCTATAACCAGAATCTATCAAACAATCTAAACGGCACTAATACCTTACCAAAATATTACCTAATGGTAATATCAAATTTAATAATAATAATAATAGCAATTATAATAATAATAATAATAACAATAAACCTTACCCAAATAATACCAATTTTATAATAGTAATATAATTGTTAAAAGCTTTAGCCTGAGTACAAATGCAAAGAGTTAAAATAAATAAATACCTTAATACCGAGATGATACACTGAGTTTCATAAACAATAAAATACATTTCAGTTAAATAAAAGTTATACAAAGTTATAAAAAAAAGGAAACAACAAAATCAAGGCCAGTGTAACCCAAAATAAAGACAATACAAAATATTAAAATTTAAGTTAAATATAAGTCAGTGTATATAGTAAATGCAACAACATAAAGATTCGAACTCAGTGTATGCGCGATCCCAAGATATTAACCAAAATAATGAAATAGTGATACAATAAAAAATTATTACCAAAAATCACTCGCTATTTACACACATTAAAATGATTAGGACCCAATAAACTAGCAATGATAAACGTCATAGACAAAAATGCGAATTAAATAATATTGTTCAAAATTATAAGCAAATTATAAGCAAAAAAACGAGGAGTTGTTTATCATTACTAGCAAATTTACAATTTGCTAAAAGAGTACATACCTAATAATTATAGCAGAAAATCGGTAACAATCACAAAAACTATAACTATATTATAATATATTTCACAAACAATTTAACAGGAGTATCTCGAAGGGCGAGCAAAAACTCTCTGTGTATTCTATTTCCTAAACTAGCTTTTAAACATCTCGGCCACTTAAGCAAGAATGTGTCATATAAACATATCACCCCAATATTTCTACGTTCAGATACAACGAAGTGAAATATTAAAACTCAATATGATTTTAAAACATAAAATAACTTATAACTATAATATTATTTTTTTCGTGGATTATTCAAAATTTCCTTGGTTAAAATAGCGCCAAATTTGAATTTAGAAGTTTATATACTACAGGACCCTTACAATACCACCCAAAAAAATATTAAATAAATGTTCCTGTTCCGGCCTAAACATTATAAATGCTTCACAAACTAGAGATACCACACTTAATGATATTTGCAACAAACTATTTCAGAAGTCAGACCAAGAAATTAGTAGTTACCTTCAGAATCCAGAAAAGGGATGAGGAATCCGAAAAAGAAATATATGAATTATATGATATTTACAAAAACGAAATAAAAAATTACCTAGAACAGCAATTTATCTTTAAAAAATATTTAACAATTTATGTTATTTGATGTAAAGTTGTTATGTTTATATAAATATTGTATGTCCAATAACTATATGTCCAATTACTATATAAAATGTCCAATTACTGTACTTTTTTGCATGTTTTTTTAAAACTATTATTAAAAATTTAAATATTCTTATTTTTAAGTAAACGTAAATAAAGTTTAAACAATCAAACTATCCTTTTTATATATTTATAAGAAAAAAACTAAAATCTTTAAAACAGCGGCATATATAAATTTAAGTGTCCAATAACCACAAAATCGGGTAATAAAAATCATAAGCCTATTTAGCGAATATGTTCCCCCACAATAAAAATTCAATTTTCTGGTGTTTAATACCAGAAAGTGCCTTCAAGAGAAAGAACGACTTAATACGAGATTTTTGTTGAGATATCAGACACTATTATCTTATCGTTTTTCCCCCTTTGTTATGTATTCTCTTGCTGCTTAGAACCCATTTAAAACATGTCAGTTTGTTTTCCCAATTTAAATATTTAGTGAATCCTTGAGAGAAATACATAAATGTACGTCTAAAAAAATAGCTTGTTGAGTTCAATGGTTTTATATAATTCGCTCGTTTCTCATTCGTGGTCCATTATAAATTTCCTATACGCTAAAGAAGTATCGTTAGTAGCGCCACCACTCGGCTGTTATCATCGTTACAAAATTACGACTTTTAATAATCAGCTGTCAAACGCTTATGTTACAAACGAGTGTTTTTGAGAATGAAGCCGGAAAATGTTAAAATATTCCGTAAAAATACCCGGTATTTGTTGTGTAGTTGGGTGTATTTTGAGAGGAAATCCTGGGTTGAGTTTTTACCGGTGTTAATATGAATGAATAAATAAATTGCATACAGTCTCTGTAAATATAAATTGTACCTATTAGATACAATAAATACACATTTTAGTAGTGATTAAAGTGAAAGAGTAAACATTTCAATTCATTAAAAATTGCCAAACAAATAAGTCGTCTAAATTTAAACAGCATTTAGCATTATTAAAAGCGTTGATTAGGAAAGTCTCCACTCAACGGTAAAATACCATTATATTATATATTATATATAATATTATGTTGCCATGAATTCGTAGGTATATTTTGTTGTTTAAAATGCAGTTGTCGGCGTTTTTTAGAGAACTCAAATATAAAAATGGTTGATTTTAAGGTTATGTTTGTGCAAAAATTATTTTTTACTAATTTCTTCAAAATGTCCAAACTTAAGTATAAATTATATTGGGTAAAGTTATCATTAGTTAATTCTGCACCAACAAATGTACTTACCGAATTGGATCGTTTGGCAAAACATGATTATTTACAATTAAAAACACAATAATTATTATAAAATACACACCAACGTAACTATATAAGCATTTAAGCGTTGAGTGATATAAGGAATAATCCATCGAAATCGAGTACTAAACCAGTTTTTTTAGTTTTTTCCTTGCAACGTAAAACAAAAATAACGTGCGCGATTTAGCTGTGCAATTGAACAAAATTTGCCGAGTAAGACTTCTGCCTTCCTCTCTTTTGTAAAATTTTATTATTTATTTAAAAATGATGAACAGTTCGTATACTGTTGACAATTCTTAAATTCACGCAATGCTATCAAAGTCCACCAGATGGCGCGGGCGTTGCGAAAATACTATACTTTAGCGTGTATGCAATTCTGGAAGAAAATATTTCTGCAAGACGCACAAGTTAGATAGACACCCTGTATATATAGTAAATAAGCAGATGATTTGCTTCCTTTTCGTACAGAAAGCACCTGTCTCAATGTTTCCACTAAATTGTGATATACGAGTCGCTTTTCTCGGTATTTAATGGAATGAAGGATAAGCTTTTTATATTGCACGAAATCCACGAGAGATAAATTTAAAACGTCGACCTTGACCCGCGCCCCGTTCATTCTTTCTTCGTGCACTTTTTAGCAGGAGATGCGCTGCCTTATCTCTCCGACTGTAACAGCGTTTGCTCTCGGTTAATAATAGACGATATTCTTGGCTTTAGAATAAGTAGTTCGAAATAGAAAAGACGATCTAAATTGTTTTGAGGAGGTTTGGACAGTGCGTTGAGGGGAAAGGGGCAAGGGGAGTTGCTTTCATACTTAATTCATAAATAGCGTAAGGTACCAACATGCAAAAACAAAATTCACTTTGTCATTTTATTACATTAAATTTTGATTTGAAAACCAGCCAATTTTCCAACTGATTTTTATAATTATTTTTTATTTTAATAGAAAATGCACTATATACAAATACAAGGTGTTTCACATTCGTTAATACTTGTAGTGGCTTAAAAATAATTATAATGTATACGCTAAAGAAGTATAGGGTTTTCGCAACGCGCGCGCCATCTGGTGGACTTCGATAGCATTACGTAAATTTAAGAATTGTCAACAATACATTTAAAGCAGAGATTATACATCATTTTTAAATAAATAGGTAGTTTTTTCACAAAAGAGACGAAGGCAGAAGTCTTACTCGACAAATTTTGTTCAATTGCACAGCTAAATCGCGCACGTTATTTGTGTTTTACGTTGCAAGGAAAAAACTAAAAAAACTGGTTTAGTACTCGATTTCGATTGATTATTCCTTATATCATTGAAGAAACTCAACGCTTAAATGCTTATATAGTTACGTTAGTGTGTTTATTTTATCTAAGGGATCATAGTGAATTATTGTGTTTTTAATTGTAAATAAAATTCAAGAACTAAATAGTTGCATTTTCATGTTTTGCCAAAGGATCCAATTCGGTAAGTACATTTGTTGGTGCAGAATTAACTAATGATAACTTTACCTAATATAATTTACATTTAAGTTTGGACATTTTTAAGAAATTAGTAAAAAATAATTTTTGCACAAACATAACCTTAAAATCAACCATTTTTATATTGTTCTCTAAAAAACGCCGACAACTGCATTTTAAACAACAAAATGTACCTACGAATTCATGGCAACATAATATTATACGTATATAATACATAATATAATGGTATTTTACCGTTGAGTGGAGACTTTCTTAATCAACGCTTTTAAAAATGCTAAATGTTGTTTAAATTTAGACGACTTATTTGTTTGACTGAATTGAAATGTTTAGACTTTTCACGTTAATCACTACCAAAATGTGTATTTATTGTATCTAATAGGTACAATTTATATTTACAGAGACTGTATGCAATTTATTTCTTCATTCAGATTAACACCGATAAAAACTCAACCCAGGATTTCCTCTCGAAATACACCCAACAACACAACAAATCGAGCCACGGTTTTTTTCCGATATTTTTTAACATTTTCCGGCTTTATTCTCAAAAACACCCGTTTGTAACATAAGCGTTTGACAGCTGATTCGTACTTTTGTTAGGATGATAACAGCCGAGTGGTGGCGCTACTAGCAATACTTCTTTAGCGGATAGGTACCTTAAAATTTTGTGATAATCCCAATATCAAAAAAAGTTTTATTTTGGTTTTGTACAAATTAATACAAAACACAGCATAAAATAAAAAAAACTGAACTTGTCATTAATGCCACCCTAAAACACGAGCGGCCCCGTAACACCACCTTGTGGAACACCCAACCTCAAATCGTTTACTTCCAGGTAAAAGACATCTGCAATGAGCTGGAGGTGCGCTCCCTCTGCCACAAGATCCTCCAGAACGTCTCGATGCTGCTGCACGCAGACCGCGGCTCCCTCTTCCTGGTGCAGGGGGAAAAGGGGGGCGGTTGCACCCCCCTCCCCCCCGGCCAGCTACCGCGCGGCCGCTGCCTGGTCTCCAAGCTGTTCGACGTTTGCTCCAAGAGCACCTTGATGGAGATGGAAAAGAAGGACGAGATCAGGATACCTTGGGGGACGGGGATTGTAGGTTATGTTGCCCAAAGCGGCGAGGCTGTGAACATTCCTGACGCCTATCAGGTGAGTCATGTCAATTTGACAGGTTTTTGTTATTACCCGTTGTATAATGCACAATCCACACAAGGTCTGTTCTATCCCATCCTAAAAATACTAAAAATCACTGCACAGAGTTTAACGGCGGCCATTTTTGTTTACAATTCTTGTGCTTTGGGTTTGTGCTGTTTAATAATTGTTTTAAACGTTGTGGCACTTGTAAGCCTCAAATAAGGCCTTTAAGTGCTAAGGACAACCATTTTACTCCTCTTTTATAATAAATATACCTTATTCTATCAGGGCTGTCAAATGACAATTTGAAGGTTAATTTGTGGGTTATAATTTAACCTTAAAATTGACATTTGACAGTTTTATGACAGCCTCGATAGAATAAAGTTTATTTTTTACAATAGAGGAGTAAAATGGTTGTTCTTAGCACTTTAAGGACTCTTTTAAGGCTTACTATGAGAAACACAACGTTTAAAACGATTATTAATCTGTATAAACAGAGCACAAACCCAAAGCACAAAAATTGTAAACAACAAAAATGGCCGCAGTTAAACTGTGCAGTGTTGCAGTGATTTTTTGTATTTTTAGTACGAGATAGAACAGACCTTGTTGTGTGGATTGTGTTATAATGTAATATTACAAGTTTTTTTTATATTTTTTGTGATACGCCACTGGTTACACACTTTTGTTCTGAGTATATAGATACCAACCAACAAAGTAGCTGCGCGTTGCCAGTTGTAAAAAATTGTTATTAAAAATTTTTCTTGCAAAGAATAAATAAAAACTCAATAAACACAAGTTTTATGCCCTTAAAGGTCTAATACCTTCTGTATTTATTTACTCATCCAGCTATTAGCTTAAGCAATGATTAGAAAATTTAGTACCTATTTTAAAAACTCCATAACCACAAAATTAATTTTTTCATCGGTTTTTTTCTTTCTGTTTACTCAGATGAAATTAGGACAAGTTTACATTCAATTTATGTAAATAAATCCAAAAGCACTTAGTTAAGATATTTACAATTTGGGCCCATAACCTACAATTTAAAAGAAATTCAATAGATTATGTCATAAAAGTTGCCATATTTTGTTTAAATTCACCTTCATTACAAAAATGACATAATCAACATTAATAAAAACTTCAAATTAACAATTTACATTGTTGATTTTGTTATTTTTGTAATGAAGCCAAATTTAAACAAAATCTGGCAACTTTTTCTGACATAATCTGGAAACGCTGGTTGTTACCAACCATAACATAATAAATTAAATTGGGCAACCAGATTAGCCTAAAGTTCCTAGTCGATCAGTAGCGTACTTTTTGGTAGGATAAGGGTCTGTAATAATTATTATTAATTTTTTATGTATAACTAACACTATTAAAACCATAGGAATTACACTGGGAGTCATTTTTAAAATATAGCGTTAAACAAAGGTTCATGTAAGTTTTATATACAGAAAACATTTGGCACTTCAATAGTTTTTTAAAGTGACATTAACTTAATACTGAAAATTGCCATACATATATGTTTTTTTATGGTCAAATATACAAATATAAGCCCAAAAAGGACCATTGCAATTTTATCAAAATTAATATTTTTATTAAAAGATTCCTGTAAGAAAAGCTTTGGCTAAAAATGCCATCATTAAGCCATGAAACTATGTAATGAGCCATTACATAATCAGAGAATCCAAAATATCATTAAACTTAAAAAAAATTGAGTAATATTAACACCCTATTTCTATTTTTACTCCTTGAAACCCGACACCATAGATCATAGATAAATTAATTAAAAAGATAATCCATCTTGGAGCTTTTTCAATTTAGGCTTGGCACGACAAAATTTGTTTGCGGCGTTCACGTAAATTTTAATTAATTCCGCAAAATGGCTCTCGACTATACAAAATTAACGACACAACGTCGTCTAATCTATTTACGCGCTTGCCAAATTTTCTTTCAAATTTTGACTCAAGAGACTATTGCAACATCTGGCAACATTGCAAAGGGTGACAAAGTTGTGGCTTTATGGCGCTTTAGTCACGGACTGAAGTAAGCAACAGGTTTTTAGTCACGGGCCGAAGTTAATTTTAAGTTAGTTGACAATAATTGTCAAATATCATACAATCGTTAAAATAAAGTGCCTTTCTTGTAAAATAATACTGAATGTAAAAATCTCAATTTAAAAATACAAAAGTTTTGAATATATTTTTCAAATATTGGCGTTAAGAAACTATTTAATACTTTTGTAGTTTTGTATTGAGTTAATAAAATAATTTTCACATTTAGTATTATTTTACAAGAAAGGCAATTTATTTTAACGATTATATGACATTTGACAACTGTCAACGAACTTAAAACTAACTTCAGCCCGTGACTAAAAACATGTTGCTAACTTCAGCCCGTGACTAAAGCGCCATAAAGCGACAACTTGTCAATGTGTATTTAAAAGGTCACTTAGTGTCATGGAAACATGTACGATAAAGGGCGTTTTAAAGGTGGGAGTTGAAAAAGTATATTTTAGATTAAAAACTATTTTTACAAATATAGCTTTTTAATAAGATAATATTATTTGCTAGACTCAATAAAATCAATAGTCGATTACTAACTTGTCAAGGCAAATAAATTACAAGAAAATAGCCGAGAAAAATCTTTCCGAAACATTTAAAAATTCCTTGCTTTATCGTAATTCAAACAAAATGAAATAAAGCAAAGGCTTCTTTGCATAAAAATCCCATAAGGAATCGCGTTTTCCCGACCGCAAATCTCACTTTTGTTTGCGGATTTATTAACGTTCACTTTTTTGAAAAATGGATTTAAAATAACGCCTACTTTCAAAGAAATTTGCACTTTTCTCAAAGACTTCAACTTTGCCCATAAATTACTATGTGGCATGACAAATTTAGGTCGAACGTTAGATTTGCTGGATTAAATGAGCGGTTTACTTTTTGCTCGAAATTTAACTGGGGTATAATATAATTTAATTTAGGGCTAGTAAGGAAATCAGGCTACAAGGTTGGTGAACCGTTTGGAAGTTATCCAAACATTTTACGTTCAGGGGATAGACAAAAAATTGCACATTATAAGAATACAGGGTGTCTTCCTAATTCTACAAAAGTTGGGCAACTTTTGACCTCATTTTGTTTATATAGTTTTCGGAGAAAATTAAACAGTATTTTGTTATGAGAACATAGATAATATAATAAATATACTTTTTCAAACAGTTTCTGAAATATCTGTGTTTTCTAAATTAGAATGCAAGGGAAGTGACGAGTATACCAGGGTACTAATTAAATACATAATTTATTGCAACTTTGAGCATATTATATGTACATTAAATATCTTAAAATCAAATAATACCACACATCAGTGGCGGCTGGTGGATTTTGGGTATACCGATATCTCATTATTAGATATGGGACCCACACCAAATTTATATGAGTTTATAATGACATTAAATAAACAAGTTCTGCGCAAGCAGAATTTAAATTGAAGTTTGCGAAAAAAAGATAACCGAAACATCGAACATGGAACTGACGACACGGTACTGATGAATGGGATACAAATTTGACATTATAATTCGGAATTAAGTATTTTACTGATATTTTTTATTAGTGGATGCTACTTATCAACAAATCACATATAGCCAGCCTTATATAAATTACAATGAAATATATATACGTAAGAAAATAACTACTCACCACAGTACTGAAATTTTGACTGGAACTATACGTGCATTCACCACAACTTCGCAGCTTGCATTGTTTTCAAGATGACTGTCGTGCAAAGGGTGGACTCTGAAGGTAATTTTTTTACCAACACTTGAGTTAAAACGAGGACTTGACGTTTAAACTTCAATATTTCGCAGGAATTTTGAATTTTAACATTGGACACAGAACTGACGGGTAAAAGTTAGTACAAAGATTATCAATTTTTTAAAAATTGCTATTATTCGAATTTATGATAAAATATGAAAAATACATTATTTAATGTTTTATAGTTTGTAGTGAAATTGAAAAATTTAAGATAAATTGAATATATTTTAAAATAAAACCACTCAAATATTTGAGTCAGGAGTTGTGACACGCCAAGGTACTGATGTTTTGAATATTTATTATGTTTTTCTACAAACGTGCTTTTAAAAAAATACATTAAAATTGGGTGGACAAGTTAAAAAAAACTAGATATTTTGTAATATACAAAAATATTTACAAAAAATATTAAAATACCTACTCTATTGACTGATCAAGTTGTCCAACTTTTGTAGAATCACCCATATATTACAGGGTATGTAATTAATGTAATATTTTAAAACGGGTAGATACTTTGTACTTACAGAACACAAGTGTGTAACCAGTGGCGTATCACAAAAAATATAAAAACTTCTAATGCAAATTTTTTCTTTATCTTTGGGATTTTTTTTTTAATTTAATATTTTTTTTGTACAGATTGAAACTCGTTTTAAACGCTAGTTTAATTAATAATTATACCACTGTGCGATTTTTTCCCACAATTTTTAATTCTGAGTTACTGTGCGAGTTTGTCCTACCATTTTTTTAAACTTTTGATATTTGCATAAATTTAGCAGTACTGTGCGAATTTTAACTTGTAAAAATTATTATCATATTCCAATCATTCCATCAAATGAAATTATTCAATTAAATAAGGATTTTAGTTTAAATTTACTAATTCAGCTATAATTCCATTAGCTTATGCATTTCAGTGCAATATTTTATCAACATTATGCAGATCTACATCTAGATTTAATTAATTAACTATTACAATTAGTCGAGTACTTGGCATTAAATAATTACCACGTTATAATTATTAACATTCTTTTTCAGGATAATCGTTTTAACCACGATATCGACACATTGACCGGTTACAGAACGAAAACTTTGCTGTGTATGCCTATCAAGGACACAAACGGAGACGTTATAGGTGTGGCACAGGTAAGTAGGTCCTTTGAAAAAAGGATAACGAAAAAAAGGCGACACACGTGTACATACTCAACTAAATTTATTCATCCTTTTAAAAGAAAAAAGGACGTCTTCTTTACTGGATTGTTCCGCATATCTTTATTTTACCTCATGAAAAGTCCTTTTTTGAACCCACCGTGAAAAACTTTTATGATGCAGCTTCCTTTATAGCATGCATTACATAATTTGATAGTCGAAAATTACCATAGAAATCGCTGCTGTACACTGTAAACCCCCAGAAAATATCGGCATATCCTTAAACGTAATCCTTTCAGGTTATAAACAAACTAGGGGACCAACCGTTCACTAAGACGGACGAGGAGGTGTTTTCGAGTTACTTGCAGTTCTGCGGCATCGGTTTGAGGAACGCCCACCTCTACGAGAAGTCGCAGTTGGAGGTGAAGAGGAATCAGGTCCTCCTGGACTTGGCCAGGATGATTTTCGAAGAGCAAAGCACCATAGAGCACGTCGTCTTCCGCATTCTAACGCACACTCAAAGCCTGATACAATGCCAAAGGGTTCAGGTAAGAAACATTTTTTTAACTTGTCCAAAGTCTTCTTCATCAAAATCGGGCACATTTTCCACTAATGACATTGATTTTAGCATGTGATTTTATTAGTTAGTTACACAATTGTAGATATTTTAGCGTTTCGTCAGTTTACCTTATCATTTTAGCTTGTCATCTTTTTGCAGTTAATTATTTTAGCTAATCGTTACTTATTAGTCGTCATTTGAACTTGTCATGTTTTTAAATAGTCGTTATTTTAGCTTGTCATCTCTCTAGATCGTCGTATTACTTGCTCATTATTTTATCTTGTCGATATTTAAGTCAGTCGTTATATTTTCTTGTCATTATTTAAGCTTGTCGTCATTATAGCTTATCATTTTTAATGTTTCAATATTTAAACTAGTCGTTATATTTTCTTGTTGTTATTTAAGCTTGTCATCATTATATCTTGTCCTTATTTTAGGTTGTCATTATTTTATTTTAGCTAATCGTTATTTATTACAGTCGTCATTTGAACTTGTCATGTTTTTAAATAGTCGTTATTTTAGCTTGTCATCATTATAGTTTGTCCTTATTTTAGCTTGTCATCTCTCTAGATAGTTGTTTTTTTAGCTTGTCGCCTTATTAAGTCGCCATTTGTCGTCATTATAGCTTATATTTTCATTATTTTAACTTGTCGTTGTATTATTTGCTCAATATTTTATCTTGTCAATATTTAGGGCAGTCGTTAAATTTTCTTTTCGTTATTTAAGCTTGTCATCATTATAGCTTGTCCTTATTTTATTTAAGCTAATCGTTATTTATTACAGTCATCATTTAAACTTGCCATGTTTTTAAATAGTCGTTATTTAACTATGATTTCGCGAAAGAATCGAACGATTTTGGGGTATTTTTTTATAACACATCTCAGATTTTTTTTATATTTTAATATTGTGTTTATACATCTAATTCCAACATAAATCTAAAATTTTTTTTTTATCTGACCTAAACTTTGGCTCCCAGAGACCATCTAATTTTACCTTTCGCAAAAAGCCATAATTTCATTATATTAGCATAATTTTTTTATTAAAATACTGAATGTTTTGAGATGTGGTCCATAAATGACCCTTATTAGTACCTACAATTCTACCAAAAAAAAAATTAAATTTTTTACATATAGGTGGCGCTGCAATTTTTTCTTCTTCAAAAATAGACGTTTTTTGAGGACCAAAAACTCTCTTAAGCAACAATGCTCAAAAAAACTAAATAGTATACCAGATAATACACATATTCCTTTATAATTTGATATATAAAAATTTACTTGCAAATGATGTTGCCGCCCGTAAAGCCAACTTAAAGTTTTGTTTACCGCATTAAAAAAAATTGAATTACACTTACAACTTTATTATTTATTAACTAAGGAATTCCAGGAGATTACTTTTATTGGTAACAATAACACAGCAAAAAAAAGTTTTATTTTTTCACACCCAGGGGGCGCTGCAGCCTTTTTTCTTTAAAAACTATATAGCATTTCAGATAATATAGTTATGTATTCCTTTATTATAAAGAGTTACGTATTCCATTATTTATTTAATAGGTTTGTTCTTTATTTTATTTATTATGTTTTTCTTTATTATTATTATTGATATTACTATTTCTTTATTATTTAACATATAACAATTTATCTGCAAGATTTGCATATATTAAATAATAAAGATATATCCTAATAATTATTATAATAATAATAAGTATTACCTTTACATTAAATTTTAAACTTGTTGGGCTCTAAGGGGTATATTCGCTAACTTTTTAGTTATAAATAACCCTGGTTTATATCCTACTGGCTGGTTCAAATCTCTAGAGCGATTCTCAGAATCAGTCTAGATATTTTAAGCAGGGTTATTTATAACTTAAAAGTTACTTAGGCCGCAAAGGAACTACTTTCAAACTGATAAAGCTTCAAAAAAACTTCCGCTTCTGGGCTAATTTCTTCAATTTCTTCCGGCAAATTTTTAAATTTTCTTTTTCTATTTTTGCTTAACCTTCTATCTGACGATAATCTTGATAATAAGCCGCGTATCTGATTAGGATGCATATACTCGTTTGAAGAAAACTAAAATTTGCCATTTACTTCATAATCTTGTAAAGCTGTTGTTATATATTCAGGCGTATATTTAATTTTAGTTTTTTCACCTTCTTCAAAAAGGTTGCCAACAAAACCTTTTTGTTTTTCATTAAAACGTGATTTTTTAATTTTGCGCCTTCCGAACCCTTTTGCATATACTCGAAAAAACGTATTTTTATCTTCTTCATTTGGGCATATATTGACGGTAGATATTGTTGAACTAGTTGCATTTAAAAAAAACATCTTTTTGTTTTAAAAATTCCATTCTAGCAACATCACCTATGGTTTGTCTAATTTCAGGAAATGTATGATTTTGAAATTTAAGGTGGTTTAGAAGATCATCTTTATTTTCAAAAACCCTACTGCAAAGTAATTCGTCGCATCTATATTTAATTGCTTTTAAATTATTTAGATTTTCCTTTTGTCGACTCGATGATGTCCAAGGAACTTTTATGTTTACTCCAGAAGAAAATTCAATTCCTAGAATTTTGATTTACTTAAAGAAAATTTATTAACTTTGCGCATGATATTTTCCCTCTCCAATTTCAATTTTTGTAATAACGGCAAAATTTTAAATGTTATTATGGTTACCGTTTGACAGTAACTGTCAACTGTTGGGGTAACTTGATTCCCAGCCTATAGGCTTGACTTTAGTTTAATTTTAAAGTACGATAATAAAGAATGCTTTGCCTCTCGAAATATACTAAAATGTTTAAACAAATGGTCATATTACTATTACTATAACTATAGAGTCACTGAAATACTTGTTACCATTTGTAATTAAAATTTCTTTGGTTTTGTTACCTTTTGTCCGCATACAACAATAAAAGCGAAAAAAGGCGTTTATATAACAATATGCGGGTACGTGCACTAGTTATAATTTTAATCGTCCCTACAACAGGCATTAATTATTGCAAATAAATTTTTATATGTCAAACAATAAAAGAATATCTATATTATCTGATACATTATAAATAATGTCATTAGTTTTTTAAGCAATGTTGCTTAAGTAACTTTATGGTCTTTATAAACGTCTGTTTTTGAAAAAAAGGCTGCAGCGCCCCCTGTATATAAAAAAATAAAACTTTTTTTTGTTGCGTTTTAGTAACCAATAAAAGCCATCACCTGGAGTTCCTTAGTTTAAAAATAAGGATAGAGTTGAAAGTGTAATTCAATTTTTTTTAATGCGGTAGACCAAACTATAAGTTGGCTTTACGGGCGGCAACATCATTTGCAAGTAAATTTTTATATGTCGAATTATAAAGGAATATCTATATTATCTGGTACGCTATTTAGTTTTTTTGAGCATTGTTGCTTAAGAGAATTTTTTGTCTTCAAAAAACGTCTACTTTCGAAGAAAAAAAAATTGCAGCGCCACCTGTATGTAAAAAATTAAAACTTTTTTTTGACAGAATTGTAGGTACTAATAGGGGTCATACATGGGCCAAATTTCAAATCATTCAGTATTTTAATAAAAAATGTATGCCAAAATAATGGAATTTGGCCTTTTTGTGAAAGGCAAAATTAAATGGTTTCTAGGAGCTAAAGTTTAAGTCAGATGAAAGAAAAATTTTAGATTTAGTGTTAAATTGGATGTATAAACAAAATATTAAAATTAAAAAAAAATCTGAGATGTGTTGTAAATCGATCGTTCGATTCTTTCGCGAAATCATAGTTAAGCTTGTCATCATTATAGTTTGTCCTTATTTTAGCTTGTAATTATTTTATTATAGCTAATCGTTATTTATTAAAGTCATCATTTAAACTTGCCATGTTTTTAAATAGTCGTTATTTTAGCTTGTCATCCCTCTAGATAATCGTTATTTTATCTTGGCATTTTTTACAATAGTCGTTATTTTAGCTTGTCATATTTTTAAATAGTCGCCATTTGTCGTCATAGCTTATCATTTTCATTATTTTAACGTATAACTGCTCATTATTTTATCTTGTCGATATTTAAGCCAGTCGTTATGTATTCTTGTTGTTATTTAAGCTTGTCATTATTTTAACTTGTCGTCAATATATAACCTTGTCATTACAGGAGCTTGTTAATTTTCTTGTCTATATATTTGTTGTCATTTTAATTTGTTATTTAAGCTTGTTGGTCATTAAGTTATTTAATCTTGTCGTGAATAATATTTGGTCATTTATTTTAATTTGTTATTAAACTTGTCATCAATATAATCTGGTCATTATTTTTATAATGTCAATATTTAAGCTTTTCGTCATATTATCTTGTCATTATTTAAGCTTGTTACATTTTCTTGTGAACATTTTAATTTGTTATGTAACTTGTCGTCACTAAGCTATTTATGCTTTTCGTCAATATTATCTGGTCATTATTTTATAATGTCGATATTTAATCTTGTCATTATTTTAGCTTGAAATATTGTCATTATTTAAGCTTGTTAAATTTTTTTGTCATCATTTTAATTTGTTATTTAACTTGTCGTCATTAATCTAATAGGTTAACCTATTTATGTTTGTCGTCAATATTATCTGGTCTTTATTTTATATTGTCGTCATATTATCTTGTCATTATTTTAGCTTGACACATTATTTAAGTTTGTTACATTTTCTTGTCGTCACATTATTCCGTCATTAATTTACCTAGTCGATATTTAAACTTGTCGTCATTAAGCTATTTAATCTTGTAATATCTGGTCATTATATTAGCTTGTCGTCATATTATACTTGTCGTTATATAAGCTTATCGTCATATTATCTTGTCATTATTTAAGCTTGCTTGTATTATATTATTTAGCCATAATTTTAATTTGTTATTATGGCTTGTCATAATTTTATAATCGTTGAATAATTATATTTGTGCATTAAATTTCTGTTGTAATTAATGTAAAATTCAACCCGATATTCGCGTTTTGATATTTAATTCAAATGCTAATTAATAACCTGTCGAGGGGTTCGTCTTTCGTAGTAGGTACGTACGTCATTGTATAATTGTGTAGGCAAACAGCGCCTAAGTGTCTCTTTCCCCCTGTTTGGAGAGGACGAGGCTTTTACTTGCATCATCCCCAAGGTAAATATCGCATTTCAGTAATCGTCTTTCGATGTCTCTTCACTCGATAAAGCGTAATTATGTTTGCTTGATTGTTATTAAGCTATTTGGTTTCCTGTACCTAATGTTGTTTGAAATTTTAGAATAATAGAATGCGGTTGAACTTTGTTTTCATTATTTGCAGGTTTTGTTGGTACATCAGGGATCAAAAATAAGTTTTTCCAGGGTATTTGATTTTGCGGCTAGTGATCTGGACGCCGGGGAATCCCGAACAAGGTAAGAATGTTGTTATTTTTTTTTTAATTACTGTAACTACGATTTAAAATATCGATATCAAATTTATTTATAGAAATAAATATCACATACCTACGCAATGACAGAAGAACAAGATACATATTTTGTTTTTCATTTTTATTAAGCTTAAGTATAATATTTTATTAATGCCAAACATCATTACTTTGTAAATTTTATAAAAATATTATAATTTTTATAAAAAATGCTTTTTTTAATGAAATCATACCACCTTTTCATTATTTTAACTTTTGCCGTTATTTAGTTGTGTCGGTATGTAATTATGTTATTCTTTTAATTTGTATTTTTTAAGCTTGTCATGATTTGAACTTCATTATTTAAGTCCTGTCTGTATAATACCTTGTCAATTTTCAAGCTTGTTACATTTTCTTGTTGCCATTTTATCTTGTTATATTTTTATTTCATTTTAATTTGTTATTAAGCTTCACGTGACATTATATTGTCATTATTATTACTTGTAGTTATTAAGACATTTATGCTTGTCGTCATTTAGGCTTGTTATCAAATTATCTTGTTATCATTTTAACGCCGTTATTTAAGCTTGTCATATTATCTCAGACCTCAAAGTTTGTATGGGACAATAAGATTAAGCAACCCCTGTTTCTACGACACTGTGTTCACTCAAACAATTGTAATTATGTGTGAATATGTGTTTTGGTAGTAAGTGACTATTCGCAAAATATCACCTTTCCAAGTCTACCATAGTAGAAGTTATATTAAAAAAACTGATATGATAAGTAACACTTTATCACCCTGTATCTTTTAAACGTACGTAATTTGAAAAAATATTTATTTATATTTTCGTCTTATTTTGACTTGCTTAATCTGCTCCTAAATTTATGCCACTAAGTTTAGGGACACCTTGTATAAGCTTGTCATTATTATAACTTGTTGTTTTTTAAGCTTGTTTCATTTTCTTGTCGACATTTTAGCTTGTCATTATTTTTTTTATTATTATTTTAATTTGTTATTAAGTTTCTTGTCACATTTTATGTCATTATTTTAACTTGTTGTCATTAAGATATTAATGCTTGTTGTCAATATTATCTGGGCATTGTTTTTTTTATCTTATCTTCATTTAAGCTTGTCATCATTTTCGGTTAAATAATCTTGTCAGATTAACTTATCGATATTTAAAACTTGTGATTGATTACTTAAGCTTGTCATATTATCTGGTCAATATTTCAACTTTTTATAATTTAAGCTTGTCACCATTAGTTCATGATTATTTTGACTTGTTATATAAGCTTGTCTGTATAATACCTTGTCAATATTTAAGCCTGTTACATTTTTTGGTCGTCATTTTTAACTGTCGTTATATTTTTGTCATCATTATTTTTACTTGTATTTATTTAACTTTGTCGTCATTAAAATATTAATTTGTTGTCAATATTATCTGGGCATTATTTTTTTTATCTTATTGTCATTTAAGTTCGTTATTAAATTATCTTGTCATTATTTCAACATGTCGTTATTTAAGCTTGTCATATCATCTTTTTAATATTTTAACTTTTTATTAATTACTTTGGCTGATTATGTTTATTTTGACTGGTTGAATAAGCTTGCAATTATTTAACCTTGTCAATATTTAAGCTTGTTACATTTTCTTGTCATCATTTTATCTTGTCATAGCTTTATCTTTAACTTATCTTTATTTTCTTGTTAAATTATTGTCATTATTTAAATTTTTCGTTATTTAAGCTTGTCATCAAATTATCTTGTCATCATTTTAACATGTCGTTATTTAAGCTCATCATATGATATGATCTTGTCATTATTTAACCTTGTCATTTTATCTTTCCAATATTTTAACTTTGTATTATTTAAGCTTGTCAGCATATTATCTTGTCATTATTTTAACATGTCGTTATTTAAGCTCATCATATGATATGATCTTGTCATTATTTAACCTTGTCATTTTATCTTTCCAATATTTTAACTTTGTATTATTTAAGCTTGTCAGCATATTATCTTGTCATTATTTTAACATGTCGTTATTTAAGCTCATGATATGATCTTGTCATTCTTTTAATTTGTCATTATTTAACCTTGTCATTTTATCTTTCCAATATTTTAACTTTGTATTATTTAAGCTTGTCAGCATATTATCTTGCTATAATAATTATTTTTATTTTCAGTCCTTTTGAAAGTCGATTTCCGATTAATGTCGGTATTACTGGATATGTGGCTACAACTGGTGAGGTAGGTCTTTTGTTGAAATTAGTGACCCTAGATGGGGAAATTAAATCAAACATCCTTCTTTAGACTGTAAATATTCCTCACGCCGAAGACGACGAGCGCTTCGACCCTTCAGTGGACGAGGGTTCCAACTTCCGCCACCGCACGGTCCTGTGCATGCCCATCAAAAACAGCAGCGGGCAAATAATCGGCGTGATCCAGCTGATCAACAAGTTCAACGAGCTGCCGTTCACCAAGAACGACGAGAATTTCGTCGAGGCGTTCGCGATATTCTGCGGCATGGGCATCCACAACACGCACATGTACGAGCGGGCGGTGGTGGCGATCGCCAAGCAGAACGTCACGCTCGAGGTGCTCAGCTACCACGCGACCGCGACCTTGGAGGACGCGCAGCGTTTGAGGGTAACTATCAACAAGGTAGAGGAGGCATTTTTATCAAGCATTGTTAGAGCTTTTCCGTTTTTGCTTTTTAACCGTTAAATATTAAAAAATATGTTTTTTTTACTTATGGTGCACCACTACGATTCCAAGCTCCGTAACCATTTCTTTGGGCATCTGTAAATATGCCTTGTATTCCTTAATACGTTTGGACATTTTTGAATACGTTTAAAATCATAAAATATTTTTTTAACATTCTAAAATTTTTGTTTACATTCTTAATTATTATGGTTTTTTATTCTAAAATATGCTTGATTGTGTTTTTAAATTTTAAGTAAGTTTGATATTCTCAAGTTTGGTTTTGACATTTTCAAATAAGCCTTGATCTAGAATTGACATTGTGATTTTGACATTCTAAAATATTTATTTTGACTTTTACATTCTAAAATATAGTTTAATCTTCTTAAATATGTTTTGACATTCTAAATTTTGATTTCGACATGTTTAAAATTCTAAAATATGTTTTCATTTTAAAATGTGCTTTAAACTTCTTGATTTAAAATTTTTTTAAGTGTGATTGATATTCTCAAATTTGGTTTTGACATTTTAAAATAAGCCTTGATCTAGTATTAACATTCTAAATCTGATTTTAACTTTCTAAAACTGATTTTGAAATTATAAAATGTGATTTTAACATTCTAATATTTGTATTTTGTTTATTCTAAAATTTGGGGCGAAATTCTCAATCTACATTTTCAAATTTTAAAACATTCATTCTCAATAAGTTTTTACCTGTTTATTTTTGTTTGACATTCTGAAATGCGTTTTTGGCATTCTGAAATATTTATTTTGATTTTTAAATTCTAAAATATAGTTTAACCTTCTTAAATATGTTTTGACATTCTAAATTTTTAATTCGACAAGTTTAAAATTCTAAAATATGTTTTTTTTTTTAAATTTAAAATTTTTAAGTGTGTTTTGATTTGGTTTTGACATTTTAAAATAACGTTGATCTAGTACTGACATTATAAATCTGATTTTAATATTATAAAATTTGATTTTGAAATTCTTAAATATTTCTTCATATTCGATATTCTTAAATTTGTGTTTCCAACATTCTAAAATCTATATTTTTTTACTCTAAATATGTTTTGACTTGTTTTTTGTTTCATATTCTTAAATGTGTTTTTTACATTTTAATATATTTATTTTGACTTTTACATGCTAAAATATAGTTTAACCTTAAATATGTTTTGACATTTTAAGTAAATTTGATATTATTAACTTCTAAATTTTAATTTCATTTTAAAATATTCTTTAAAATTCTTGATTTTTAAATTTTTTAATTGTGTTGATATTCTTAAATTTGGTTTTGGCATTTTAAAATAAGCCTTGATCTAGTCTTGACATTCTAAATCTGTTTTTGACATTCTAAAATTTTGTCATTCTAAAATGTGATTTTGACATTCTTAAATATTTCTTCACATTTCGACATTCTTAAATTTGTGTTTCCAACATTCTAAAATCTGTATTTTGTTTATTCTAAAATTTGGACCGAATTTCTCAATCTACATTTTCAAAATTTAAAACTTCATTCTCAATAAGTTTTGACGTGTTTATTTTTGTTTCATATTCTTAAATGTGTTTTTGACATTTAAAAATATTTATTTTGACTTTTACATTCTAAAATATAGTTAATAATTTTATATTGAATTTGGTTTTTATATTCTTAGATATGTTTGGACATTCTAAATTTTGATTTTTACATGGTAAAAATTCTAAAATGTTTTAATTTTAAAATAGGCTTTAAACTTGAAAATTGTAGGTGTATTTGATATTCTCAACTTTTTGACATTCTTAAATATGTCTTCACATTTCCTTAATTTGTGTTTCAAACATTCCAAAATCTGTATTTTTTTTGCTGTTTATTTTTGTTTTGTATTCTTAAATATTCATTTTGTCTTTAACATTTTAAAATATAGTTTAATCTTCTTAAATATGTTTTAACATTATTAGCTAAGTTTGAATTTGGTTTTCATTTCTTAAATATGCATATGTTGGTATGTTTAAAATTTTAAAATATGTTATCAGCATTATAAAATAAATTATTAATTTTATAATTATTTTGGTTTTTACATTCTAGAGTATGTTTTAACCTTCTTGATTATGTTTTGAAGTTTTTAAGTGAGTGATATTCTCAACTTTGGTTTTGACGTTTTTAAATAAGCCTGATCTGGTATTGACATTCTAAAATACGATTTTGACATTCTAAAATGTGTTTTTAACTAAATTTTTAAAATTCAAAATATGTAATGCATTTAACAATTCAAAATGGTAAACAACAAAATTAAATTTGATAAACCTCATAGTTAATGCAATGTAATGATGTTTTTTCCCAAAATATACAGGTTTTAAAAAATCTTGGTAAGAAAATAATTTTTGCAGCCTCTACTTTATTATTAAATAATTTGATTGAATTAATTTTTCAACTTTTTTAATTCTTGATAAAGTTTAAATTAAGCTTTAACTGATGTAATGGGAAAGCGTGGTATTTCATAAATATGCCAAACTTTAAATTAAGTTTGAAATTCTTTCTTGGAGTTTTTTAATTAGAGCCTTACAGATTTAGACACGCTTATAAGATGCAGTAGATAGAAAAACAAAACTTTTTATAACAAAGTTATAATTTTCATCGTTTTTAGAGTTTGCGCGTTCCTTCATCGGCCCACTTCGGACTTCATCACTTTTCGTTCGACGACATCCATATGAATGACGACGAAACCCTTACTGTAAGTCCAAACAAAGTTTCCGATAAAAACATGTATTAATTTTACCGTAATGTAACTTCAGGCCTGTATAAGAATGTTTCTCGACCTTGATCTAGTCGAAAGATTCCACATGGATTATGAGGTCCTGTGCAGGTGGCTGCTGTCGGTGAAGAAGAACTACAGAAACGTCACTTATCACAACTGGAGGCACGCGTTTAATGTGGCCCAAATGATGTTCGCTATTTTGACTGTAAGTTAGCAAAATTAACAATAAAATGGATTCTAATTTGCGGATTTGCAGGCTACCCAGTGGTGGAACATTTTCGGCGAGGCTGAGTGCTTGGCGTTGATGATAGCGTGTGTTTGCCACGACCTTGATCACAGGGGAACCAACAATTCATTCCAAATAAAGTGAGTCTAAAGTTCCAAAGTGTGGATCACCTGATGTTCTCACATCTCGCCTCTGTTGACTTAACAACCGAGCATATAAGCTCAGGGAGTAATTTGTTTTGATTGTGTTCCACCACACCAAGTTGCCCGACACTGATGAGACCCAATAAAGGTCGAAACAGCTGTCTGTCGGTGTTTGAAGTTGGTGGAACGCATTCAAAACAAAAAACTTTGGCGAGGTGTAGTGTTTTTTCCACTTTTTTTGGTTCAAATTGTATTTTTTTGTATTACAGAGCCTCATCGCCTCTAGCACAGTTGTATTCAACGTCCACCATGGAACATCATCATTTTGACCAATGCATCATGATTCTCAACTCGCCTGGGAACGAGTTGTTGTCCAATATTTCCTCCGAGGAGTATACCAAGATTGTAAGGGTCTTGGAGGAGGCCATTTTGTCTACGGATTTGGCGGTGTACTTCAGAAAGCGCGGTGCGTTCTTCAACGTGGTCAGAGACGGGCCTTGCTGGGCTCAGGACGACCACAGGGATCTGCTCCGAGCCATGCTGATGACGGTGTGCGATCTGGCCGCAATTACGAAACCTTGGGAGGTGGAAAAACGCGTCGCCGAGCTCGTCTCGTCGGAGTTTTTCGAACAGGGGGACATGGAGAGGGAGAAACTCAACATTGTGCCAATTGTAAGTAACTTATTATAGATTCTATAAACATGATTGACACTCTTAAATTTTTGTTTCTAACATTCTTCTGGACATTCCAAAATGTGTTATCAACATTCTAAAATGTTTTCACATTCCAAAATGGACCTTTTTAAACATTTTGAATTAAATTTGTCCTTTGACATCTTTATCTCTGTTTCACATTCTAACCTTCTGAAATTTGCCTTTTACAATATGCTTTTTTTAATAAAATTTGTTTTTAACATTCTAAAATGTGTTTTTGACCTTCTAAAATAATTCTGATGATTTGTACATTCTAAAATATGCTTTTAACATTTTAAAATTTGTCTTTTACATTCTATAATATGCATGGACTTTTTTAAATAGGTTTTGACATATTTATTTCCCTTTCATATTCTAAAATGTGATTTTAACCTTTTAAAACATGTTTTAACATTCTAAAATGTTTTTTTTTACATTCCTTATGTTGGACCTTCTTAAATTTGCCTTTTACAATATACTTGGTGTTTTTAATGAAATTTGATTTTATCATTCTTAAATATGTTTTTGACGTCCTAAAATAATTCTGATGATCCCCTATAATGTCGCCCCCCTTTAACTTTTTTATTTTAAGTGTCCCACAAAATTTAAAAGTGTGGTTATGTAGGAACTAAAAAATACTTTTTTCTTACTACCTCGACTCAAAATACGTTGTTTCGTCCCCGATTTCACGGCAGAAAGTTTACGTTTCTTGCATTGGTCAAGCTATACGCGCACACTCTAATAGCGGGAGTAAAAATTTTTTAGTCGTGTGCTTAACATTTAAATTTCGTACTGCCAACATGAGAAACACAAAAATATGACAGTTTTAAACCATAATTTTGCAATTATAACAACAAATAAACAATTTATGTTTTTACTTTTTTACTTTTTATGTTGTTTTAAGTGTTTAATGGTACTTTTATTTGTTATAAAGTAGTAATTTGTTAATTAAAATACAACCTTTTATTTTTACTGTATTGGCACCGCTGAATTACCATGACAACGCTACAGTTTGATTGATTTTGAATGTAAACGTCAGAATTAAATTAAACGTCAGATTTTAATTTTGACACAAGTTTTTTTATATACATTTAATTTTTTCCCGTATTTTCTGCGGGGTAGCAAGAAAAATAGTATACACTACACGGGCAGAAAGTGTGAGAGCCCTGAACTGCGCGCCATGATGCCCTCGGCTTCGCCTCGGGCATCATGGCGCGCAGTGCAGGAATCTCACACTTTCTGCCCTTGTAGTGTAATATACTATTTTCTACGTATAAAGAAAATTTTAAAATTGATCAGTATACAGGGAAAAACAAAAAGTTTATTTTTTTTCAATGGATCACCCTATATATGAATTTATTTTTCGATTCCTTGTAAAATTTTAAGTATATTTCATATAACATACCATATACCTAAATTCAACCGTTTCTGAAATATTTAAATTATTTTTAAGATAATAATTTGAAATAGTTTGTCTTTCTCTGTCTGAGTACGCCATTTTTACTTATTTAACAACACATATTGACATAATGTCACTATAGTAATTTATTTTCAATAAAAATTTTGGTAAACTGAGGCTTCTTGATTTTTAACAGTTTAAAAAAACATTTAATGATGACATTTCGAATGCGAATATTTCAGAAACAGTTGAATTTAGGTATATGGTTTGTTATATAAATTATGCTCAGAATTTTACAAGGAATCGAAAAATAAATTCATATATAGGGTGATCCATTGAAAAAAATAAGCTTTATGTTTTTCCCTGTATACTGATCAATTTTAAAATTTTCTTTATACGTAGAAAAAAAGTATTTTTTAGTTCCTACATAACCACACTTTTAAATTTTTTGGGACACTTAAAATAAAAAAGTTAAAGGGGGGCGACATTATAGGGGATCACCCTGTACATTCTAAAATATGCGTTTTTGACATTCTTTATGGTGAACCTTCTTAAATTTACAAAATGCTAAAACTTTTTTTAATAAAATTTGTTTTTTAACATTCTTAAATATGTTTTTGACGTTCTAAAATAATTCTGATGATTTGTACATCTGAAATATGCGTTTAACATTTTAAAATTTGTCTTTTACATTCTATAATATGCTTGGACTTTTTTAAATAGGTTTTGACATATTTATTTCCCTTTCATGTTCTAAAATGATTTTAACCTTCTTAAACATGTTTTAACATTCTAAAATGTTTTTTTGACATTCTTAATGTTGGACCTTCTTAAATTTGCCTTTTACAATATACTTGGTGTTTTTTAATGAAACTTGATTTATCATTCTCAAATATGTTTTTGACATTCTAAAATAATTCTGGTGATTGACATCTGAAATATGCGTTTAACATTTTAAAATTTGTCTTTTACATTCTATAATATGCTTAGACTTTACTTATATAGGTTTTGACATCTTTATTTCCGTTTTATATTCTAAAATGTTCTTTAACCTTCAAATCATGATTTAACATTCTAAAATATATTTTTTGGCATTCTTCTTAAATTTGCCTTTTACAATATGTTTGGACTTTTGTTTTTTAACATTCCAAAATGTGTTTTTGACATTCTAAAATAATTCTGATGATTTGTACATTCTAAAATATGGTTTTAACATTTTAAAAATTGTCTTTACATTCCATATTATGCTTGAACTTTTTTAAATAGGTTTTGACATATTTCTGTTTTAAATTCTAAACATGTTTTAACATTTTTTGACATTCTTTATGTTGGTCCTTACATTTGCCTTTTACAATGTGCTTGGACGTTTTTTAATGAGATTTGTTTCTTAACATTCTAAAATGTGTTTTTGACAGTCTAAAATAATGCTGATCATTTGTACATTCCAAAACATACATTTCTATCTTTTGACATTCTAAAATATGGTTTTAATGTTATAAATTTTGTCTTCTACATAAGTTTTTACATTTTAAAATGTGTTTTTGACATTCTAAATTGTGTTTTAACATTCTAAAATGTGTGTAACATTTAAAAATAAAATGTTTTCAGGACATTATGAATCGTGAGAAGGAAGACCAGTTGCCATTGATGCAAGTTGGTTTTATAGACTCCATTTGTCTTCCTATCTATGAGGTAAGTTTCTTAATTCAAGCAAAATAAAAAAATGTAAATATCTCTTTATGTTTAGTCGTTTTCAACCCTAAATCCTCAATTGGAACCTTTGGTAGAGGGGGTACGAGATAACCGCAAAAAGTGGCTGGAAGTGGCCGCGCAGAACAGTCTGGTGAGTTCGGATCAGGAGGACGCGGAGGTCGACGATAACGACAACGTCCCAAAAGCGCCGACCACCCCCGAAAACCATTCGAGTTCCGCCACAATTTCCGAGTAAATTGTTTGTACATAAAAAGAGTATTTATTATTATTTTTAAACACGAAAGACTTAAGGACCGCTGCAGAGGTTTGTTTAATTGCAACTTAATCGAAAAGACTAAGAAAATCAAAATGAGCGTGTATATAATTGTTGAGTCTCGGCGCAGTATTTTTCCAAATTGCCGACATTTGTTGATTTATAAAAAAATCTCAAATATTGTTAGAATATGTACCTATGCATGCAACCACATAATGAACCACGAATTTTAGCATTTAATTCCAAAATATTTTATTTAAAAGTCGATTTGTTATGTGGCTTGGGATTAAAGTTACAAATTTGTACATACTTTTAATTTATTTAATTATTAGCTCTCTTTACATAGATAGAAGAAAATGTGTCTTTTTTGTGATATTTCGTTAACTCTACAGCAATCTGTGGGGTGCCGTATTTTTTATATGGTATTACTCAGTTTTTAACAAGATTTAGGAAATCACCCCGAATTCACCTGGACTTTGTTAAACAACTATAAAACCAAAGTGTATTTTAATATTTAAATTAATTTAGTTATTTAAGTTATTTTTATTTAATTCGCTTAAGAATTTTGTGTGATGTGACAATTTAGTAACTTTACAATAATTTTTCTGTAATTTCGATTATCACCATCCATTATATCAGTACCTCGCAAAACAATTTTATTAGTTGTATTTAAAAATAACGGGATCATTAGAAAAAGTTCTGTAAGGTACTTATACATTGGACCATATGATTATACCTACAATACATGTAAAATGTAAAAATGACCACAATAATATTATTAATAAATATTTATCAATTTAATTCCAGCCTTTTATTATAATAATTATAATTGGTGTCAAAATATTCAGGTAAGAACAAAAACCAAAATTAAGTGTTAAAATTAAAAACAAAAATTCACCTAAAATTACAAGGGATTTTTTTTTAAATTTCTTCCTAAATTATTTTTCAAATTTGTTTGTTAACATTCTAAAATATGCTTTTAACACTTAAAAATTTGTCTTCTACATTCTATAATATGCTGGGAATTTAAAACATAGGTTTTGACATCTTTATTTCATATTCTAAAATGTGCTTTAACCTTTTAAAACAAGTTATAACATTCTAAAATGTTTTTTTGACATTGTTTATGTTGGGCTTTCTTAAATTTGCCTTTTTCAATAAAATTGGTTTTTAACATTCTTAAATATGTTTTTGACATTCTAAAATAATTCTAATGATTTTTACATTCTAAAATATGCTTTTAACATTTTAAAATTTGTCTTTCACATTTTATAACAGGCTTGAACTTTTTTTAAATAGGTTAAAAGGTGCTTTTAACCTTCTAAAACATGTTTTAACATTCTAAAATATTTTTTTGACCTTCATTATGTTGTACCTTCTTAAATTTGACTTGGTGTTTTTTAATAAAATTTGTTTTTTAACATTCTTTTTGATATTTTGACATTTTTTAAATTTGTTTTTGGCATTCTAAAATAATTCTGATGGTTTTTACATTCTAAAATATGCTTTAAACATTTAAAAATTTGTCTTTTAAATTCTATAATATGCTTGGATTTTTTTTAAATAGGTTTTAACATCTTTATTTCCGTTTTATATTCTAAAATGTGCTTTTAACCTTCTTAAACATGTTTTAACATTCTATAAAATGTTGTTGACATTTTTAATGTTGGACCTTTTTTGTACATTCTTAAACATACTTTTAGCTTTCTGACATACATTTCTTGACATTCTTATATTTGATTTTACATTCCAAATTACCTTATTAAATACCTACCTTTTTACATGTTTGATATTCTAAAATATGCTTTTAACATTACCTAGGTATAAATTTTGTTTTCTACATAAGTTTTACTAATAAACCAAAATTGGATGTTAAAATTAAAAATAAAAATTTACCTAAAATCCAATTTTTAAAGGTTCGTCAATGAGTTTAAAGTTATTAATTCCTAAATCATTCTTAAATTTCAGTTTGACATTCCAAAATGTGATAAACAATTCAATAAAAAATATACATTAAAATTTGATATTATTTATTAAATATACTCATCCAACTGCTCGAAAACATTGGGACAAAACAATTTAGCATAATCCGTATAAATTGAACTATCTTCAGTTCTAAATTGTTTATATTCTGTATTCATGCTCTTCCACACATGTAGAACGTGCGCGTTTTTTATCATATTTTGTCCAGCTTTTTTGTGAACACCATCGAAATAATAATACCACCAGTAATATGGTATGGGGTAAAATATTTCTGGCCCATATACAGTAAAATTTTCACACGTTTTTGTTACATCAAATCCTTTTTCTGTGTTACACAGTTTTGAGGCAAATCTAAAATTTAGTATACAGATTTTGTCAAAATGTGCATAGAAATAAAACTAGTACAATATTGCAGAACAAACCAGAGAGTCATGGTTTTTCTATGCAGAGAGTAGAGTATTATTTCTCACAATGTGTGGATTGTGATTTCTATGGATTTATTTGACATCTGACAGACTGCTTTTAACCTCACTTTTTTCCCCCATTTAATTTACTCTAGTGTAGGAGCATATAAAATAATAATTACCTGGTTATAACATCAGGCCCGTTAGCACCCCATATAAAACCATCAAAATTGTCGACCAAATCACTCAAACAATCGGTAGCATATTTTTTACCAATTTCAGAATTACCGAACCCCATTACGCCTGCGGCTATTTCCGTTGGCAACTGAGCCCCCGAGAAATTTTCATCCAACTCATCAAAACTTTTTAAAACAATTACGTCTAAATCCAAATATACCCCTCCGTATTTCCACAGCGTTAGGTATCTTAAAATTGTAAATATATATGGGAATCCCTCTCTATAATGGCGACATCTGTTGTTTACTATTACTATTACCAAACTACTCACTCACCTCATAACATCGCTAGCATGAGAAACTTGATATTCAGACCTTTGCACTCTTTCCTTCAAAAATAGAACTTCCGCGGGAGTATCTCTCACATATTTCATAACGTCCACGTGATATATTTTCACGTTATTGTAGGACAACAAAGCCTCCAACAATCTATCAGGCTCGCTGCCTTCATTCTTAATCACACCGCTGGATAAATACAACAGATACACCGCGCGATCTGGATTTAACTGAAATATTTGACAGATGATTAAACTTAGGTGGGAAATCTCGCTCTTGATTGGTCGACTTTTCAAATTAACCAATGAGAGCACGGGAATGTTTGCAAATCCAACATGGCGTCGTGGTTTTGATTGGTGGAGTAAAATTGTCAAATTTAAACGTTATAAACGTCAATTTTTACCTTTGCAGCAGATTCCACAGAACAAGCTTGTACTGCGTTAATGGTTATTTTGCCTGTTTGGTCGGAATTACACGATGTTTCGTGGAAGAATATTTTCTTGCCCTCTGGGAGAGTAATATCCGAAATATCTTCCAAAGATTCTTTATGAGTTCCATAACAGTAGATGTTTTTGTAAAACGGTACTTTTTTGGGTAGTGTTAAATATATTATGTAGATTAAGAATGTTGCAGAAAAGAATACCAAATAAATGTGTTTTTTGCTAAATCTTCTTACCGGTACATTCGTAATCATTTTTAACCATAATTATGTTAAACAATGTCAAATTCACTTTTAAAAAATAATATTTAAGAAAAGTTATATATTATTTTATCTTATCATTTGAATATTTCCATGCATTATTATACAAAATATGTAAGTAATGAAATTTATTTGTTGTAACTAAGGCCATTGCTTTTAAAGGTCTAAAAACAATTAATGCTAAGGTTAATTGAGCTACTGGAGGTTATTTAAATTAAATTTTGCGACGCAACTTTCCATACAAAATTATCTCCATGGAAAGCAATAAACCAATCATGGCACAGCTTTCCTCATCACATCTAGTGTGCTGTGGAGAATGCCGCGGGCTGATTGGTGTATTGCTTTCCATGGACATCATTTTTTATAAAATAAGGTGGCAAATTTTAAGAAACTCCCACCATGTGTTGAATAAAACAAAAGGCCCCTTGTAACTGTTTAATGGATTAAAAGTGGATAATAAAGACAGAGATATACAATATCGGAACTACATTTAAATCTTTAATCAGTAGATTAGTGGTACTTGTAGTTTCTGTGGTGTTTCAACTTTCCGTAGTTCAAAAAGTAGAAAATTCCCATTGAGGCGACAACCACCTGCAAGAATGGTGCAATTCCGCTCCTCTTAGGCTGCACGTATTTGTGTTGCCATCTCCACCATGCTAAATAAAGAAAAAGGAACTATAACTGCGAAAAAAAAAATTAATTAAAAACTTACCACGGCTAATAGCACCAGTGATAGCAGCTGGCCCCTTGTTGCGGCGTCCCAACCATGCGCTAATTTCACCAACTTTTACCTGTCCGAATGGGGTATCGGCTGAAAAAATTAGATAACTCTCATAAGTTATGTAATGTCATTTTTGTGAGGTTAGGTTTCATGAAACCCTGATTTCCTATTTAGCGATGGATTACTTACGTTTTCCGTAAAAACGGGCAGGGTCATAGGGGCCGTGCACCTTTGGATTGTAATCTGCAGGATAATCGCCGAAAGCCATTGTCCTGATTCTTTTGGAAAACTTCGGAAATGACAATAACGTCAAACGGTGAACTTGACTGGTGGCGCTGCAGTCTGCCGTGTCTAAAGGCTCTACTCAGTGTTGCAGTTTTGGGCCCTCGTATTTGTTTTAATTTCTCATCACGTTTATTTGCTGAAATAATAAAAAACCTGGGTTAATAGCTTATAAAGACACACAAAAATAAAATTTAATTTATAATTATCACTGTTATCTACATGATTTTACAAACCATAAAACTAATCTGGCAACGCTGGATCTACTCAAAAATAGAGTCAAAATAGCACACCCACGCAAGAAAAAAAAGGGGCATTTTTGACTTTTTAATAAACAAAAACCCGAAATATTGCTTAAATGTCAATTAGTTTGGGAAAAAACTTTGTTTCAAAATTTTTCTTGGTTAGTGATGTTTATGTGGTGACTTTTGACACTGCCGTCTCATCCAAACAGCTGGAAACGTCAGATTGCGGGGGTGAAGAACTCGTTTATTAAAGTTCATAGGTGTTAATAAATTAATCGTTGAGTGGAAAAACCCAAGAAGTATTTTTATACGTTTAAAATCGTTTAGTGCAAATGTTATAGCAACAAAGCAGTGGATAGCTGTCAAATGTCAAAAAATGTGTTTTTATTCTTTTGATAAAGTAAAACTTTAGTTTGTTTATATTTAAACAGTATTCGAAGTGTTAATACATGTTTCATTTGAAACGGTGATGTTTTGGTTGCGTTTTCAACCAAATAATTATACTTTTGCTTGTGAAAATTGTAGAATAGATACAGTTATGTTTATAACGACACTCTATAGAGAATAGAGTGGATTTAATCTTAGTGACGATAAAATTAGATAAATTCAAATTGAAAAGCTCAGAACAGATGTGAACTACTTGGGCAATGCCATTGAGTTTGAACGGAAGGCTTGGGAGGAGTGCCTCGAAGTTTAGTTTGTTGATTTTGCCCTCAAATGGGCAATTGTCTGACTTGTTGCAAGGAGCCTACATCTACGGCCCCGGACAGCAACAACCCTAACTGTCATAAAGAAGGTAAAACTATTTACTTAATCATTAATAAAGATGAGTTTTGTTTGGATTTAGGTAAAAATGTTAATTCAATGATTTAAATTTTTTACCATGGTAGGCAATAGAATAATATTGTCCAGTAAATTTTTTTAAATGTATTTTTGTGATAATTTTTATCATTTTTAAAAGCTACATTTTATTATAATTTAAATTTAATTACAGATCTTAGAACCCTTAATTTTGTCCTATTTATAGAAGTTATAAGTTTTTAAACTAAAACGTCCTAAAACCGCAAAAACACCTTTTTAAAATGGCCTAAATTGCCTTTTATGTCCTTAAACTTTCTTTAAAATATATCTGAAAAGACTAAATATACTTAGAATTGTATATTATCCTATAAATTTTTAAACCTCATGTCCTTAACTTTGTCTTAAAACAATCTAAAAAGTCTTAAGCATTCAAAAATATCCTCAAACTCAAACGTCTTAGATTTGTCTTATATGTCCTAAAACGGCTGTAAAAATGTCGTTAAATCCTTAATGACTCAACTTAAACTTATTTTTAAAAACACATTTTTATAATTTTTGTATAAGTAGCCCTAAATTGCCTTTGATGTCCTTAAACTTTCTTTTAAATGTATCTGAAAAGAATAAATAAACTTGAAATTGTTATTTGTCCTATAACATTTAAAACTGCATGTCCTTAACTTTGTCTTAAAAGTTTTAAGTTAAAACAATCTAAAAAGTCTTAAGCATTCTAAAATATCCTAAAACTGTTTTTAAATTGTCTAGATTTGCCTAAAATGTCCTAAAAATGTCGTTACATCGTTTAAACTTTTTTTAAGACTGTCTTAAAATATATAAAACTGTGTTATATTCTTAACGTGCTCTAAAACTTGTCTTATATACAGTTTGACATGCATATGGCAACACAGATTCGAATCAAACGTAATTTTGTAAACGCATTTTTATATTTTTTTGTCCTAAATTGCCTTTGATGTCCTTAAACTTTCTTTAATATGTATCTAAAAAGACTAAATAAACTAGAATTGTATTTTGTCCTATAAATTTTAAATATCCTCAAACTGTTTTTAAATTGTCTTATTTGTCCTAAAATTGCTTTTAAAATGTCGTTAAATTATTTTTTTAAACTTTCTTAAAATAACCGAAACTGTAATGTTCCTATTGCCCTAAAACTTGTCTTAAAACTCTTAATTTTGTCCTAAATTTTCTTTAATGTTCTTAAACTTTCTTGAAAATGTCTTAAAATTTTCTTAGAACTACCCAAAGTGTCTTAAAACTGTTTTAAAAGACAAATATTTAGTGTTTGACATCACAGACAACTCAAACGTAATTTTTGGAAAACATTTTCATATATATTTTTAGTGTCCTAAATTGCCTTTGGTGTCCTTAAACTTTCTTTAAAATGTATCTTAAAAGACTGAATAAACTGTATTTTGTCCTATAAATTTAAAAATTTCATGTCCTTAACTTTATCTTAAAACAATCTAAAAAGTCTTAAGCATTCGAAAATATCCTCAAAATGTTTTTAAATTGTCTTAGATTTGTCTTACTGCTGTAAAATGTTGTTAAATCGTTAATTCTTAAAATATCAAAAACAGTGTAATGTTTTTGCCCTTAGAGGTGTCTTAAAACTGTTAATTTTGTCCTAAATTGTCTTTAATGTCCTTAAACTTTCTTAAAAATGTCTTAAAATTGCCTGAAAAAATAAATTTAAAACGGACTTGATTGTCTTAAAACAATCTAAAATGTCCTAAAAACGGAACAAACTTTTTCAAATTTGAAAAAAACCTTTTTAAAATCTCTAGATATGAGCGAGGTTCGTTTGTACCCAGCACCGAGTCATGTGCCAGCTTCCACATCTCCGCCGCCCGAAACGATTTTAAGCAACGGCAACCATCTGATCGCCGGCGGTGTTGCCACATCGGAATCCGCGTCCGCCGCTAGCACGCGTCTGTGCGCGGCCGTGCACCAGCAGCAACTAGGCAACGTCAGGGGCAGGCAGTCGAAAAGCGCCCCGGCCATGGGGGCCTCAGACAGCAAACCCAGCGACAACAAACTCAATGCTCTATTCGAGGTAAATTTTGGTTATGTAAACATTCAATTTTCTTAGTTTCTTTAAGAAACTTTCTTGACCCACCACTGGTAATATTCATAAGAAAAAATTGAACCTACACCTCGCCAAAGTTTTTTGTTTTGAATGCGTTCCACCAACTTCAAATACCGACAGACAGCTGTTTCGACCTATATTGGGTCTCATCAGTGTCGGGCAACTTGGTGTAGTGGAACACAATCAAAACAAATTACTCCCTGAGCCTATATGCTCGGTTGTTAAGTCAACAGAGGCGAGATGTAAGAACATCAGGTGATCCACACAGTTATGTATTTATTTTCTGAATAAAACCGTTAAAAACGCCCTAAATGCAGGGCTCCCACACCTCCTAAAATTCATAAAATTTCTAAAATTTGGCTTAAATCTTAAAAACTCCTAAAATTGCCATCAATCTCCTAAAACTAAAATATAAGTAGGCCAACTTGACTGCGTTTAATTAAGGTAGTTGTGCTAAAAAATTTCTTTTTTAAAAAGTAATTTAAAAAAATATAAATTTTTGGGTTCTAGTTTATTAAATTCTTTTTAAAATGATATAGGTATCACAACCTACATTTTTCTTAAAAATCAACAAAATATACCATAAAACAAAATCCATGTAGTAGCTTCTAGACTTCTACAAAATTGTCATTTTTAGCCATATTTCGTTAATTTTCGACAAAAATATACCGTGTTATATATCAAACAAAAGGATTTTAATTTTCTTTTAAATGATAGCTAAAATAGTAAACAATCTAAAGAATGTTTTGCTGTACATGCACTTTATATTTTTTCTATTATGAGATTTTTTAGTAACAATAACATTACAATTATTGTTAGTTATGAACTAAACTGTTAAATTTTTTTTCAAAATATAAATATAACATCATTAAACTTTGGCCTACTTTTTTTAGCCATATCTATCGACGCTTTTTTTTAAATAAAATTAAAAGTGTGGTGAAATTTCTACTTGTATATATATACAAAAGTAGTAATTTTACCTCACTTTTCATTTTATTAAAAAAAAACTCGTCGAGCAATTTGGCTAAAAAACTAGTCAATATAACCTATTTGTACAAAAGGAGTGATATTTATTTATATTTTTGTTAAAAAGAATTACATATTTTTTTCTTACTTTTTAAGTATAGTGTAGAGTTGTTTTTATTTAATTAAATAAATTCATTTGCATACTTTTTTCTCCAAAAAAACCTCCTAAATTCCTAAATAAAATTTGTAATTTAACCGTGGGAGCCCTGTAAATGCCTTTCGAGCCTTCATCTCGCCGTTGTTCTTGCACTCCTCAGACTTATAAGGACGACGCGGAGGACAGCATCCTGGCCGAAGGGATCGAGCAGCTGTGCAAGGACTTGCAGGTGTGTCCGGACGATTTCAAGATACTGGTGCTGGCGTGGAAACTGAACGCCGAACAGATGTGCCGATTCACGCGTTCGGAGTTCGTCGGCGGCCTTCGGGACATCCGAGCCGACTCGACGAAAGCCATACAGGTTCGATTGCCGGAGGTGATAGCCGAGTTGGAGAGGAACGACGAGCATTTTAAGGATTTGTACAGGCGAGTAAAATGTTTAGACCAACTGCCTTAAATGCACCAAATTAAATACTTAATAACTAATTTTGTTTTTTTTTTAGATTTTCTTTTCGTTTTGGGCTGGATTCAGTTTCCGGTCAAAGAATATTACCGACTGATATGGCGACAGTACTTTGGAGGCTAGTTTTTACAATCAGGGAACCACCTATACTTGGTAATATATTTTTTTTAATGTCCTAAAATTGTCTTAAATAATGCCCGAAAACCGTCATATATTTTTCTAAAAATATCCTAAAAACCGTCTTAATATGTCGTTAAAGCTTCTTATATAAAAATCTAAAACTGTCAAAAAATGCCCAATTTTAAAATGTTTTAAAACTTTTAAATATTCCCAAAACCCTAAGTTTTTTTAGAACTGTCTGAAAAATTCCCAAAACTGATTGAAAATTAACTTTAAGTTCAAAAACCGTTTAAACCAGAAATATACCTTAAAAGTGTTGTAAAACTGTTGTTGAGCTTTCTAAAATTTGAAAATGTTTTAAAACCACCAAAAATTGTTATAAAAATTTCTAAAATGTCCCTAAAACCGTCTTAAAAATCTCTTAGAACTACCTAATATGTCCTAAAACTATCTAAAAATGTCTTAATATAAAATTGTCTTATATAATGTCCCAAAATCGTCATAAATTTTTCTAAAAATTTAATAAGAACCATCTTTAAATGTCGTTAAATTTTCTTATAAAAAAATGTTTTAAGACTTTTAAATATTCCCAAAACCTTATTTTTTTAAGAACTGTCCAAAAAATTCCCAAAACTGTTTGAAAATTGACTTAAAAAAGTTGAAAAATCGCTGAACTGCCTTAAAACACGTTTAAATTATAAAAATGCCTTAAAGCAGTTCTTAAACTATTAATATATCTTAAAACTGTTGTATATGTCTAATAATATAATTGTCTTATATAATGTCCGAAAACCGTCATAAATTGTTCTAAAAAAATTTTTAAAAACCGTCTAAAAATGTGCCAAAAACTGTTTTCAAAATGTTTTAAAACTTTTAAATATTTCCAAAACCTTTAATTCTTTTATAACCGTCTTAAAATTCCCAAAACTGTTAAAAAATTGACTTAAAAAAGTTTAAAAACCATTCTGACCAAATTTTCTCAGAACTATAAAAATGCCTTAAAGCAGTTCTAAAACTATAAATATATCTTAAAAGTGTTGTATAATTGTCTTGAAGCTTTCTAAAATTTGAAAATGGTTATAAAACTATCTAAAATGTCCGTAAAACCGTCTTAAAAATCTCATAGAACTATCTAAAATTGTCTTAATATAAAATTGTCTTATATAATGTCCGAAAACCGTCATAAATTGTTCTAAAAATTTCCTAAAAACCGTCTTAAAATGTTGTTAAATTTTCTTTTATAAAAATCTAAAAATGTTCCAAAAATTGTTATCAAAATGTTTTAAAACTTAAATATTCCCAAAGCCTTTTTTTAGAACTGTCTAAAAAATTTCCAAATCTGTTTGAAAACTGACTTAAAAAAGTTCAAAAACCGCTGAACTGTCTTAAAACATGTTTAAATTTTCTCAGAATTATGAAAATGCCTTAAAGCAGTTCTTAAACTATAAATATATCTTAAAAGTGTTATACAATTGTCTCGAAGCTTTCTAAAATTTGAAAATGTTATAAAACCACCTTAAAATGGTTATCTAAAGTGTCCGTAAAACTGTCTTAAAAATCTCTTAGAAGTTTCTAATATGCCCTAAAACTATCAAAACATGTCTTAAAATAAAATTGTCTTAAATAATGTCCGAAAACCATCATAAATTGTTGTACAAATTACCTAAAAAACGTCTTAAAATATCGTTGAAGTTTCTTATATAAAAAACTGTGTCTAAACTGTCTAAAAAATTCCCAAAACTGTTTAATAATTGACTTAAAAAAAGTTCAAAAACCGTTGAACTGTCTTAAAACATGTTTAAATTTTTTCTTAACTAAAAATGCCTTAAAACAGTTCTTAAACAATTAATATATGTACAACTGTCTTGGAGCTTTCTAAAACTTGAAAATGTTTTAAAACTACCTAAAGATGGTATAAAATAATTTTATTATTTATAATGTAGTCTCGCAAAAACCATAGAGCTATAAAAATCACGTTATTCTTGCAATAGCTCGTTGGTTAAACTTCTTGGACACGCACCAGTCGATCCGGGGGATCCCTCGCGACACCTGGAACATGTTCCTGAACTTCTCCGAGGCCGTAGGCGACGACCTCTCGTGCTACGACGACAACGAAGCGTGGCCGAGCCTGTTCGACGACTTCGTCGAGTACGAGAACGACCAGGCCAACCAGAACATCACCAAGGACAAGGACCGCGACGGCCGCCGCATCGGCCAGGACTGAGCCCCGCGGAGCGGACGCGCTCTCGACTGACTTCGACCGCCATTCGGCGCCCCCCGAGTAAGAGACCGTTTTTACTTCGTTGTTTCGCTGCAGGGGCCGGTTTCGTTGCTCGAGTTTGGGGGGCTAATCGATGATCGCAAGTTTTGTGATGGAATTTTTATAATTAAATATCTTCTTTATTTAAATTATCCAACTATAGCCTTTTCACAAAATAGATTCATAAATCTAGAGATTCATCTAAAACAACCACAAAATTTGTGATTTCTCCTTGAAAACAAACTGAAACTGAAATTTGGTGATTTTTTCTTCAGAGAAGTCCAAATTACAGTCTTTTCACAAAATAGATTCATAAATCTAGATATTCATCTAAAACATCCACAAAGTTTGTAATTTCTCCTTGAACAAAAACTGAAATTGAAATTTTGTGATGTTTTCTTCATAGAAGTCCAAATTACGTCAAATTACAGTCTTTTCACAAAATATATTCATAAACCTAGAAATTCATCTAAAACATCCACAAAATTTGTGATTTCTCCTTGAAAACAAACTGAAATTGAAATTTTGTGGTTTTCTTCAGAGAAGTCCAGATTACAGTCTTTTCACAAAATATATTCATAAATCTAGAGATTCATCTAAAACATCCACAAAATTTGTGATTTCTCCTTGAACAAAAACTGAAGTTGAAATTTTGTGATGTTTTCTTCATAGAAGTCCAAATTACGTCAAATTACAGTCTTTTCACAAAATAGATTCATAAATCTAGAGATTCATCTAAAACATCCACAAAATTTGTGTTTTTTCTTAAAAAAAAACAGAAATTGAAATTTTGCGATGTTTTCTTCAGAGAAGTCCAAATTACGTCAAATTACATTATTTTCACAAAATAGATTCATAAATCTAGAGATTCATCTAAAACATCCACAAAATTTGTGATTTCTCCTTGAAAACAAACTGAAATTGAAATTTTGTGATGTTTTCTTCAGAGAAGTCCAAATTACAGTCTTTTCACAAAATATATTCATAAATCTAGAGATTCATCTAAAACATCCATAAAATTTGTAATTTCTCCTTAAACCAAAACTTAAATTAAAATTTTGTGATGTTTTCTTCAGAGAAGTTCAAATTACAGTCTTTTTACAAAATAGATTCATAAATCTAGAGATTCATCTAAAACATCCACAAAGTTTGTGATTTCTCCTTGAACAAAAACTGAAATTGAAATTTTGTGATGTTTTCTTCAGAGAAGTCCAGATTACAGTCTTTTCACAAAATATATTCATAAATCTAGAGATTCATCTAAAACATCCACAAAATTTGTGATTTCTCCTTGAAAACAAACTGAAATTGAAATTTTGTGATGTTTTCTTCATAGAAGTCCAAATTACGTCAAATTACAGTCTTTTCACAAAATATATTCATAAACCTAGAAATTCATCTAAAACATCCACAAAATTTGTGATTTCTCCTTGAAAACAAACTGAAATTGAAATTTTGTGATGTTTTCTTCAGAGAAGTCCAGATTAAGTCAAATTACAGTCTTTTCACAAAATAGATTCATAAATCTAGAGATTCATCTAAAACATCCACAAAATTTGTGTTTTTTCTTAAAAAAAAAAACAGAAATTGAAATTTTGCGATGTTTTCTTCAGAGAAGTCCAAATTACGTCAAATTACATTATTTTCACAAAATAGATTCATAAATCTAGAGATTCATCTAAAACATCCACAAAATTTGTGATTTCTCCTTGAAAACAAACTGAAATTGAAATTTTGTGATGTTTTCTTCAGAGAAGTCCAAATTACAGTCTTTTCACAAAATATATTCATAAATCTAGAGATTCATCTAAAACATCCATAAAATTTGTAATTTCTCCTTAAACCAAAACTTAAATTAAAATTTTGTGATGTTTTCTTCAGAGAAGTTCAAATTACAGTCTTTTTACAAAATAGATTCATAAATCTAGAGATTCATCTAAAACATCCACAAAGTTTGTGATTTCTCCTTGAACAAAAACTGAAATTTTGTGATGTTTTTTTCAAGTCCAAATTACGTCAAATTACAGTCTTTTCACAAAATAGATTCATAAATCAAGAGATTCATCTAAAACATCCACAAAATTTGTGATTTCTCCTTGAAAACAAACTGAAATTGAAATTTTGTGATGTTTTCTTCAGAGAAGTTAAAATTACAGTATTTTCACAAAATATATTCATAAATCTAGTGATTAATCTAAAACATCCACAAAGTTTGTGATTTCTCCTTGAACAAAAACTGAAATTGAAATTTCGTGATGTTTTCTTCAGAGAAGTCCAAATTACGTAAAATTACAGTCTTTTCACAAAATAGATTCATAAATCTACAGATTCATCTAAAATATTCACAAAATTTGTGATTTCCCTTTAAACCAAAACTGAAATTAAAATTTCGTAATGTTTTCTTCAGAGAAGTTCTAATTACGTAAAATTAGTCTTTTCACAAAATAGCCTTATACATATACAGTTTTATATAAAACCTCACAAAATTTGTGATTTATCATTGAACCCAAACTCAAATAAAATTATCCTAAAGTTTTGTTCAAAGAAGTCAATATTCGTCAATAATTATCGCCAAAAACAGTTGTACGAAGCAAAAGCGGTCGCTTGCCGAATTATTTTGTAAAAAGAAGAAGAAATTTTCGTGATATAACATAAATAGATGTATTAAGGTGAGGTACAAAATTAAAGGTTTTTATTTCAACAAAACGGTACATAATTGAAAAATCGCCGACAAATTAATGACTTTGACTCTCAGGTATCAAAAAATATAATATTAAAAATAAGATTTAAGGTTTTGAGAGTTTTTTAGATCAATTATATCCCTTTACAAAATTTTTATTTAGATACCAAATTTTATATTTTTAATAAAGCCAATAGGAATTGTTTTATTTTTGTCGGGATTAAAAAACACTATGCTAGCGTAAAAAACTATTTTTTTAGTTCATGTTTAGCAAATTATAACAAAAAGCAAATTTTTATATCAACTTGAAAATACAATATAAAGAGGTAAATGTTTTTGAAATTAGTGATTCGTTGCTTCAGATGTTTCAAAAAGTGATACAATTATATAATTAATTTGTTTTTTTAGTATTTATGACCGTCCGAAATTCAAATTTTATAAAATCGATTTATTTTAATAACAGAAGTCCACTATATCCTTTTTTGTGATAATTTATTATTTTTCAAAAAAATTGTCCAAATACTTAAGTATATTAACGCCTAGTGGTTATGTGTATTGTAATTTAATTAATATTTTTGTTAAATATAAAAATCAACGATCAACATGAGCGCACGATCGCCTTTATGCAGGGTGTCCCATATTTTCCTTTAAAAAATTTTCGAATTCGAGAATTTTTTAAAGGAAAATTCGTAAATTTTGGGACACCCTGTGTATTATTTAGTGCAATAATTACTCATGTTAATTAATGTGAAAGCTTCATTTTTTGAGTGTTTTTGTCTTTGATACAAGACTGAAATTTTTGTCTTAGGTGCTGACAAGAGATTGTTTTTCATTGTCATCCATTTAACTTTTTTTATAGGTAGTGATAAATATTTATTTAGATTTTTTTAACTGTAGATATTATTGTACATTTGAATGTTTTGTGAATAAAGTATGAGGAGGTTTGTATAGAAACAACTTTTTATTGACCTATATTATATATTTTTTTACACAAAAATTTGTCATAGAATTTGGAATAATTGCGAGTTTGCGCCTTTTTTGAAAATGATCTTAAAACAAAGTTTGGAAATTATTTTAGTTCAATTTTTTATTTGCACCTTTTTTGAAAATGATAAATTATTTTGACAATCCTATGGGACGCCGTTTTAGCATTTATTAGGTAAAAGTTTAAAGATTAAAGTTTAGCACTTAAATTATGTTTTAACAGAAATTTATAAAGTTAAATTTTTTTAAACTCAAAACAATTGATGGTCAAAAAATATTTTAAATATAAAATGCAACAGTAAAAATTTATGTTTAAAAATATTGATTTTTAAAAGTTTTGGTTGTAATATTTTATTCTAAAAAATTATTGGTTTAAATTTTTAAAGAGTCATTGAAATGATAGTTGATAAATTTTTAATAAAAAAATGTAATTTTTAAATTTTAAAGTAGTAATTTTTGGATTAAAATTAATCGACTATCATTTAAATGACTCTTTACAAATTTAAACCAATTTTTTTTATTTTTAACAATTTTAAATTGATACATTTTTAAGACAAAATTTATAACTTTACATTTAAATGTAAGTCGATAATTTTTAAATTACAAAGTGTACAATAGGCACTAAAAATGTTGTTGTTTTATTATTAAATTTATGTAATAAAGAAACATTTCATTACGATAATTTATAAAACGCGTCAAATATTTATGGAGTAAGCGCGATTTGGCAACACTGTGCCTTCTACTAAAGCTATGTTTACACTTTGTAATTTAAAAATTATCGACTTACATTTAAATGTAAAATTATAAATTTTGTCTTAAAAATGTATCAATTTAAAATTGTTAAAAATAAAAGTTATTGGTTTAAATTTGTAAAAAGTCATTTAAATGATAGTCAATAATTTTTTAATGCAAAAATTACCACATTTAAATGTAAAGTTCAAATTTTTGTATTGAAAATTTAAATGACTCTTTACAAATTTAAACAAATAATTTTGAAGAATAAAATATTAAAATTCCATTTTTTTTAAATTAATATTTTTAAACTTAAACTTTTACAGTTGCATTTTATATTTAAAATATTTTTTGATTATCAATAGTTTTGAGTTTACAAAAATTTAACTTTTTAAACTATTTTGGTAGAAAATGTTTTATATGTGTTTTTATTTTAAATGGCTTGATACTATTTTTAAATACTAAAAAATTTAACTTCACCAAATTAATCTCAATAATTTTATAAAATATTTATTTAAGTTAATAAAATGCCACCCAAATAAATTATACTTGGGAAATTATTTTTATTAAAAAATGATAGTTATAAATTTTTGCAATAATTGATAGAAAATAATATTGTTTAATACAGAAGTGAACTGTTGGTTAGTAAATTTTGTCTTTCAATACATGATAGTTGAAAATATTATAAATTTATAAATGTAAACCTAAAATTTTTAGTTGGGAAAATTTTAAACCAATAAAATTTTAAATTAAAAAATTATTTAATAAATGTTAAAACGGCGTGCCATATCTGTCTTTATTTTTAATCTAAATGTATAATATAATTATCAGCCACGTTATGGTCGATTTCCCTCTTTTTTATTAATTTTTTTTGTAATAAAATTGTCCCAATATCTACATATTTATGGGTAAATATGTCCACTTTTAGAGGTAACCTCTGGCTTCTAAAATATAAAAATTGTTAGTACTAAGTTATATGTAGGGTGGTCCAAAAATTAAGAGTTTAATAACACTAGGTAAATTTTCAACTCTCGAAATATCGATCTCGTAAACATAATTTTTGGTCGTAAATATTGACTGTATTAAAAGCACTTCACAGTGAATTGAAGATTTGAACCAATGTTGGAATTATGGACTTGAATCACAAAATATTCAATGACTATGAAGGTAAAAACATACACAAAGTATAAGAGCAGCAAAGTATTCGGACACATAAGCTGCGAATATAAAAGTTCAATACTTTTTCATTTGCAGTGAATGATTTTTTCTCTATACAATTGTGGACCACCCTATTATACCTTAACTTAAATAAAACATTAAATACTTACTTTACAGTGGCAAGAAAATTGCGAAACAGAATGTGTTCTTCAAAAAATGTTTTTGCAACATTAGGATTTAGTTCAGATAATTCTTGATATTCGGCCAAATATATGCTAATTACCTAAAATAAAAAACAACTAGGTACTAACTGGAGTTAATTTTTATAAATATCAACTCCTTAATTTTAAATAAAATACCTGAACTGGTAGCATCAAGTAATCTTCTTTGATGTGTCTTATATTTTTAAGCAAAACAGTGGACATATCCCCAAAATCCAGCATAAATACTTCAGCAGAAGAAGCAAAATTATTTTTGTCAAAATTTAAACCTCTTACAACTCCTCTCAGCCACTGTCCAGTCCAGTGGTGGACAATGCAAAACTCCCCTATCGCAGGTGACAGTTTAAATTGTTGGTAGGTTTTAACGACGTTTGGAGAGTTCATCGTGTTGATGAGTTGTTGTAAGGAGGAGTCCATTAGGTAATCTAAAAAATTTAAAAGAAGCTCCTGACCAAAAATAATGTACGCCACTGATCGACTAGGTACTTTAGGCTAATCTGGTTGCCTAATTTAATTTATTATGTTAAGGTTGGTAACAACTAGCGTTTCCAGATTCTGTCAACAAAAGTTGACAGATTTTGTTTAAATTTTGACTAATTACAAAAATGACAAAATCAACAATGCAATGTGTTAATTTGGCGTTTTTATTAATTGTTGATTATGTCATTTTTGTAATGAAGGTAAATTCAAACAAAATCTGGCAACTATGACAGAATCTAGTGCATTTCTTTCAAATTTTAGGTTATGTGCTCAAATGGTAAACATCTTAAATAAGGGAAGTGCTTTTGGATTTATTTACACAAATTGAATGTTTAAAGTTTAATCTGTAAACTTGTCCTAATTTCATCTAAGTAAACCAAAAGAAAAAACCGATGAAAAAATTAATTTTGTGGTTATGGAGTTTTTAAAATAGGTACTAAATTTTCTTATGATTGCTTAAGCTAATAGCTGGATTATTAAATAAATACAGAAGGGTATTAGAGCTTTAATGGCATAAATTGCGTTTTTATTTATTTTTTGCAAGAAATATGTTTGGTAACAATTTTTTGCAACTGGCAATGCGCAGCTACTTTGTTGGTTGGTATTTATGTACTCACAGAACACAACCAGTGGCGTATCACAAAAAATATAAAAACTTTTAATGCATATTTTTTCTTTACCTTTGGGAAAATATTTTTTAAAATATTTTTCCGTTACACCTTGGAAATATGGCAACAACTTTAAATATTGCAAAATGACTTTCTAAAGGTGTCTTGAAGATTTTAAAAAATTCTCAAAATCTGTAATTTTAAGAAATTTGGCAACACCTCAAAAAAAAATTAAATAAAAAATGTGAAACCAAAAGGTATAAAATTAAGAAAAAAAGCAATTCGGCAACAACTAAAGGTATCCTAAAAAAATTGAAAAATACTCATGTTCTGAAATTTTTTATAAATTTTGCAACTTCGCAAAAAATTCCTAGGTTCTGGGAATGTTTGGAAAAAAGAGTATATAAACAAAAAAAGTGGATATAAATTTGGCAACACAGTTAAATAGTGCAAAATATTGAATTGCGAAGTGATGGGATATCCCATATGGGATGGCATAAAATGCAAACATTTGACACAAATTTTGTTAATGCGAATCTCATTTTTTAAACAAGTAGCAGTTTTATGAAGAACGCATTTTAGTCGTAAAAAGCATAATAAAGCCCGATTTATAGATTGCCTTCCTTCCTCCCGTAGAAGATGAACAATACAATCCCGTACGGGAATCTATAAACGGCACTACGGTTTTCGTATTGTTCATCTTTTGCGGGAGGAAGACAATCTATAAATCAGGCTTAAGAAAGTCTTTTCTTTTGGCAGTCAGTCTTATTACTTACGTTTCTCCATCACAGGATTTCTAATAATTTGGGCGTAAAAATTGCACAAGTTGGTAAAACCTGTGATCAAAATTTGTACAGTTTCGCCTTTTGAAGGTAATTCGAGATTATTTAAGGCTTGCACATGGCATGGTATTTTGTCTGTGGTGAATCCCCCTGAAAAAAAATTAAGATAACTTTAAAATAACCTTAAAATTGTTTAATTACCTAATATTTAATGACCTCCCCATATTTTTGTTAAGGTAAAAAAAACACACAAAATATATACATAAATATATTCCAAAACATACAAAATGTAATTAATGTTCAAATCAACATCTATTAAAGTTCTATACCTTTCGTTAAAATGTGCTCTAGCTTGCAATTTTTGCCTTTAAAACAAGTTCCATCCGGTCTTGTGAACTGGCATATTCTGGCTTGGTCACGGGGATCGTAACCTAGAATGGCTTCGTTTACGTTGGCAGCAGTGCCGTACGTCTCGACGTCTTCCAGGTACTCTTCTAGATCCAAATTATTTTCGTCCACTAAAAATGCCTTATTTCTTTATCATTTTCGTCGATAACAAAAATCTTACATTGCTCTATTAGTTGTACCGCTATTCCCAAGTCGAGAAGTATTTGGCCCACGGTTTTGTCTGGTTCCGAATGGAACGGGTTGTACAAATCAATTTCAACGGATTCGCTACAAATTAATAAAAATAATAAAAACACTGGTTTTTCGCACGTAATGGCCGTTACTTACTTAACTTTGTTCGAGTAAACGATTTCAAACAACTTATGTTCGTCTTCGTCTGAACTAAAAAGACCGCTCATGTCTATCATGGCTTCAATCGTGGATCTGGGCCAGTTTTTCAGTCGGTTTGCGTTTGTTGAGTCAGGTGAGTAAAGCTAAAAAATTGTATTTTATAAGGAGATAATTTGTCACTTTTTGTGGCGAGTTACTACTATTTTTTTTTAAGTTTTTCTCTATGATTATTGCATAATAAAAAAAATTATGAAATTTGTTTCACAAATCATTGTTTTTACCTCTAAAACCAATTATCAACATAGTAATCAATGATAACACATTCGCGCACGTTATTTGTGTTTTACGTTGCAAGGAAAAAATTTAAAAAAATTTTTGGTACTCGATTTCGATTGATTATTCCTTATATCATTGATTAAGAAACTCAACGCTTAAATGCTTATATAGTTACGTTAGTGTGTGTATTTTATCCAAGGGATCATGGTGAATTATTGTGTTTTTAATTGTAAATAAAATTCAAGAACTAAATCGTTGCATTTTCATGTTTTGCCAAAGGATCCAATTCGGTAAGTACATTTGTTGGTGCTGAATTAACTAATGATAACTTTACCCAATACAATTTATATTTAAGTTTGGACATTTTTAAGAAATTAGTAAAAAATAATTTTTGCACAAACATAACCCTTTTATATTTGAGTTCTCTAAAAAACGCCGACAACTGCATTTTAAACAACAAAATATACCTACGAATTCATGGCAACATAATATTATATATAATACATAATATAATGGTATTTTACCGTTGAGTGGAGACTTTCTTAATCAACGCTTTTAATAATGCTAAATGCTGTTTAAATTTAGACGACTTATTTGTTTGACGATTTTTACTGAATTGAATGTTTACACTTTTTCTTCTCGAAATACACCCAACAACAGAACAAATCGTATTTTGTAAATTATTTTTTTTTAAATCAAATTCGGTTAAAATCGCACAATAAATAAAGATTTTACAGGGGTGAGTCGCAAACAAATGGGTCACACTGTATTTTTTGAAGTTTTAAGACGTTTAAAAAAAACAATAGTATTAAACTGGATTGGCAAAAACTTACATAAGGTAGATGGCATCTGACAGCCAATTTCGGTATAGCCGCTAATTCCTTATTTAATCGTCTTAAATTTTTGTAATCTACCAATATGTTGTTGCCATATTCGCACAGTTTTGCTAATATTTGATTGGATCGGTTATCCTGTGAAAAAAATTAATATATTATGGAGACGACCTCTTCAATAGGCACCTTGACGCCAAGGTATCATATGGAAGAAAAATACACTCACAGGCAAAATAATCGGTCCACACAAATATTCGATGAATTTCAATCGCAAATAACTTTTTTATTTGATGTCGGATTTAAACGAATATTAAAGAATATTGTAGATAATTTAATGGACAATCGTTCACATTTTAAAAAATTACTAAAAAATAGACGTACGTTTATAATATACAGGTTTGAACAAAAAGATGTTTTTTACCTTAAGTTTAAGACACTCTGTAGAGTGGCAAAACCGTATATTATTCTAAATTAAGTTTTATTTATCAAGTCACATCCATTCTTAACAGTTTTGTTTTTGGTTCACTTCGATATATTTATTTTTGTGGAAAATATGGATTTAAAAAAAAACATTGCAATTTCCAATATTTTTCTGTATGAAGAACTAAGGTTGCTATGGTCCATCCATAGGCTATGGAGAATGACAGTGACAGTTTTGTTGAATCATCCCATACTTGGACATGTCATACACGGCTTTCAAAAGCTATCAAATTGTTTTTTGCAAATTAATGTTTAAATTTTGAGGTGTCTTCTTACTTTATAAAATGGATATGTCTCCGACTGATGTTGCCAGAGCCATTAATTTAATCCAGGATGGACGGTCACAGTATTACGTGGCAAGTGATTTAAACGTCACAAGAATTAAAGTACAAAGGGCAACATTAGTCGGAGACATTTTTAAAAGTAAGAAGACACCTCAAAATTAACACATTAATTTACAAAAAACAATTTGATACCTTTTTTGTTTTTTTTTTAAATTCATATTTTCCACAAAAATAAATATATTGAGGTGAACCAAAAACAAAACTGTTAAGAATAGATGTGACTTAATAAATAAAACTTAATTTAGAACAATATACGGTTTTGCCACTCTACAGAGTGTCTTAAACTTATGGTAAAAAACATCTTTTTGTTTAAACCTGTATATTATAAACGTACGTGTATTTTTTAGTAATTTTTAAAATGTGAGCGATTCTCCATTAATGTATCTACAATATTCTTTAATATTCGTTTAAATCCGACATCAAATAAAAAAGTTATTTGCGATTGAAATTCATCGAAAATTTGTGTGGATCGATTATTTTGCCTGTGAGTGTATAATAACTAACCAGGTTCCAATCTATGATTTCTGCCCGGTACCATTCCCCATCACCGCTAAGTACAACCCCATATTTTCCTATGGCACTGCTGGCTTCATCCTTTGTTCTATAGCAGGGTAGTGCTCTAGCATATTCCTTTATTGTGAATGATATTCTAAAATTTATTATCCTTTGTCATAAATTATCTTTAATTTTGACCTACAGACTATATTTCTGAGACCGAAATAATGCGAAAAAACGTTTTTCTACGAAACTTGATTTTTGGGGGTTTTTCAGGACGAAAAAATTAACGGAGGTTGGAAGACATTTACAAGATTGACCTGCCATCTGTAAAAAACAATGCCAAAAGAAAAAAACCTGGAAAACCAATACATTTCCTTGAAAAAATTGATGTTAAGGATAGTAGTAGATTTATTTAAAAAAAATTTAATAGCAGTAGTTTTTTTATTCTTTAACATTAACAGCCGCTTATTGTAAATAAGTAAATTAAGGACGGCATGGCGAATCGATTTTGACATTAACTGTCAAACCAATGACTGTGATACCAACTATCTAAAGTAAAATTCGACCAAATTAAATTTAAGGTAAAGTTAATTTTTTTATCTGGAACGTTGCAAATTTAGGGTTTTGGTGGGTAAATACAGTTGTCAAGTTGGTCGCATTGATTGAAAACAAACTAAGCTAGATATAAATCTAATTGTGGTTATGTATAAATTATTGTAGGTTACATTGTGCAGTTGTCAAGTTGAGTTGTCGAAATTCGTAGTTAAAAATGCAATTAATTTGGCTTTGGTGGTGCTTGGATGAGTACAATCATATAAAAAAGTAGTTAAATATAGGTTGCTTTACGGCCCAGAAGAGAAAGTATTCCTAGCTTTGAAAAGAATTTATATAAAAGAAATTAAAATTTTTTGTGAACGTAAATGTTGTCCAATGGTAAATAATGTGAAAATAATTTGTGATGTAATATTTATAAAACCAAATTCGTTACATTTTTACTCCAAAAATGTCCATAAGGCGATGTACTTTGTCTTCCATTGTGGCATTTGGCATAATTTCATCAAAATGAAGTTTTGCCCTCAAAAGGGCTTTTACATTCGAATTCGTTGCTAATATTTTTGGCATAATTATATTTTTATTTATAATTGACAAGTAAATTATCGATAATAAATATAATTGTCAATTTGACAGTGTCAAAGTATTTAATTAAACGATGTGGCTCCCGTCCCGAGGCGGGACTTAAGTTCAGTCCCGATTGACGTCACACACTGTAAATCCGTTTTTATTCCCCGAGATTTTATAATTTGTGTCAAGCTCGATGGCTTAGATGGTAGGGCGGTCGCTTGGCATGCGAGAGGTACCGGGTTCGATCCCACTAGAAGTTGTCAAACTTTTTTTATTTTTTTTATTTTATAAATTTGTTGTTTCTTTGTTAAAAAGTGTTTTATTTTTATCGTAACATAAATTTGCCCATTTTAGTTGGGTTTTTTGCTCAATGGGGCGGGGTCGGTTGTGTTGTGTTGTTGAGTTTGGGTTGGTTTGGTTTTATGACGTAACTAAAGTGCCCTTAACATGTATACAGGTACAATTTATTATTATTATTATTTTATTATAACATAACAAATCTTAAAATTATGACGTCAATCGGGACTGAACTTAAGTCCCGCCTCGGGACGGGAGCCACAGCGTTAATTAAATGCTTTAGCAGAAGTACCATTTTTAAATACTAAAAATACTAAGTCAAACTGACATAAGCCACCAGATAAAAAAAATGAACTGTACATATTTATATAGTTCCTTTAGTAATAAAATAAAAAATAATTATAAAAACAGTTTAAAAAAATGGCTCTTTATTAAATCAAATGTAATGAAATGACAAAGTAAATTTTGTTTTTGCAAGTTGGTACCTATCGCTATTTATGCATTATTTCGGTCTCAAAAATATGTGGTATAATTTTTGTAAAGGCATTTTAGGGACACCTTGTATAATATAATAGTTTACATAACTTACTCATCTAATACATTACAGGTCTCTGGGTCTACCATATGAAGATAAAATTCATCAGGTGATTCTATATGACTAAAAGCGCATTTACTCCCCACTGATGGACATTCTTTTTCGGTAATTTCTTAAAATATATCACATTTGTTTAAAAATGGTGTTAAAAAGTTTCATTATTATTATCACAATCCACACAACAAGGTCTGTTCTATCTCGTACTAAAAATACAAAAAATCACTGCAACACTGCACAGTTTAACGGCGGCCATATTTGTTGTTTACAATTTTTGTGCTTTGGGTTTGTGCTCTGTTTATACAGATTAATAATCGTTTTAAACGTTGTGTTTCTCATAGTAAGCCTTAAAAGAGGCCTTAAAGTGCTAAGAACAACCATTTTACTCCTCTATTGTAAAAAATAAACTTTATTCTACCAGGGCTGTCATAAAACTGTTAAATGTCAATTTTAAGGTTAAATTATAACCCACAAATTAACCTTCAAATTGTCATTAGACAGCCCTGATAGAATAAGGTATATTTATTATAAAAGAGGAGTAAAATGGTTGTCCTTAGCACTTAAAGGCCTTATTTGAGGCTTACAAGTGCCTCTGCAAGAAACCCAACGTTTAAAACAATTATTAAACAGCACAAACCCAAAGCACAAGAATTGTAAACAACAAAAATGGCCGCCGTTATACTCTGTGCAGTGATTTTTAGCATGAGATAGAACAGACCTTGTTGTGTGGATTGTTATTGTAATTAAGTTATTTTTGAAGTAAAAACTGCTTACCATACATTGTCTTATTGGCATTCTTTTTGCCTTTCTTACTCTTTTTTAAATTATTCTTAATTACAGTATTTGTCGGCATTAATTTAACCTGGTTTGGAATGTCAGGGCCACTGTTGGAAGGTTCATTTTTGTTGTTCAGATGGGAAAGTTTTTCTAACAACGTGGAAGGGCCTTTCTCCCCTGAACACTTTGCTGTGTTTTCTGTGTTCAAAGATGATATACTTTCGTACTCTGTACTTGTTTCTTCTTCGTCAATGGGGTGAACTGCTTCAATAGTTGAATTTAGGTTTATAAGAATATCTTGCAAATTATTATTAAAAAAAAGTGAATGCGATTAAAAAAAGAAAAAGTGAGGTTAAAAACCATATCAGATTCGGCTAAAGTGAGGTTATACCGGTCTGACAGATGTCAGATTGATTAAAAGTGAGGTTAAAACTACTAAAAGATCACATTTATTTATTATTGTCTAAAAATAACTTACCCTCTGAATTCTCAATATGATTTTCTTCCAGTGTATTATTTAAGGTACATGTGGGTGTAAGGTCTCTTTCAGGTAATAATTGCTCAATGTTACTATTGTTTTTCTCATAGTACTGTGTATATTGGTTTGTTTGGTCGTTTAGCCCTAATTTTTCTGTCAACTTTTTAACATTGTCTTTTAACACAGAGATATCCACATCTGCTACACTAAATTCATTATTTGTTCCATTTGATGTGGAAGGTAAATTATTTACTAAACTAACTACTAAACTTTGTTGCAAATTGCTAGAATTAAGTTCCAAAGTCTCTGATGATGATTTATTGGGACACAGAGAGATTGGCTTTGGAGGGGTTAAAGGTAGTGGTTCATTTTCACCACATGAAGTTTCATCTTCAATAAACGATTCTAAACTAAAGTTGATTTCAGTAAACTTCTTTAAAACCTCAAACTCATGTTCGAAAATATCGAGAATATCCGATTTTTTGTTGTCACTGTTCACCTTCCTTTCAATCTAAAAAGTGTTGGGTTTATTAAGTAAAATTGTGGCACAATAAACGTATTTTACTACCTCCTCAATAATTGTATTTAAACTCGTTTTTATCCCCTCTGCTTCGTCCTTTATTTGGCCTAATAAAGAATGTATTTTATTTTTTCGTTTATCCATATTAAAAACTCTAATTATAACAAAACAAATAAAAAATTAATAGTTCTTATTTTTTAGGTTAGTTTCTAACAAAAACCAGTGACAAAAACCGACTGATAGCAAAAACAAATTTTCGATGGTAGTGACATCTGTCACAACTTATATAATCAAAATAGCCAACGAAGTTGGCAACAACACGTCTACCAAGACAAAAACAGCTGTAACTCAAATAATTTCAAAATAACACACCTTATAACGCATAAATTTAATAAATTATTACATTTGTACGTCTTTTTAAACATAAACGGTATTTCAAAATATGGCTTAAATAGCGTAAAATGTTCAGTTTATTAATATCGTTATCGCCTTGTGGTTGGTAGTGGTGTACGCGGGTGACAGCTGTCAGATTTATTCATTTTGCATCAAGTTTGAAATGTGATTTCATTTAATTAAGTACAAACTTACCGTTAAGCCGCAAACAAAGATGCCTATTTTTCGTAAACTAGAATAAGAATCCTTAAATATACTCGGCATGTATTTCGACCAAACAGGGGTCAGTTACAGCAATAAAGATTGAGGTTATATTTACGGAATTGTGTTTTAGCTGGCGATGGTAGCCCCCACGGATAATCCGGGGCTGGCGGGCATGGATTCCGAATACATGCAAACCCAGTGCGTCATGGCTGATGGGGGCGACAGGTTTGGGGTCTCTGCATTGGCTTTTGATAAAAACGAAGAACTTTTGTGGATGGGGAATCTAGGGGTGAGTTTATATGAAAATAAATAGTTCAAAATTAACAAAACAAGCGTTTTTATTAATTCATTACTTGAATCAGTTTTAAATGTAAACAAACCAATTAATAATAACAGATCATCATTTATTTGACCTACATACCATAGTTTAAAGCAAATCTATCACTGGAACTTGTTTGTTTAATTTAAAAACAGTAAAAAACGCGTAATATAAAAAATTATGTTTTTTGATATGTTACATAGTTATCAGAGATAATTATGTTTTAGGGGCATGTAACTTCTTATTACACTGGTGCTTTACAAAAATATACCTCGTTTCAAGTACATGCCAATGAAGATATAAGACAGATTGTAACTTTTGATGAAGGCATATTGGTTTTAACTGCAAGCACTTTAAGATGTCAAATTCGGAGGGGAATACCTGTCTACACTCATATGTAAGTTAAACTGTATTAAAATATAATAACAAACAGGACATTTTTTTAGGTCAACTCAAATGCAAGATATGCAATGCATGCTCCAAATGTCCCCCACAAGACTTTTAATGGGGGGACATCAGGACAAATTACTTGACTTTAATTTAAACGTTTGCAAGGAAACAATGTCGGTAAGTTATTAATTTTTTTTTTTAATCATTTTTTTAATAATTTTTTTTTTAAGTGTGATGTTGGTGAATCTGGTTGTGTGATGCTAAGACCACACAGCAGATTCGTTTGCGCTGGAAACCCTTTGGGAAGAATTGATCTGAGAGATCCAAATAATTTAAAAATCGAACACACCCTGGAAACTCATAGCGGAAGTTTGAGTGATTTTGATGTGCAAGGTAACCTTTTGGTCACTTGTGGGTTTAGTAACAGGTAAGTGTCTAGAAATAAAATATAAAAAATGTTCGCATCGTTTTATTGTCTCTAATTTCTTATAAACTGAAAAAAAAATTATACCTACACATTTTTTTCCTATGAAATATTGCGATAAGTTGATAGTTTCACGGGAAAAAACTCCTATCATTTTATGAGAAATTCACTCTTTCCAAAGTTGAAATTTTAAATTAAATTATAAGCGGCAAAAACAATTTTTTTTTAAATGCAAATAACTGAAGATCCTTTAGAAATTTTGAAGACTTTGTGAAAGATAATTTAAGGAAAATGAAACGCTCTACAAAAAATGTCCTATGACATTTTGCGATAAGTTTGATAGTTTCACGGGAAAAAAGTCTCTTATCTTTAATGAGAAATTCAATCTTTCAAAAGTTGATATTTTAAATTAAATTAAAAGCGGCCAAAAGTTTTTGGCCCAAAACAAGATTTTTTTAAATGCAAATAACTGATAATCGTTTAGAAATTTTGAAAACAGTCTCTTATCATTTTATGAGAAATTCACTCTTTCAAAAGTTGATATTTTAAATTAAATTAAAAGCGGCAAAAACAAGATTTTTTTAAATGCAAATAACTGAAGATCTTTTAGAAATTTTGAAAACTTTCTAAAATATAATTTTAGGGAAATGAAACGCTCTACAAAAAAGTTACTATAAAATTTTCCGATAAGTTTGATAGTTTCACGGGAAAAAAGTCCCTTATCATTTTATGAAAAATTCACTCTTTCAAAAGTTGATGTTTTAAATTAAATTTAAAGCGGCAAAAACAAGATTTTTTTAAATGCAAATAACTGAAGATCTTCTAGAAATTTTGAAAACTTTTTGAAAGATAATTTAAGGAAAATGCAACGCTCTACGAAAAATGTCCTATGACATTTTGCGATAAGTTTGATAGTTTCACGGGAAAAAGGTGTCTTATCACTTTATAAAAAAATCACTCTTTTAAAAGTTGATAGTTTAAATTAAATTAAAGGCGGCCAAAACAAGATTTTTTTAAATGCATATAACTGAAAATCTTTTAGAAATTTTGAAAACTTTGTAAAAGATAATTTAAGGGTAGTTTCACAAGAAAAGTAGGAAATAAACTATAAATTTAACTTTTACCATGAATTACTTTTAAAAGAGTGAATTTTTCATTAAATGGGAAATATAAATTCGCGATTTATTCGTATTAGGAACTCTTTTTTTAATTTTATTACGTGGGACAGTGTTATTTTTAATTAATTTTAGGCATGGAAATTTGGCAGTGGACCGTTTTTTGATGGTTTACGATTTGCGAATGCTGAGAGCTGTCTCGCCTATGCAAGCTGTTCTGGATCCTCTGTATTTAAGATTTATACCGTCTCTATCCTCTAGATTGGCTGTGGTTTCGGCCATGGGCCAGGTCCAACTCTTGGACACCATTGCCTTGAACGAGCCCAAGTTGTGTTTAATGCAAATGGAAAATCCAGGTAAACGATCGACAGCATTAATCCCCTTTAAATCTCAATGTTTCTCCTCTCAGGTGCCATGTGTCTGGCTTTCGATATAAGCTCCACATCCCAGGCGATTTCCTTTGGGGACAACTCGGGACACATTCATTTGTTTGCCACCACCGAAGAACCGGTTTTCAACAATTACTCGAGGTTGGTATGCAAAAATCTTGTCGATGATGATATCGAGGTTTTTTCAGGGTTACAGAACACGCCGATCCAGTGGAACAGTACCATAGCTTCGCTATGGACGATTACAGCACCCCCTTTGTCAGTTATACCCATGCCAATTGTGCCTGACATTACCGTTGGCTAGCGATTGGCCCGCCCAGTTCATGCAGTATGTCTACAGGTTTGATTTTTTCCTATTTTTATGCGGTATTTTTTAGAATTTGAAATTTCCAAATTTGTTTATGTTTTTTAACATTTAGTTTTATCGGTGGTGCCAAATTTTCCTAAATTTCCAGAAGATTTTTTGCGACCGTTGTCAAATTTCAGAGCAAGCACTGTTTATTTTGAAATTTTTAGATTTCGGATTTTTTTTTAATTTTTAAGATTTTTAAAATTTTAACATTTTTGCGACGTTGTCATACTTGTAAAAATTCTCTGAAACGGGTCAACTTTTGCGACGTTGCCAAATTTCCAAAAACCCCCAGGATCTAAGAACATTTTTGCGACGTTGCCATACTTATAAAAATTCTCTGAAACGGGTCAAATTTTGCGACGTTGCCAAATTTCCAAAAAATCCCAGGATCTAGGATTTTTTTTTAATTTTCAGGATACCTTCAGAATGTCATTTAGCACTGTTTATTTTGAAAAAATTTTGATTTCGGACATTTTTCCATTCCCATTTTCCAAAATCTTTAAAATATTTAAAAATTTCAAATTTTCAAGTTCTAATGGTTCTAATGGTTAATCCGTCAATAAAGATATTTATTTATTTATTTATATTTTTAAAATTTTAAGCAAAATGTTTGCAACGTTGTCAAATTTCTAAAATTCTCATAATCAGGAGAATTTTTTCGACGATGACAAATTTCCAAAAATACCAGGATCTAGGAATTTTTTAAAATTTTCAGGTTAACTTCATTTTGTAAATTTTTAGATTTCGGATTTTTTTTTCAAAATAATTAAAACTTTCAAATGTTAAGGAACAATTTTTGCGAAGTTGCCAAATTTTTTAAATTCTCTGACTCGGGACAAATTTTGCATTGTTGCCAAATTTCCAAAAATCCCAGGATCTAGGAATTTTTAAATTTTTTTAGGATACCTGAAGAAAGTTATTTATAAAGTTATAAATTTTTCCTTAATTTTACAAAATCTTTAAAAATTTTAAAATACTTAAAAATTTTCCAAAATTCTTACAATTGTCATTTTTGACATTGACATTTTCGAAATTTTTAAATGTTTAAAATTTAAAATTTTTTTATAATTTTTAAAATAACCACATTTTTCAAGGTTTTCAGAATTTTCAAAATTTTAAAATTGTTTTAAGAATTAAAATTGTAAAATTCTCATAATATTCCAATTTTTCATAAATTTTTAAATTTAAAAAAATTATTAACTAGCGCTAGTTAATTGATTTTCAAAATTTTGAAAATGATGAAGGTTTTTAAAATTTTCAAAAATTTAAAATTGTATTAAAGTTTCTATAATTGTAAAGTTTTCTGAAATTTTAAAATTCGCAAATTTACAATATTTCAGAAATTTTAAAATTATAAAAAAATTATTTAGTTATCTAATTTTCACCCTGTTTAAATTTTCCAAAATGTTTAAATATTTAAAATTTACAAAATTTTGTAAATAACAAAAATTTACCAAGGTTTTCAGAATTTTAAAAATCTTAAAATTTCCAAATTGTAGTTTTTTAGAATTTTAAAATTCTCAAAAAAATTAAAAAAAAAATATTATTAACTAGCGCTAGTTATTAAATTTTCACCCAGTTTAAATTTTCCAAAATGTTTAAAAAATTTAAATTTGTCAAAATTTTCAAAATAAACAAAATTTTAAAATGTTTTAAAAATTCCATTTTTTTAGGAAATTTGAAATTCTCATTATCTTCAAATTTTTAGAATTTTTAAATCATCAAAAAAACCTATTAGCACTATTTTTTAAATTTTTACCCTGTTTAGGTGGAGCGGTTGCGGCAAACAAAATTTATTATAACCCTCACTTTCTCTCGGTTTCAAAGATCATTATAGTCGCCCCTTGCATCTATTAAAAAAATCTGACACTTGTTAGACAGTTGAACATTGAAATACCTGATGCCTAACAACGTGAATAACGAGTTTATTATTCCCGTTGCGGGGCAATTTATACTTGATGTCATTCACCAACATAAAATCTCTTGCGTCAAATCGTTGCATTTTATTTTTGTTTGGTTGGCAATACTTGCTTGATATGTCACTTGTCAAAATGACAGTGACAGTATACTTTTCATTCCCCAAAAATGTCGTCGAGGATAGACGATCCAGCTCCGATAAAAACGTTGTGTCCGTGTTCTTTTTAGGAAACCGCAAGGAATTGATCCAGAAATTTTCCGTTCGATGAAAATGCAGGGCCCCATTGGTTACGCGCCCAACCCGAGGTCGACGAGGGAGAAACCAAGTGAGAGTTGATTTTTAGTTGTGATATCATTTCGCCAATAAATTGTTTAGTTTCCTTATTGTTTTTTAATCGTTCGAGTTATTAAAGCCTCACGTTAAGAAACAACAAGGAACATGCAATAACGCGCGTTTCAAACAGGTTGTTTACGATATCGGTCTGAATGGGTACAGCAACCACAATCAGCTCAACAAAAGTCCCAAGCACTCACGAAGAAGATGGTACGTTTATAGCAATACCGAAAAGATACAGAAAGGTTGACGTTAAATACAATAAACTGGGTAGCGACGATTTTCAATTCGATTTGTACAACAAAACCGGCCTGTGCGGGCTTGAGGCTACCCTGCCCAACGCCTATTGCAACTCCATGATACAAGTAAGTCAAACAGTTTGGGAAAGTTAAAAACCCATTTAACTCATTTTATCTACACTCACAGGCAAAATAATCGATCCACACAAATTTTCGATGAATTTCAATCGCAAATAACTTTTTTATTTGATGTCGGATTTAAACGAATATTAAAGAATATTGTAGATAAATTAATGAACAATCGCTCACATTTAAAAAAAAAATACTAAAAAATAGACGTACGTTTATAATATACAGGTTTAAACAAAAATATGTTTTTTACCTTAAGTTTAAGACACTCCGTAGAGTGGCAAAACCGTATATTTTTCTAAATTAAGTTGTATTTATCAAGTCACATCTATTCTTAACAGTTTTGTTTTTGGTTCACCTCGATATATTTATTTTTGTGGAAAATATGGATTTTTTAAAAAAACATTGCAATTTCCAATATTTTTCTGTATGAAGAACTAAGGTTGCTATGGTCCATCCATAGGCTATGGAGAATGACAGTGACAGTTTTGTTGAATCATCCCATACTTGGACATGTCATACACGGCTTTCAAAAGCTATCAAATTGTTTTTTGCAAATTAATGTTTAAATTTTGAGGTGTCTTCTTACTTTATAAAATGGATATGTCTCCGACTGATGTTGCCAGAGCCATTAATTTAATCCAGGTTGGACGGTCACAGTATTACGTGGCAAGTGTTTTAAACGTCACAAGAAGTAAAGTACAAAGGGCAACATCAGTCGCAGACATTTTTAAAAGTAAGAAAACACCTCAAAATTAACACATTAATTTTCAAAAAACAATTTGATAGCTTTTGAAAGCTGTATATGACATGTCCAAGTGTGGGATGATTCAACAAAACTGTCACTGTCATTCTCCATAGGCTATGGATGGACCATAGCAACCTTAGTTCTTCATACAGGAAAAATACTGGAAATTGCAATGTTTTTTAAAAAAATCCATATTTTCCACAAAAATAAATATATCGAGGTGAACCAAAAACAAAACTGTTAAGAATAGATGTGACTTGATATATAAAACTTAATTTAGAACAATATACGGTTTTGCCACTCTACAGAGTGTCTTAAACTTATGGTAAAAAACATATTTTTGTTTAAACCTGTATATTATAAACGCACGTCTATTTTTTAGTAATTTTTCAAATGTGAGCGATTCTCCATTAATGTATCTACAATATTCTTTAATATTCGTTTAAATCCGACATCAAATAAAAAAGTTATTTGCGATTGAAATTCATCGAAAATTTGTGTGGATCGATTATTTTGCCTTTTGCGTTCATAATGACTAGTGGTGGAAATATGCGCAACAACATACCTTGCTTTCTTGGACCATGAAGTACATGGTCACTTTATGTGTACGTTTAAGGTTCTATACCACACGGAACCACTCAGGGCAGCCCTGCTATCTCACCTGTGCACCAAGGAATTTTGTCTATCCTGCGAGTTGGGTTTCCTGTTCCAGATGTTATCGAACGCGAGTCAAAATCAGCCCTGTCAGCCCGGGAATTTCCTCAGGGCGTTCAGAACGGTGCCCGAGGCCTCGGCCCTCGGGCTGATTTTGAGCGATCTGCATCCAGAAGCTAAAGTCAAAACAGACCTGTGCGCGCTGATTCAGGTAAGTGGCTCTTATATGTACAGACTGTATAGAATCAACTAAGTAAGGCTGGAGACAAGGATGACAAATTATATTTCGATCAGAGAAAAAGAAACAAACTTTAATTGGGCGTGGTTTAAACCAAGCCATTCGTAATTACGAACCATAGTTGCCAGGTTGTTTTAAATCAGAAGAGAACGATTATAATTATTTAATAAATAGTTCAATTTTATTTGTTTGAAACTTCAAAAATAACAAAAAAAATTAATAATATGTCATAATTTGATTTAGTTAATTTTCTTACTTTTAATATTAAAAAATAAGAAAAACAACCCTTTTAGGAAACAATAATAGCATATGGCAACAGCGCGGCATGCAGCCAGATACAAGGGCATGCAGTTTGATCTACTGTGTTCAGTAGGTCCGACGCTGTCGTAGGGAAATGTGTATAGTTTTTAAGAAATACATTTTCGCCATTAACTGGAATTTAATGGATTTTAAACAATACTTAGTTTTTATTTGCAGAAATGCATTAAAACAAAACACTTGTTTTATTTAAGTGTGTCTATTCGTTTTAATACACACTGTATATACGCCAAAGAAGTATCGGTTTTTCGCAACGCGCGCGCCATCTGGTGGACTTCAAAAGCATTGCGTGAATTTAAGAATTGTCAACAATACATTTAAAGCATACGAACTGTACATCATTTTTAAATAAATAGGTAGTTTTTTCACAAAAGAGTCTTACTCGACAAATTTCATTCAATTGCACAGCTAAATCGCGCACGTTATTTGTGTTTTACGTTGCAAGGAAAAACTAAAAAACTGGTTTAGTACTCGATTTCGATTGATTATTCCTTATATCATTGATTAAGAAACTCCACGCTTAAATGCTTATATAGTTATGTTATTGTGTGCATTTTATCTAAGGGATCATGTTGAATTATTGTACTTTTAATTGTTAATAAAATTTAAGAACTAAATCGTTGCATTTTCATGTTTTGCCAAAGGATCCAATTCGGCAAGTACATTTGTTGGTGCAGAATTAACTAATGATAACTTTACCTAATATAGTTTATATTTAAGATTGGACATTTTTAAGAAATTAGAAAAAAATAATTTTTGCACAAACATAACCCTTTTATATTTGAGTTCTCTAAAAAACGCCGATAACTGCATTTTAAACAACAAAATATACCTACGAATTCATGGCAACATAATATTATATATAATACATAAAATAATGGTATTTTACCATTGGGTGGAGACTTTCTTAATCAACGCTTTTAACAATGCTAAATGCTGTTTAAATTTAGACGACTTATTTGTTTGATGATTTTTACTGAATTGAAATGTTTACACTTTTCACGTTAATCACTACTAAAATGTGTATTTATTGTATCTAATAGGTACAATTCATATTTACAGAGACTGTATGCAATTTATTTCTCCATTCAGATTAACATTGTTTATTGGAAAACCGGTAAAAACTAAACCCAGGATTTTTTTAACATTTTCCGGCTTTATTCTCAAAAACACTCGTTTGTAAACTAAGTAGCTGATTATTAAAAGTCGTACTTTTGTTACGATGATAACAGCCGAGTGGTGGCGCTACTAGCGATACTTCTTTAGCGTATAGAGAGTTCTCAGCGACATCTACATTTTCGTTTTAGAGTTGGAATAGGTTCATGCTGCATCAAATGCACGTTGAACTGGTGGAAAATAAGAGACGTTTGGAGGAGAAAAAACAGTCGAAAAAACCGTTCATCTACAAGGAAACGGATTTTCCGAGTATATCGACTGATAGAAAAAAGAGCAACGCTTCAGGTGAGCCACCTTAATATTTTTTGTTACTTAAGTTTTGTGATGTTTTAAATTGAATTAACTAGAAGTCAACATTAAAATTGAAGATGAGAAGCAGGAGGAAATCTCGGAGATAAGTCAACTTTTTGGGACCAAACAGCTCCAGAAAAACACTTGTCTCAAATGTAATTGCGAGGTATTTTCTTTCAGAATTATAAAAAAAAAACATTTTTTATTTTACTTTATTTTAGGTCAAGAAGGAGTCGGTTTTGCTCGCTTGCAATCTCGTTTATCCCACGAACGAGCCCGATCGCGAAGAATGGAGTTTTTGCGACATTTTGGCCAGGTCTCTTTGTCCACAGCAAACCACGCCTGCTTGGTGCGACGATTGCAGCAAATTTACGCCCACCTTGCAAACCAGAATCATTGAGGTACAGTTGCTTTTATATTTAAAAACGGTTATGTGAAACTTTGTTGCTAAACATTTATGAATTGGTAAAGTACATTTTTATAACCCGTGTATTTTTTTAGCCTTTGAACCGGGTAAGTTAAAATCAAGAAATTATTTTATACAGAAAAATTTGACAAATGACATTTTAAAAAGCCGGTAAAACAGATTCCTGACACTAATTTTGTATAGATGTCTCTCTATACATATAATAGTAATAATATTAATAATAATAATATTTTTATTAAACACAGCTTCGCTCGTGCCTAATTAAAATTCGTAACTAAAATTGCGTTTATTAAACTTGATTCATAATACTATTATAATTCATTTTGGAATGTCAATTTTTTAAAATGTTAAACGTTAAGGTTTAATTCAAGAATATGAAATTTTAAGAATTTTAAACAAATTTAAAATATTAAAAACATATTTAGAATGTTAAAACACATTTAAAATGTTAAAAACACATTTAGTTTCTTAAAAACACATTTAAAATGTTAAAAACACATTTTAGAATGTCAAAACCATATTTAACTCTTCATTTAGAATGTTTTAAACACAACTAAATTTAGGAATGTGAAAAACACTTTTTGAATACATGTATAAACACATTTGATAAGGCCATTTGAACTCACTAAAAAAGGTTAAATTTAAGTATGTTTAAAAAACAATTGAATCACAGAATGGGAAAACACATTTATAATATTAAAAACACATTTTAGAATATGATAAACACATTTATTTAGAATGTTAAAAACGCATTCAAAATGTTGAAAAACACATAACCATATTTAAAAAAACATATTAAGAATGTTTAAAACACATTTAAAATGTTAAAATCATAATTTAAACTCTTCACATAGAATGTTTAAAACACAATTCAATTTAAGAATGGGAAAACACATTTTGAATGTTAAAAAAACATATTAAAAATGTTTTAAAACACATTCTAGACAGTCAAAACCCTATTCAACTCTTCATTTAGAATGTTTAAAACGCAATTGAATTTAAAAATTTGAAAACACATTTAGAATATTAAAAACACATTTAAAATGCTAAAAAATAGAATGTTTTAAAGGTCATACTAAAAAAATGCAATAATAATGTTAACATCAAAACTTAAACTCTTTATTTAGAATGTTTAAAAAACAATTGAATTACAGAATGTTAAAAACATATTTAAAATGTTTAAAAAACACATTTAGAATGTTAAAACCCATTTAAAATGTTAAAAACATAGAAGGTCATACTTGCTAAAAATGTTAAAAATGCAAAAAATAAAAATCATAATTTAAACTTTTTATTTAGAATGGGCAAACACATTTAGAATGTTAAAAACATTCAAAATGTTAAAAACAAATTTTAACACATATTTAACTCATCATTTAGATTGTTTTAAACACAATTGAATTTAAGAATGTAAAAACACATTTGAAATGTTAAAAACACATTTTAGAATGTCAAAACACATTTTAGAATGTCAAAACCATATTTAATTCTTCATTTAGACACAATTGAATTTAAGAATGCGAAAAACACATTTATTAGAATGTTAAAAACACATTCAAAATGTTAAAAACTCATTTTAGAATGTGAAAAACACATTTATTTAGAAACACATTAAAAATGTTAAAAACACATTTTAAAATGTCAAAACCATATTTAACTAATCATTTAGAATGAATTTAAGAATGTGAAAAACAAATTTAAAATGTTAAAAACACATTCAAAATGTTTTAAACGGAATTGAATTTAAGAATGTGAAAAACACATTTAAAATGTTAAAAACACCTTTAAAATGTTTTAAACGCAATTGAATTTAAGAATGTAAAAATCACATTTGTAATGTTCAAAACACATTTAAAATGTTAAAAACACATTCGAAATGTATAAACACATTTGATAAGGTCATTTAAACTTTCTAAAAAGGTTAAATTTAAGAAAATTTAATTTAGGAATGTAAAAAACATATTTTCAACGTAAAACACATTTAAAATGTTAAATAACAGATTTAGAATGTTTGGAATTTTAAAATATTATACTTAATTAAAAAAATTAAATTTAAGAATGTGAAAAAAAAAACATTTAAAACCACAATAAGAATGTAAAGTATTTTTATGCACGATGGCATTATAATATGACAATTATAACAAAAATTCTTTGACGTAAACGTCTTTTTATAGCCCGCGGGCGTTATTATGACCCAGCGGGCTATAATGAAACGTCAAAAATTAAAAACAACAATGTTACACCATTTGATATATTCGAAGTAAGTTTTTTCGTATAAAGATTTTGATATTTCCGGCAGCAGGCCGAAATTTTTCGCCTTTTCAGCTGCTTCCTCAATTTCATTCATCTTTAAACTTTAAAACTGACTGATGTCAGTTGACATTATAATATGATTAATATAAATATAATTATTATAACAAAAATTATTTGACGTAAACGTCTTTAAAAACAATAATATATTAAAAATAATAATATATTAATCGTGCATAAAGTTTTGTATGTATTGCTGGCATAACTGGTTTTTATGGTCCTACGGCGCGTTTCTAGCCCTCGCGCTAACGCGCTCGGGCTCGAAATAGCGCCTCGGGCCATAAAAGCCTTATTATGCCCTTAATACATAAATAACTATTAAATCCAAACAACTTAATTTTGGTTTTTAAAAATTATTTATTATATGTTATACATCTCGCCTCTGTTGGCTTACCAACCGAGCATATAAGTGTTCCTTTACTGTATGATTATTATATATTATATATTATACATCTCGCCTCTGTTGGCTTACCAACCGAGCATATAAGTGTTCCTTTACTGTATGATGTTGTTAAAATCGCATTTTATGCCTCCTGCAGTCTCTGCCGAAGCTGCTGGCCATCAACACCGGGCTGCACAACCCGCAGCACAAGCAGTTCTGGCAGACGCAGATGGACAAGGTGGTGGCGAAGATGTCGCAGCTCGATCCGACGCGCGGCGCCGCCGCCACCGCGCCGCTGAGCAGCTCGAAGCCGTGCCGCTACGGCGACAGCTGCACGCGGCCGGGCTGCCGCTTCCGGCACAGCTTCGACAACGCGCCGCCGCCCGCGCCAGTCAACAACCCCTACTGCAGCAACAACTGGCTGCCGCACTCCATCGAGTTGAGCTTGAGGGAGGGCAAGCTGAAGGTCGCCAAGGTGGACGATGTGAGTACTAGCAACGTTTTTGTCATTTTTAAGAACCTTGTAAATTTTTTGCATTTTGAAAAATACAAATTTTTTGTAAATTTTCCGAAATTTGCGAAAACTGAAATTTTTTGGAAAATTTCCGAATTGTTATAAAAAATTTCCAAATTTTTGTAAAAAATTTCAAAAATTTGAAAAAATTAGGATTGTAATGTTTTTTAAAATTTTTAAATTTTTGAAAATTAAAAAATTTTGAAATATAAAATATAGAAGATTTAAGAAAAAATTGGATGATACCCATTTTAAAAAAAATTATTAATTTAAATTATTATATGTATATTATATTTTGTAAATTTTGAAGATTTAAAAAAATTTAGAATGTGAAAAACACATTTATAATATGAATGTAAAAAACACATTTTTAACTTTTTAAAATGTTTAAAAAACAATTGAATTTAAGAATGTAAAAAAACATTTAGAATGTTAAAAACACATTAAGAATGGTAAAAACACATTCAAAATGTTAAAAACACATTCAAAATGTTAAAAACACATTCAAAATGTTAAAAACACATTATATATTATATATATTTTGTAAATTTTGAAGACTTAAAAAAATTTAGAATATGAAAAACACATTTATAATGTTAAAAACACATGTAAAAACACATTTTAAACTTTTTAAAATGTTTAAAAAACAATTGAATTTAAGAATGTAAAAAAAGATTTAGAATGCTAAAAACACATTAAGAATGTTAAAAACACATTCAAAATCTTATAAACACATTTTAGAATGTGAAAAACACATTTATTTAGAATGTTAAAAACACATTTTAAAATGTTAAAACACATAAGAATTTTAAGAACACATTTAAAATGTTAAAATCATAATTTAAACTTTTTATTTAGAATGTTACAGAATAAGAAAAACACATTTAGAATGTTAAAAACACATTTAAAATGTTAAGTTAAACTATTCATTTAGAATGTTTAAAAAACAATTGAATTACAGAATGGGAAAACACATTTAGAATTTTAAAAACACATTTAAAATGTTAAAAACACATTACAATTCCAAATTTTTGTACAAAATTTGAAAAATTTAGGATTGTAATATGTTTTTTAAAATTTTTAAACATTTAAAAAAGTTTGTAAAACATAAAATTTAGAAGATTTAAAAAATATGGAAAATTTTAAAATTTTATCCTACCTCATCGTTTTCACTCGTCAAACCCTTTCTTTTGATTCCCATTTAAAAAAAATGATTAATTTAAATTATTATATAGGTATATTATAAATATTTTGTAAATTTTGAAGATTTAAAAAAATTTAGAATGTGAAAAACACATTTATAATGTAAAAACACATTCAAAATGTTAAAAACACATTCAACATGTTAAAAACACATTATATATTATATATATTTTGTAAATTTTGAAGACTTAAAAAAATTTAGAATTTGAAAAACACATGTAAAAAACACATTTTAAACTTTTTAAAATGTTTAAAAAACAATTGAATTTAAAAATGTAACAAAAAATTAGAATGAAAAAAACACATTAGGAATGTTAAAAACACATTCAAAATGTTAAAAACACATTTTAGAATGTGAAAAACACATTTATTTAGAATTTTAAAAACACATTTATTTAGAATGTTAAAAACACATTTCAAAATGTTAAAACACATAAGAATTTTAAAAACACATTTAAAATGTTAAAATCATAATTTAAACTTTTTATTTAAAATGTTTAAAAAACAATTGAATTACAGAATGGGAAAAACACATTTAGAATGTTAAAAACACATTTAAAATGTTAAGTTAAAGTATTCATTTAGAATGTTTAAAAAACAATTGAATTACAGAATTGGAAAACACATTTAGAATTTTAAAAACACATTTAAAATGTTAAAAACACATTTAGAATCTTAAAAACATTTTTAAAATGTTACAAAACACATTACAAATGTCAAAAACACATTTAAAATGTTAAAATCATAATTTAAACTCTTCATTTAAAATGTTTAAAAAACAATTGAATTACAGAATGGGAAAATCACATTTAGAATGTTAAAAACACATTTAAAATGTTAAAAACACACATAGAATGTTAAAAACACATTAAGAATGTTAAAAAGATATTTAAATTCAAACTGGTTTTGACAGTGTTAAACTTGTCTTTGACTTTCAAGTAGGATTGACATTCCCAAATATGGTTTTGACAATCTAAATATGATTTTGTCTGTCTTAAATCTGTTTATTATTCATTATTTTATTCTCACATATTTAAATATGCTTTTAACATTCCTAAATCTGTCTAAATCAGGTTATACATTTTTTAATATGGTTTTGACTGTTCTAAATTTATTTTCCATATTCTAAATATGTTTTTTACAGTCTTAAGTTAGTTTTTGTCATTCTAAATATGGTAAAAAAATTCTTTAAATTGTCTTTACATTTTTAAATTTGTCTTGACATTCTACTGTAAGTTTTAAATCCTTAAATATGGTTTCGAGACTCTAAATTATGTCTTTGGCATTAATAAATAGGGTTTTGAAAATATAAATATGCTTTTGTCAGTCTTAAATCTGTTTGACATTCTGTGTTTACAATACATTATTTTAAATGTGTGTTTGACATTCTAAATATGGTTTTGAGCGTCTTAAATTTGTTTTTGACATTCTTAACTAGGTTTGACATTATTAAATGTGGTTTTAAATTAGTTTTTGTAATTCTAAGTATATTAATACAATTGCAAAATTTTGGAAAATATATTTTTTTTAAACTGTCTAAAATGTCTTCCCTTATCGTTTTCTACTCGTCAAACCCTTTCTTTTGATACCCATATCAAGGCGGTTGTGAAAAAATAGGGTTTTACATTCCAAATATGGTTTTGAAAATATAAATATGCTTTTGTCTTCTCTGTTTGACATTCTGTGTTTACAATACATTATTTTAAATGTGTGTTTGACATTCTAAATATGGTTTTGAGCGTCTTAAATTTGTTTTTGACATTCTTAACTAGGTTTGACATTATTAAATGTGGTTTTAAATTAGTTTTTGTAATTCTAAGTATATTAATACAATTGAAAAATTTTGGAAAATATATTTTTTTTAAACTGTCTAAAATGTCTTCCCTTATCGTTTTATACTCGTCAAACCCTTTCTTTTGATACCCATATCAAGGCGGTTGTGAAAAAATGGGCAATGCACAGCCACTCATTTCTTACGCCACCAACACATGCTATTTGATCCCCTCTACGTTCACGCGTCTGCACTCTCAATATAACTTCCAAAAGCTAAATTGTCATATTCCACTTTACATTAAGATCGCGTCGAAAGGAGAAAAACCCGACACAATCGAAGAGGAGATAAAGGAACGCTACGAACTGACCACCGTCGTTTGCTACATAAACGACCAAACGACCAGCGAAAAGCGCAATCTGGTGGCTCTCATCAAAGTGCCAGATTCCTATCTGAACAGCAAAACGGTGGACACCAACACCAAGTGGTACTTGTTCAACGACTTCAGCATATACCCGATACCGGTGCAGGAGGCGGTGTGGTTCAGTCTGGATTGGAAGACCCCGTGCGTCCTGTACTACACCACTCCCGAGGTCATCGAGGCCAAGACCGACGTGCAGAAGCCTCTCACCAGGGTAAGGGTGTTTCAGTCACAGACCACCAAAACAAATGGACGAATTTGTTTACGTTTAAAAAGCGAGTAAAGCATAGTTTCACATTCTAAACACCGTCGAAAGAAACACGGCTTCCAACGTTGTCAGAAGTATAGATTACACGCCTTTTTGGACGTTCATCATAACATAATGAACATTGATAATTACCAGTAATTCGTTTCAATAATAAAAAAATTGTAAAAAGGATTTGTTCATCATTTTCTTTAGATATTTTTCTTTATTTAAAGAAAGTAAATCATTTAATAATTATTAAAATTAAATATTAACAACGTTGGTAAATTCGTCATATTTGACAGCATAGAAAAAGGTTATGTTCTGTGGGTTGACAGCTTGTTGTTTTGTGTTTTCGTTTGTGTATTTCTATCGTGTTTAAGTTAATTATGCAGTTTAAATACATTATTTTTTACTAAAAATAACAATACATGGAAATATCGTTTGTAACTACCTATCTACTTATTATTTTTTTAATCCCAATACGTCACTGGAAGAAAACATAAAATTCTATCTCCAATTTGACGCTTAGACTGTGACCGTTTGTTGACCGCAAACAAAGCATTGTTATTGAATGGCAATGCGCCGTCCATTTGTTTTGGTGGTCTGTGGGTGTTTCAGTCGAATGATTTCAAGCTTACCACGCTCCATTTCATTTCTTAGGAGGTTTTCACCGAAGATGCTTGCATCGCGAGAAGCGGTGGCACCACTGGAATCACTTTCACGCCCTTGCACGATAACGAAACCCTAAATACAGGGGATTTGGTCGCGATGGATGCAGAGTTTGTTACCTTGAACCAAGAAGAAGCGGAACTGAGGAGCGACGGTAAAATGTCGACGATAAAACCGTCTCAAATGTCTGTGGCAAGAATCACGTGCATCAGAGGGTGAGTATATATTAGGGTGATAAAAAAATCGAATATTTTGCTATCTCCAGAAATTTTAGCTCTTAATACTAACAGGAAGATCATCCTCGTTACAACGTTCTATTCTTTCTTTAGTCCCTTCCCAACTAACAATTTTTAGTTGCTGTAAGAACGTTTACAGACCATATTTTATAAAACACACACTGTTTTATAATTGGCGCAGATTTTTAAAACGTTCATAAATTGTTAATAAAATTCAAGTAAAACTGTTATAAAATAGTTTTGTTAAAGCTCTGTTTCTGGAATAAAACCACATATTTATAGGACTAGTATAGAACTGTCATAAAAATATTTTATAACCCTCTCAATTTTAGCTCTTTTGCTACCAGCGCTGCATCGGTGTTTAAATAATTTTTTGCACCAAGTTATTTTATAATTATTCAACTAGGTTTTTAAAAACACAGCAATGATATTTAATGAAACCGTTTAAACTATCATAGAACTAAAAATAAAACAATATAACAAATAATAAATATTAAAATAGGTCAGAAAAAATTCAACCATTCAGCTAAGAAATGAAATTTACTGTTAAATATATAATACACTCACAGGCAAAATCGCAAATAACTTTTTTATTTGTTTTCTGATTTAAACAAATATTAAAGAATATTGTAGATACATTAATGGAGAATCGCTCACATTTTAAAAATTACTAAAAATACACGTACATTTATAATATACAGGTTTAAACAAAAATATGTTTTTTACCATAAGTTTAAGACACTCTGTAGAGTGGCAAAACCGTATATTGTTCTAAATTAAGTTTTAATTATCAAGTCATATCTATTTTTAACAGTTTTGTTTTTGGTTCACCTTGATATATTTATTTTTGTGGAAAATATGGATTTAAAAAAAAAACATTGCAATTTCCAATATTTTTCCTGTATGATGAACTAAGGTTGCTATGGTCCATCCATAGCCTATGGAGGATGACAGTGACAGTTTTGTTGAATCATCCCATACTTGGCTTTCAAAAGGTATCAAATTGTTTTTTGTAAATTAATGTGTTAATTTTGAGGTGTCTTCTTACTTTTAAAAATGTCTCCGACTGATGTTGCTCTTTGTACTTTACTTCTTGTGGCGTTTAAAACACTTGCCACGTAATACTGTGACCGTCCATCCTGGATTAAATTAATGGCTCTGGCAACATCGGTCGGAGACATATCCATTTTTTAAAGTAAGAAGACACGTCAAAATTTAAACATTAATTTGCAAAAAACAATTTGATAGCTTTTGAAAGCCGTGTATGAAATGTCCAAGTATGGGATGATTCAACAAAACTGTCACTGTCATTCTCCATAGGCTATGGATGGACCATAGCAACCTTAGTTCTTCATACAGAAAAATATGGAAATTGCAATGTTTTTTTAAAAAATCCATATTTTTCACAATAATAAATAAATATATCGAGGTAAACCAAAAACAAAACTGTTAAGAATAGTTGTGACTTGATAAATAAAACTTAATTTAGAACAATATACGGTTTTGCCACTCTACAGAGTGTCTTAAACTTATGGTAAAAAACAAATTTTTGTTTAAACCTGCATATTATAAACGTACATCTATTTTTTAGTAATTTTTTAAAATGTGAGCATTGTCCATTAATTTATCTACAATATTCTTGAATATTCGTTTAAATCCGACATCAAATAAAAAAGTTATTTGCGATTGAAATTCATCGAAAATTTGTGTGGATCGATTATTTTGCCTGTAAGTGTATAATATATTATTAATAAAATTTTAATGCGCCTCGCGAATTATGCAAGTAAATGAATTTAGTAATTAATAATTATTAATTACACAAGTCCTTTTTTGTAGAGCATTCAATTTCCTACAAAAATATTTATAAAGATTTGATTAAACGATTGACTAATAACAAAATATGGTCTTTATAAGAGACTAAAAAAAAGGAAAACTATGTCCGCCGTTTTAGCATTTATTAGATAATAGTGTGAAGATTAAAGTTTAACAGTTTAATGATGTTTTAACAGAAATTTACAAAGTTAAATTTTTGTATACTCAAAACAATTGATATTCAAAAATTTTTTTAAATATAAAGTACAATTGTAAAACTTTACAAAATTATTGGTTTAAATTTAATGTGATAATTTTTGTATTAAAAATTATCGACTATAATTTAAATGACTCTTTACAAATTCAAACCAAAACTGTTTATTTTTCACAATTTTAAATTGATACATTTTTTACACAAAATTTATAACTCTACATTTAAATGTAAGTCGATAATATTTAATTTACAAAGTGTAAACGTAGCTTTAGCAGACGGCAGAGTGGTCAATTTTAAGCAAGTCTGCAGTCAGCTAAGGCAGCGTTTACACTTTGTAAACTTAAAATTATCGACTTAGTTCATTTTTTTTATCTGGACTCGTGTTTTTTTGTTAGGTTGATGGCTTATGCCAGTTTGACTTGGTATTTTTAGTATTTAAAAATGCTGCTTCTGCTAAAGCATTTAATTAAATACTTTGACACTGTCAAATTGACAATAATATTTATTATTGATAATTTACTTGTCAATTATAAATAAAAAGATAATTATGCCAAAAATAATAGCAACGAATTCGAATGTAAAAGCCCTTTTGAGGACAAAACTTCATTTTGATGAAATTATGCCCAATGCCACAATGGAAGAAAAAGTACATCGCCTTATGGACATTTTTGGAGTAAAAAAGTAACGAATTTGGTTTTATAAATATTACATCACACTTTATTTTCACATTATTCACCATTGGACAACATTTACGTTCACAAAAAATGTTAATTTCTTTTATATAAATTCTTTTCAAAAGGAAGATTATTATCCGCTAGGAATACTTTCTCTTCTGGGCCGTAAAGCAACCTATATTTAACTACTTATTTTATATGATTTTACTCATCCAAGCACAACCAAAGCCAAATTAATTGCATTTTTAACTACGAATTTCGACAACTCAACTTGACAACTGCACATTTGCATTTTATATTTAAAATATTTTGTGATTATCAATTATTTTTGGATAAAAAAAATTTAATTTTTAAACTATTTTGGTAGAAAATGTTTTATATGTATTAAAAAAATAAAAAATTGATTGGAAATAATATTGTTTAATATAGAAGTAAACTCTGATATGGATGATTAATTTGAGGTGCCTAACCTTTCTTTCAGTGTAAAAAATGAAAAAAATCGATTTTTTTTTATTCGCCCTAGTATTCTAGGCCGAGTCTTGACATTACTAAACTATTTTTAGTCAAGGCAAAATGGAGGGTACGCCTTTTATCGACGATTACATCTCCACGCAAGAACAGGTGGTGGATTATCTGACGAAATTTTCGGGTATCAAACCCGGCGATTTGGACGCCAACTTCAGCTCGAAACATTTAACGACGTTAAAGTCCACGTACACCAAACTGAGGTTCTTGCAAGACAGCGGAGTCATATTCGTTGGACACGGACTCAAGAACGATTTCAGGTGAGTTTGCAATTATTTTGGGTCGATGCCCAATTTTTCTCTGAATAAGTCTTAGTAAGTCAGACTAATAGCAAGATTTGGGAGTCTTCTGGAAGAGTTAATAAGACTTTTTGAGACTTAATAAGACCTTTAGCAGAAAAATGGTAGGTACCTATAGCGATTAAAATAAATATCCGGAATTATTCAGAGATGTTGTATTTGGTTATTGCAAAAGAAAGCACATTGAAAAGGATTTATAAACACTGTTTTTGTGTTGTTATAAGGCTTATAAAAACACGGAAGCAACGTTTACAATGTAGGTAAACAAACTTTATTTTAATTGAACAGAATAAAACAGTTGGGAGATACGTTTGGTTTGTGTACATGCAGATCCCTTGTTGATTAAGTACATATGTAAGGTATAATAACTATAACAATTCTTCGCAACGCATAGGCATGATATGATCGACAGTCGAACTCATACACAGATTATAAAACTCATAAAACAAATATGGTTGATCTTCGAGCTGCCTTCATTGGTTCAGTGTTTTATACAGAGTTGCCGAATGAATGTCATAAAAGTTCCCGACCAAAAATTACAAAATAGGTACTAAAAAACTAGTTATATTTTAAATTTACTAGCACATTCGCCCTGTTTAAAAAAAATAATTAAATTAATTTAAAATTTTTATATAAGTAAATAAAAATGTAACAGGATATCCTATATAGAATAAAATAATTATGCATTTTTAGTAAACATACAATATTATTTACTGAAAATATCTTCAGTTAGTATTTTGATCGAAATTTTCAAAATATCCGATTTTACCCGCTTCAAAGTTCTACCCGCAAACATGACGAAAATACCCGATTTCCGAGTAAAACACCCGCAAACGGCAACACTTGATAAGTAGTGACAGGAGAGCTATCTTGAAAACGCGGGAAGATGCCATCACATGACAGATCAGCTGTGCTCTAATTGGTCAGCTGAGAAAATCGATGTTGTGTCCAAAAAGTGTTTGGAACAATGGTTAGATGAATATTTGCGTATAAAAAGAAACTATTAAAATAAAACAGTACAGTGGCAACAATAAAAGCAAGTCCAGCGCATCGTATGTAAAAAATTATAATTGTTATAGTTATTACACCTCACATGTTATTATATATGTAATTATGCAATAAACTTGGCTTATTACCACCCCGGCAAAATGTTAATAAATACTTTTCTTTGTGTTTTATTTTATAATAATCAAATACAACCTCTCTGAATAATTCCGGATATTTATTTTAATCGCTATAGTTAGGTTCCAAACATTTCTCTGCTAAAAGTCTTATTAACTCTTCTAGAAAAATTTCCACAAGGGTGTATTCTATTTTAATCTTTTAGGGTCATTAACTTGGTTGTGCCTACGGAACAAGTGGTTGACACGGTACTTTTATTTCACTTGCCCCACCACAGGATGGTTTCTTTGAGGTTTTTAGCCTGGCATTTTCTAGGCAAGTCGCTGCAAGTATCCAGCAATATTTTCTTTATTTTTCGGTGAATTTTAGGTATGAAAATTCAGTCGGAGACGCACGATTCCGTGGAGGATGCCAGGGCAGCTCTTCAGCTGTACAAAAAGTACAAACAGCTCGAGGTGCATGGAAAAATCGGCGACGAATTGGCCAAGTTGTACGAGGCTGGGAAGTCGTTGAATTGGAAGGTGCCCGAAAGTTAATGTTATTCTTTCTTCATAATTATTTTAACGTCAATTTTATTGTCACCTAAAATTTCTGCAAGGCTATTGCCCAGATTTTAATAAAAATTATTGTATTTTTTATCTCTTTATTTATTGATTGATACGTAATTTTCATTTTATCATTGAGATTTTATACTTTTTTTTTGATATTTATTGATTGATTGCATTTAGGTAATTTTTACCATTCCATCAACCGAATTTCGCCAATTTTATTTCGAAATATTGAAGAAAGTAATTTTAAAATTAAATTATTTTTGTCTTGAATAAATTTTATATCAAAATATTTAGTCTTTTATTTTTTTTAATGACAATTCTTCACTTCCCTATAAATTGTTTTTAGGAAAATGGTTTAATTGAAAAGGGTCCTACAATGACTTTGACATTCTGAAATATAGTTTGACAGTCTTAATTTGTTTTTGACACAAATATCATTTTGACATTCTCAAGTAGGTTTGACATTCCTAAATATGGTTTTGACATTCCAAAGTAAGTTTAACATTCTTAAATATACAGTGTCAAAATATTGTTTTACCAGTCTTAAATCTGTATTTGACATTCCTAAATATGGTTTTGACATTCCAAAGTAAGATTAACATTCTTAAATACACAGTGTCAAAATGTTGTTTATCCAGTCTTAAATCTGTATTTGACATTCTAAATATAGTTTTGACAGTGTTAAACTTGTCAATCTAAATATGGTTTTGTCCGTATTAAATTTGTCTTGAACATTCTGTTTTTGACATTCCATTTTATTTTTAAATGTGGTTTTTACATTCCTAAATATCTCTTGACATTCTAAGGCAAGTTATACATTTTTTATTATGGTTTTGACAGTTCTAAATCTGTTTTTGACATTCTAAATATAGTTTTGACCGTCTTAAATTTGTTTTGGACATTCTTAGGTAGGTTAATATTAAATGTGGTTTTGACAGTGTTAAACTTGTCTTTGACATTCTTAAGTAGGTTTGACATTACCAAGTATGGTTTTGACAATCTAAATATGGTTTTATCTGTCTTAAATCTTTTTTGTCATTCTAAATAGTAAACTCAATATTTTATTTTCACATTTTTAAATATGGTTTTGACATTCCTAAATATGTCTTGACATTCAGGCAAGTTATACATTTTTTAATATGGTTTTGACAGTTCTTAATCTGTTTTTGACATTCTTAATATGGTTTTGGTAGTCTTAAATTAGCTTTGTCATTCTAAATATGGTAATACAATTTTTAAATTTGACTTGCTATTCTAAAGTTTAAGTTTAACATTCTTAAATGTGGTTTTAACAATCTAAATATAGTTTTGTCAGTCTTAACCCTTTCAATACTGCGGGGATATATACGTCCCAAAGAAAATTAAAAAATGTCTCTACTTAATTAAGTGCGTTTAAATAAAACAGGGTCGGGACAATTTAGTATTTCTATGTCTTGACTTGGGATATCAGTAATAAAAACTTAATTTATTTAACGTCATGTGAACAATAACCAGCTGTTTTTCGGCCATTGCACGCTCTAAATTGAAAAAGACCAGTCACATAACCTATTTTGTGCAGTTTTTGTGTAAATTTTGCTTGAATTTTTGTGATACTTTATGTGCATTGTACGTCACAACTCATTCCTCAAAATATACGTTGGGACAAAAATATCCCTGCAGTAATATGACAGGGGATAGTTTTATCCCATCAGTGTTTTTTGATAATAAACATTTTCAAAAATAGTAGAATTTCTTTAGTGTGGGGATAAATATATCCCAGGGCATAATACTGCAGGGATAAATCTGTCCCAGGCCTTTTTTTCAAATACCACCAAAGTTAAAAATCTGTTATTCAGTCAATTAACTATTTTTAACCTAAATATAGTTTTAACACTAATAAAAAAGTTTTAAATTAATTTCCGAAAAGTCGTATTGAAAGGGTTAAATCAGTTTGAAATATATTCATCATTTTATTTTAATTTTTAAAAGTGGTTTTGACCTAAATATATATGTCTTGACATATGTCTTGACAATCTTAAATGTGATTTTGACAGCTTGAAATTTTTATACAATTTAAATATTTTTTAAAATTCCTGAATTTGATTTTGGCATTTTAAATATGGTTTAAACCATATGGTTTAAACCAAATTTGTCAATCTTATATTTTGTTTTTACCATTCTAAATTTTTAAATGTGATTTTAGCAGTCTTAAACCTTTTTTATTTGACTTTCTAAACATTCTAAAAATGGTTTTGACATTTTTAATTATATTTCTTGGCATTCTATTGTGCTTGATTTTCTAAATACCCTGCCTTCCGCTTTAATTAACTTTTATCTCTCATTAAGATAAAATTTTAGACAACTCGAAATAATTCAAGGCGCATGAGCCGGCCGGCAGTGGACGAATTGTATGTTGCGACTGAAACCCCTCAAAAGTCCTGAAAATTCGTTCAGGATATGTAGGTCGTTATTGATTACAAATTTATCTACGCAACAAAAGTGTTTTTGTTAGACTGAAAGTGTAAATAATCACCAAAGATATTTTTGCATTGAATTGGTAAGAAATAGTTTTCAGTTATTATATATATGGTGTAGGTATATATATATATAAATATGTTATATTTTTTTAGTATACATTTGGAACATGCCTCAGAATCCTGAGGCCAATCCTCAGTTGGATGTATTTTTAAAAACATGCAAGCTATTTGCACTACTGGCTTTTCTTGCTTATACAGGGTGTTATTTATTCGCAAAACCAAAAGTAAATAATGAAAATACAGACAATATTTTGGATAACATAATTGAAGATAATAATAATAATAATATTAAAAATGATACTGTTAAGATAGAAAAATTAGTCAAGAAAATTGTGTTACAACCTTCTAGTTCAAAACTGCATATACTTGAGTTTTGGAAGGAGGCATCAATGGAAGTGTATAGGAAGAATAGTTTTTGTAAACCTGGTGATAAATTGAAGGAAAAAAAGAAGACTGAGAAACGCAAAGAAAGCGGTAAGATTCATTGAAAAATTCGGCTTTTTTTCTCAAAAAAAATCTTGAACAGGTCGATTTTGTTTTTAATTATGAAATTGTGATTCTAGCAATATGTACATTTATACCTTTTGGGCTCAAAAAAAACTATTGTTATTTGCAGTGTCTTAAGACCCTCAAATGATCTTTATTTTCATAGTAGACTCCCCAAAGCAACAGTTACATTTTGAATTAGAAAAGTCGCTAAACAAACCTTACAATTAAAATTTTAGACACCTCGATGCAGATTTACGTTGTTGGAGCCTTCGTCCTCGTCATGGTGTGCATCGTTATGGACTTGATGGACTTCAAGGGAGCAGCAAAGCGCGCCAAGGTTCCACTCAGTCGAAAATGCTCTCTAGCCGATTTGACGGTGTTGAAGCACCAGAGAAAAGAGCTGGTGAGGAAGGATTCAATTTTGGAAACGCCCGAGGAGCCGACTTCCTACAATCAAATGGGTAGGATGGTGTCCAGGTCACCATTGCGTTTTGATTAAGGTAGCGCAGTCGGTGATGTGTTGTTAGATGTTAGATTTGTGAGGCATGATTAGTACCGTACGTATCTAGTCTAGCTAAGTGTGCTTTGAATGTAACCCAAAAAACTAGGTACAAAATTCTATTTTAGGTACTATTCGCAAACCTCCGCCGTTACAACGACAACGCTCCTTTCCACTCACAAACCCCAGGTTGCAGCACCAGTTCAACAGCACCGATATACCTCTGAATCCCACGGATAGCCTCGTTCGCAGGCCCTCGATCATCCCAGAGGAGGCTAGACGGCAATCGATAGTGTTGGAATCTAGAAGGCTCAGCCTGGTGCCTGATTCGAGAAGGTCGCCCATAAGGCAGCTCGACAAGAGGAGGTTGTCTTTGTCTTTGCACGAGACTAGAAGCTTGGATTCCGAACTGATCGGCAAAAAGCATCACATTAGGTTTGTGCACAGGCATTAAAGGCTGATGGAGGTATTTAAAAGAAGTGGGGATACAATAATGACGATGTATTATGAGAATTTTATTTGGGATTTTGTTACTTTTTATTTTTCGACTTCAATGTACCGGAAGTACTAGGAAAAAAAGTAGCCTATTTACTGAGATATTTCAAAGTTAACTTAAGACAATTAAAAACCTAAATAAAATTTCCATGGTAAAATGAAAAGTATACAATTGGCTTAAAATAATTATTTGGTCGTCTACTTTATTCTTGACTGACATTTTCAATGCCACAATTTCAAATAATATTAAATTAAATTATATTGACCCCACAATCTACACAACAAGGTCTGTTCTATCTCATGCTAAAAATACTAAAAATCACTGCAACACTGCACAGAGTTTAACGGCGGCCATCTTTGTTGTTTACAATTCTTGTGCTTTGGGTTTGTGCTGTTTATTAATTGTTTTTGCTGTAAATTATTTGCTAGGAGGTATTTTTATTAGGATTTCTTGAAAATGTTTACTTGCAGAAGATAGAAGAGTTTTGAAAGGCAAAAATTAATAGTTTTTGTGTTTCTTACAGAGGCACTTGTAAGCCTCAAATAAGGCCTTTAAGTACTAACGACAACCATTTTACTCCTCTTTTATAATAAATATAAGGTATTCTATCAGGGCTGTCAAATGACAATTTGAAGGTTAATTTGTGGGTTATAATTTAACCTTAAAATTGACATTTGACAGTTTTATGACAGCCCTGATAGAATAAAGTTTATTTTTTACAATAGAGGAGTAAAATGGTTGTTCTTAGCACTTTAAGGACTCTTTTAAGGCTTACTATGAGAAACACAACATTTAAAACGAGTATTAATCTGTATAAACAGAGTGGATTGTGATTGACCCTAAATGGTTTCTATTTACAAATTCTATTTCTACATACTAGATTTTAATATTTTTATATCCTATTCCACGGTCTCATATACAGGTGTTGCCACTTGGCTAAATTTCTACAGGAAATGTGGCCAAACTATTGAGACAACATTCAGGTGGCCCTTGGACACGAGAATAAACGATGAAATGAACTACCACAAACATAACCTATATTTGAAAATGTAATGTTACCCATTAGGTCTTGAAGTGATTAATAAATTAGTTTAGTCATTTTGAAAATTAGTTTACATTTTCCATTTTGACAATAGAACTGTCAAAAAAGATCAAAACATATGTGAGTATATACTTCATTTCATCGGGCTTATTCCATATACAAGGTGTCCCTAAAATATGCCAAAAATATTCCTATACCTATACATATAAATAACTTCTATACAAAAGTTGATAATAACCAAGGTAAGTACATTGAAAGTTTTTAGGTTTTATCGGTTATTGAAAAATATTTAATAAAATTGAAAACGAACTTCAACTTTGAAACCATGTATCTGAATATGTGGTATTAGGCATTTTAGGTACACTTTGTATAGTTCGTTCTCCTCAGCGACCTCTAGCGGCTAGGCCCATTTACAGGTCGACACTGCATATAACCTTCGGTTATCTATGATATAAACTGTACCTTATTCCTACGGTTTCGTGATATAGATTTAACCTTAATTCTATTTACTTAAAAAAAATTTTTAACTACTAATTTAGGAATCGTTTGGATATTTTCCATGGCACTTTAAAGTCTGTGCACAAATATATAAGTAGTTACAGCTTCTACAAAATATAGGAAATGTGTTAAAAATAAATGTTTGCTATTTTCTAAAAAAAATTGCATTATTTGTTGATTATTTTTACAAATTTAATATTTTAGGATAATTAATTTATTGTTTAAATTCTGGTATATACCTACTACCAAAACATACGTAAATTTATAAAATATAAAAGTATATAAATAAATGTTTTAATTTCGTTTAAATAAAATTTTATTTATGCCATCCCCTATTTTTTGTAGCGTTTTTAAAAGCATCGACTAGAATTTAATATTTTATAATACAAATTCACTTATTTATTTCACAAAATAAATTCACCACTTCTAAGTATTTTTGTGATTTCACACAGTTGTAAAACGCTGTTTAACTTAATGTAGGTATTTTTTAATATTTTTTTTTGTAATATTTTTAGTACTTTATCAGTTCATTACATAAAGACATTTTTATTACTTAATACTGATTTAATGTTATTATGGTTATTACTTTTTTAGTGGATAATTTTTACGATTTTGTATGCTTCTTTACATTTCCATTTCACAAATACTTAAAATATATATTTTATCTACTTACACATTGACAAGCTGCGACTTTTTAGTCACGGGTTGAAGTTAGCTTTATTATAAATTCAGAAAAAGTAACCTTAAGGTTAAATTTTTCCGATGTCAAATTTTAAATCTGTGATTTAAAGCCAATTTTATTTGACATTTTACCTGACATCTCACTTTGCGTTCATAATGACTTCATTATAACACCGCTGTAATGAGATACTTTATCCCACCCAAAATTTTGATTTTATAGGTTGGCTATACTTTAAACAGCATATTTTGCATATTGGTTATAATATTTTTATGATTTTTCCAGTACTTACGAGACTTTTCTGGCAATAAATTTTGCTTAACATAAAAAAAATCCTTTTTTTAACATTAACAGCCGCTTATTGTAAATAAGTAAATTAAGGACGGTATGCCGAATCAATTTTGACATTAACTGTCAAACCAATGACTGTGATACCAACTATCTAAAGTAAAATTATTTTTTTTATAGAATTTTGCAAAATAGATAAAATAGCATAAAGAACTCATGTCATAAGACCTTTTGTCGTCTTATGACATTAGTTATTACGCCATACATAAATTTGACTTTTACATGGCGGTCGTAGGAATCAAATTGGGAAAAAGTAAGGTTCCCAGATAGCACAGAGACATCTTAAAGATATCTTAAAGATGTCGGACTCGGACGTTCATGACATCTTTAAGACGTCCAGTTTACGACGTAAGTCATCTTTAAGACGTCTTTAAGATATCTAATGTTACAAAACACACCGTCTTTAAGATGTCTTTTTAACGGCATTATTAAGTCGTGGCTAAACGTCGTTAAGACGTCTTTAAGATGTTAAAGACTACCTATTGAAAACGTTTTGGTTATGCATTGCTACATCGCCAAAACGTTTCTAATGTATTAACTTAACACTATTAACACTAATTAAAATGTAGCTAATAATGCTTTTTAACTTCTAAAAATAACGTACTTATAGGTACTTCTATTTAAAATAAAACAAAAATTAAATTATTACATATTTATTTCTGCCTAAATCAAGTCAAAACTTCTTGGCAAGAAGAAGTCTTCTGTCTGAAGCCAAGCTCAAGCTCAACAATTTTTTTATGATTATAAATATTTGCCAATATGGAATACACCTGACTGCTTGAACTCTTAGATAGGGGTAAGCCATCAATATTTATATTGAGAGCTATGAAATGGTTCAATTTTTGAATTGTCTTTGTGTCAAAACTCCTTAAAATACCAAGGATACAATTATAATTGTACCTATAGGTACTTAATCCAAAATGAAAATATTGCCCCGGTGTAACTGGTATAACTTCAACATAGCGACAAGTGTGAAGTAAAGTTCTAGCATCAGTAAGCAACACTTGCTCAGCAAAATTTAAAGGTAAAATTTTTAATAAATCATTTATCGCAGAATGAGTTATTCTATGCTTTACTGCCCACTTTGCCAAGTAATTCTCAAATCTGATTTCACTTTGTTGTGTTCTTACTCTCATTTGAGGTACTTCCTCGGGTACTTCTTCCAAGCTTATGTCTAGAGGTTCTTTCGAGGTTCCTTCGATATTTGGAATAGAAATGTTGGAAGAATCCTGTTCAACTCGCTGCTCAACATCAGACGGCGAGTGCTAGTGAGGGTCTTTTTAAATTGGCTGCCCTCTTTGCACGCATATAATACCTATTTAATGAGAGATGAACGCTTCATCTTAAGCACACAAGAAAAAATTTTAAAATTACCTGAATAATTTTCCCTCTTGAGTAGATATATTAAACCACAGCAAATTCACAAAAACAATCCAAAAACAGTGTTGTTACAACACTGCACACTGCTTTTACTTGTCACTTAAGTTTAAACGTTGAACGAGAACGAAAAACCGCCACGATTAGCTATTTAACCAAATTTGACGTAAGCGGCAAAAATGGCGTCTGATGTCTGCAATCTGCATTTATAGTTAGGTACAAGGCTCGTACTACGAGCACAATCCACATTGGATTGTGGGTACGAGAATTGAAAAGAAGCAGACATATCAGCGCTTGGTGAAATAGAAAAGGAAAGCATAAGGATCTCATGGCGTGACTTATGATTTCATTGCATTATGGGAAATGTGCGGGTAATTTGATTTAAAAACGTTCGCTGGGTTATTTTAAGGTTATTTTGTCTTAATACTTAATTTTTAAAAAACATGTTAGTTTATAATGGTTTATTATAAATAGATATTATTAATTGTAGGAAAAATAACCAATCTACAAAAATGTCAGATATATAGTATATGAATAAATAGGTATATATTATATAGGTACCTATTTATTCAGTTACCCTACCCATCATCGTTGTCAAAACTCAAAATCCTACATTATAGTTATTTCTATTACAATGAAGTCGCTGATTATGGGATATAATTTCGATTTTGATTTTTCAACATTTACTATTTTATCAAAAAAAAAAAAACCGCGGTATCAGGCATTTATAAGATGTCTTGAGAACATTAAATAAAGATATCTTTAAGACGTCTATCAAAAGACGTCTTTCAGACGTCTTTTTTAGATCTTTAGATCTTCAAGACTTTGTTTGCTGTCTTAAGTGGTTAATATTTTACCAAAATAATGAAAAAAAAAATAAGCGGCGTTATCAGGCGTTTATAAGATGTCTTTAGGACATTAAATGAAGATATCCTTAAGACGTCTATCAAAAGACATCTTTTAGACGTCTTTTTTAGATCTTCAGACGTTCAGGCATAATACAGACATACAAAAGACATCTTCAAGACGTTGTGTGCTATCTGTGATACCAACTATCTAAAGTAAAATTATTTTTTTTATAGAATTTTGCAAAATAGATAAAATAGCATAAAGAACTCATGTCATAAGACCTTTTGTCGTCTTATGACATTAGTTATTACGCCATACATAAATTTGACTTTTACATGGCGGTCGTAGGAATCAAATTGGGAAAAAGTAAGGTTATGAACGTTTGAAATGTCAGATCTCAAATTGTTAAAAGTAAGGTTAAAATTTTTACTATAAAAAAAACATAGAAGTCCTAGCTTTAATACTTCCCCTTAAAAATTGTGGTGCATCCACCATTTTTTACACTATTTTGTAATATTTTATTAAATCAATATTTTATTTTTTTAAATAATGACTGAATTGCCCAAGCAGCATTTTTGGTTCCAAAAACCATTGCCAAAGTGGTGATAACTTTAAATTAGTTAAGTATACTAAACAGCTACTTTAATTTTTACTTAAAAGTAATTCTAACTTTTAAATAGCAATATTTTGTAACAGAAACTTAATTTTTCCTTAAATTGTTACTATAAAGTAATAAACATTTAAGTAAAACTTGGTTGCCCCCAAGAAGACTTTGCAACTTTAAAAAAGATGTTATAAGTAAAAAAAACTTTCAAGTAAATTTAATTTGTAGCAGTTACTTTCGGTTGCTACCTAAAGATTACATTATAATTATTTTTACTTTGTAGTCCCTTTGCAAGTTAAAATCTCGAAACTGGAACATGAGTTAAAAACTACAAAGTTAATAACTTAAAAGTTATTATTTTAGTATTTGGAACGTTTATGGTACTAACCAAAACAACCGTAAAGTGGAAAAAACTTTAAAGTAGCGAAAACTACTTCAAAGGAAAATGCTTCTTATCGGCCATTTTTTACTGTACAGTACCACGTGGTAATGTAAATAATAAATTATTTTAATTGTTTGTAAATGATTGTTTACTTTTTAATAAATAGAAATATTGTTGGTAATAGACGGTATTAATAATTAAATAAAAAAAATAATAATAAATATTAAGATTTTTTTATTTATAAACATTACTAAATAAATAATTTGTTTATACTTAAATATTGATGAAGCGCATTTATTTTACAAAAACTAAATTCATAAGTTCAACAGTAAAATTTAAAGGGTTTATAAATCTACCTGTCTAATTAAATATTATATTGTTATTCTGGAAGTTATAAACTACCAGTACATATTTAATAAACGACGACATTGAAAAGCCAAGTCCGTAGTGGTTCCATTTAAAAAAGGAGGGATAGTATAATCTAATATAAGTTTGACAAAGACAGTTAATATAGAAGTAAAAACAAATAATAAAAGTAATTATAACGCTCTAGCAACGATATTGGAACGTTCTAGTAACGTAGCAGCTACGTCCCAAATAGTAGCAGGGTTGGTAGCTAGTGACATATTTGCTACCTTTTTGGAACTCAATAATTGTTCCCCACTTTAGTCGTAACGTAGTAATGAAAGAGTAATATAAAGAGACCGGCGACTGTCGCAAACCACTTTGAAGTTTCTTCAATAGTCCCATATACGTAACAAATACTTAAATTGTTGCTTGGGTGTCCAAGGTAAAACAAAGTTTTATACAATAAGTATATTATAATATAATCGTATATTATGCTGCAGCAGATTGAAAACCATATAGGTAAAAGGTTCTAAAAATACCTATTTACAAATGTATTTAGAGCTGGGTGTGTACCATACCCATACAATTTTTACACTCTCTTAGCCGTTCATACATATATGTATACACACACGTGTACAAGTGTCTACAGGGTAAAATAAACGTATAAGCATATGAAAAAATAAACAATATACGAGGTGTTTTCAGAAAATATCGGGAATTTTAGTTTTTTGAAACAAATATTTATTTATTTGTCTACATTAATGTTGTCGCCTTCAAAATAGTCCCCATTGGATATTATGCACATGTGCCAGCTCTTCTTCCAATACTCGAAACACTTCTAAAACTCGATCTTTGGGATAGCTTTTAGTTCTTTCAGCGATGCGCTTTTAATGTCATCTATGCTTGCAAAACGACGGCCCTTTAAGGTTCTCTTTAGTTTTGGGAATAGGAAAAAGTTAGACAGAGGCATGTCTGGCGAATATGGAGGCTGGGCATCATTACAGTATTGTTTTTGGCGAAAAATTTTGTTCAAAATTTAACAATTTTAGAACAAATTTTGCTGCCACGCGTTTCATACCCAAAACATTTGAAAAATTTCATGGGATGAGCCAATCGATATACCAACATCATCAGCGACTTCTCTGATGGTTTATAACCATTTCTTTTTCCATGTTTTTATCGGTTGTTAATGTGCTTGTGCGTTCGGGGCGTTGGTCATCTTCAACGTCTTCACGGCCATCTTGGAAACTCTTATACCACTTGTAAACTCTTGTTTTACTTATAGCAGACTTACTATAGGCCTTTGTTAACATTTCACAGAATTTATTTCATTTTTTAAGCAAAATTGGGTACAAATTCTTTGATCCATTTCTTTTAACGAACGAAAAACCTTAGCGGCTGCCACAGACAAAGTAAACAATGAAAACAGCTAAAGTTTATATTATACTTCTGGGGCATATATACCAACATAATAAGGAAAATTTTATGACAACCTGACCCTCCGAACCCGCGAAATTTAACAATTCCCGTTATTTTCTGAACACACCTCGTATACTTATAAAACAATTATAATTAAATATGAATCAAAACAAAAACACCCGTTCTACACACACTGGAACACGAACTGCCATCCACAACATCTTCAGTAATGAGATATAAACCACCAATTAGAGGAAGCATCTTACGTGGTTTTCCCTGTATATATTATGTGTGTGGTAAACAGATACAGTAATACATGCTATAGATCGACTATCTACGCTACAAAGCAAGCACACCTGTTTGTATTATTAATAACCACAAGTTAAATATTTATTTTACGAAACTAGCTGTGACCTTTATGCTTCGCCATATCAGCCCGGCTGGCTGATAACTGTGACCCCACGATAACGCATATTAACCTTATTCTTACCTGGTAAACTCGTTCACTTTTACGCATTTGTCGTACCTGTGATAACGCGCCAAACAAAACGGTTTTAGATTTTTTCGTTTTCTGACATAGGTATTCGGATTTTTAATTTTGTGAAATTAACAACAATATTTTGCGTCTGTGTTTTTTATTTTTGCTGTGTGTTTCGTTGATAAAATCAGGTAATTTTATATTGATAAGAATATTAATAATTATAATGAAATATATGTGTTTTACATTGGAACTTTCTGGGGAACAAAAAATTTAAATCTATTTTTCTAAAATATAAAATAAAACTTCTTTTATAATATTGATAAAATTTATGTAAATTTAACAACAAATTAATTGTTAATTCAATAAACTATTTTCATTGTAACAATGGTCACATTCTCAACCTACTGTTGGGTATTGGGTAGTTTTTTTAAATAATTGCAAGGCATTAAAACAAAGTATTTATTAAAACAAAAAAATTAACTCATATTATATGATGTACAAAATAAAAAAATATGAACTCACTTCTTAAATAACAAGTCTGCTTCGTTTATAGAATTCTTTTAGAAAACGTCGAAATTTTAATTTTCTTAGTGACCTTTTTGATATTTTTATCAAGCTAAATTTTACCACACTTCACTTGCACAAGTGAAATCAAGAAGATTATAACACAGACTGGATTATAAAGTTATGTTCACCAAGAAGAGTGCTGGCCCTTTCCCCCTCTTTTTAACAATAATTTTGCTACCATTGCACAACAATACTAAATATTAAAAGTCTTTTTACAGCAATAAAATTGTTCTTAACGTATTAACAAAGATTTTTTAACTGAAATAAAATTAAAACGATAGTAATTTATAGTACCTATATAAAATGAACCAATTTTACTATAACAACTGCGTATTACTTTATGTAAGGGCAATTCACACAACCATAGATTTAACAAAAACATTTTAAGTTTAATATAAACATAAATCTTATTGCCATGACAATATGATAACAACTATTACCTTGTTGGATGAACATTTATTTTTATAAAAGCTCAACATTGCTGCTTCATTATAGCAAATGAGAATTTTATTAACAATAAAAAAAGTTTATTCTGTAAACAAAAATAATCTCATTACTTTGACAAATCGTAGGTTTTGTCCCAATAAGACACTGGAAATTTAATAAAAAAGGTACCTTAGGTGGTTTATTATTATTATTAAATTTTGAACAATGACAGATTAGGTGGTAACCATAGATACTGTCAAACACCCGTCGCAGGTTTCTTGATACAAAATAATATTTAAAATTTTAGAAATTGTTAAATATCTCTTAAATTATTAACTTTATGTATAGGGAATGGTTACATCAATTTAAAGGTTTTTTAATGTACTATTTGATTATGTAGAAACATACCGGGTGTTACATTTAAAATAAGAAAGTTTTTAACTTTTCAAGTTAGCATAATTTGCCCTAGGTTTTATCTTTTAAACAATGTTTTAAAATTTCAAAAACCTTCATTAATTTTTAATTCATTAAACTTTTTAATTTATAAAAAACGTTGAGTGCGGCCCTGCGCGGCAATTTTATTATTATAAGCCAAAAAGGTGTCAGCTATTTTGAACCGAACCAATTTTAGAAGCAGTGAGGTCGCAAGGGGTCATACCATTAACTTTAACCTATGTACTAATGCACGTCCGACGAAAATTTCAGCTGAAAATTTTCAGTGCGCTTTCAGCGATACGCGACGCCTTTCTTACTGCACCCGGAAGTGGAAAATTACGATTTTTCATGATGATTTTTCATTAATTTTAGACTTAATATGGATGTAAACCATGCTGATATAGATCTACAAGTCGAATTTAATAGTGATAAAAGTACTGAAAATAGTGACTTCAGTGTTAGACGGAAAGGTGGACTAATATCCATAATAGAAAATTTAAAGAAAACTCACAAAACTGGTAAGTACCCATTTCTGGCCTTGTTCTGTAAAACTTGTAATACGCTAAAGAAGTATCGGGTTTTCGCAACGCGCGCGCCATCTGGTGGACTTCAAAAGCATTGCGTGAATTTAAGAATTGGCAACAATACATTTAAGCACACGAACTATACATCATTTTTAAATAAATAGGTAGTTTTTTCACAAAAGAAAGTCTTACTCGACAAATTTTGTTCAATTGCACAGCTAAATCGCGCACGTTATTTGTGTTTTACGTTGCAAGGAAAAATTCCTTATATCATTGATTAAGAAACTCAACGCTGAAATGCTTATATATAGTTACGTTAGTGTGTGTATTTTATCTAAGGGATCATGGTGAATTATTGTGTTTTAAATTGTAAATTAAATTCAAGAACTAAATCGTTGCATTTTCATGTTTTGCCAAAGGATCCAATTCGGTAAGTACATTTGTTGGTGCAGAATTAACTAATGATAAATTTACCTAATATAATTTATATTTAAGTTTGGACATTTTTAAGAAATTAGAAAAAAATTATTTTTGCACAAACATAACCCTAAAATCAACCTTTTTTATATTTGAGTTCTCTAAAAAACGCCGACAACTGCATTTTAAACAACAAAATATACCTACGAATTCATGGCAACATAATTTTATATATAATACATAATATAATGGTATTTTACCGTTGAGTGGAGACTTTCTTAATCAACGCTTTTAATAATGCTAAATGCTGTTTAAATTTAGACGACTTATTTGTTTGACGATTTTTACTGAATTGAAATGTTTACCCTTTTCACGTTAATCACTACTAAAATGTGTATTTATTGTATCTAATAGGAACAATTTATATTTACAGAGACTGTATGCAATTTATTTCTTCATTCAGATTAACACTGTTTATTGGAAAACCGGTAAAAACTCAACCCAGGATTTCCTCTTGAAATACACCCAACAACACAACAAAAGTGGTACTTTTGTTACGATGATAACAGCCGAGTGGTGGCGCTACTAGCGATAATTCTTTAGCGTATAGAGTAAAATAATAATTCTTCCTAGACAAAGATCTCTAACGAAATATCGAAATTAAGTTGTCCCATGGTATGTTCTATTATCTAGTCTTAAAACGTAACATATCTAAAAGCCATAAACTTCATTGTCAAGTGTAGACACAGTCGATGCTTCCCACAGAAGGACCAACTCTAATAAATCTTGTGGCCCAGGTAGTTTTTGAGATTGGCCTATCTTGATGACTTGCTCTCAGTACCGAGATGCCATCTCTTATGGTGTCGTAATGGTCTATTACAAAGGAGATAGCACTATCTTCATAGGTTCGTTTCGATTTCCAATGAATATTCGAGTAACACCCACGCGTTGGATATAATCGATTTTGATGTCATTACTTTGACTTAACTGGGCCTAGGTAACTAAATTAACAAGTTTGCTTTGAACATGTAGTCGCCAGATTAGGATCTTGAAGAAGAAACATAACTTAAAAAGTCATTTTTCTACCTAAAATTGTTAAGTGGGCCAAGTGGACAAGTTATGTGACAGTTTATAAAAACATAAACCTCTTTTTAATAAGATCTAATAAAGCAAGTTGCTTGTTTGAGATCTACATCTTTTGATGGAATATTTTTAAAAAATACAATTGTACATACATAAAATATTTATAAAAAAATCTTCTTACTGAGATATTACACTTCGTGGTGGATAGGTTTTTAAATAGAAAATTAATGAACTTTTGAATTATAAAACAGCAACACTCTCATCTGCATATAAATTCTGACTGACCTTCAGGAATCACATGCATCTATAATGTCGTAAACAGAGGTTTTTGCTTATTTAAAATGATTAAAGCGCCATCCGTTGCATAAAATTTAAAGCAGAAACAGATTCACGGAGGATAGAATCAATTTTTGTAACACCTACATAAATGATTATAAAAATTATTTCTTTAAATTTTTAATAATATTTTATGTTTGATTCGATTGCTTTGAATGTGTTTAATTTACTTAGCGAACTGATATTTTTAGTATGCTTTTACTACCTCAGATATTTGAAAACATATAAGAAAGAGTAACAGTCACGGAGGGTAGGTTTTAGACTTTTAAAACATTGTAAAAAATAATTAAATGCGGTTAAAAATCTGGAACCTGAGCTGTAATATCTACTTAATGGGGTAGTTAAATTTTTTCTGACCTATACTTTTTATGGTTTTACTCAAGGCGTTTTGTAATTTTAAACATTTCTGTGAAATCGGAATTGCAATTGAGTTTACCGTTTTCGAGATATTTACAAAAAAAAAATCTCCTAATTACGTCACTAGGCTATTGACAACGTTGCCAGCTTTTTCTATGGTTGCCAGTGTGTTTAGTTTAAGATTCTTAAGATAGATGGTGCCACGTTATAATATTTTAGTTTTAAAACCACTTGATCTATAATTTTTGTTGAGAAGAAGAAGAAGAATTGATTTTTTGACGTTTCTTTTTTTCGGGTTATGTTTTTTTTTAAATTTAGATTATTGAAAATCAATGTTATTATTATGTTATTTGTAATTGATATTAGATAAGTGATTTATTAATAACGGACTCCAAAGCAGAGGAATCTTGTGGAATGGTTGGTTACATTAACATTGGAGCTTTTAAACAAATAAAGTAAGTACCTATAATCATATTTTGTCGTAAATGCATTTCATTAGTATAATGCCTAGTTCTTTATATTCTTTTAGATATATCTTGGACTCTAAATTATCAAACATTAATATGATACCTCGTAATAAGGAAGATAGGTACTTAATGAATTTGGTGACCATCTTTCACTCAACTGACAGTGACAGTATTTGTACATAACCTCTTCGGGTATTTTCTGACATAACCGAATGAAATCATTAACAAGACAACTTGACAATAGGGTAATTTTCAACCAATAGAAATCTTAGAATGTTGGTCACATGGCGAGGTTTGTGACGTCATAAAAATTTATATTTTTTGTAAATATCTCGAAAACGGTAAACTCAATTGAAATTCTGATTTCACAGAAACGTTTAATATTACAAAACGCCTTGAATAAAACCGTAAAAAGTATAGGTCAGAAAAAATTTAACTACCCCATTATGAAGGATCAAAACACAATAAAAGTGTAGGTCAAACTCATTTGGTTTTATTAAATATATATACTAATACATATTATAATATTACTAATATTAAATGCAGTAACCATACAGACTACATTATCGTCCTATATGGTTATGGGTACTTTGTTCCAATAGACATATGATACAAACTGGTATTTAAATCTCTTCTTAATCATGCAGCGTATAGATGAAGTTACCCCAAGGCAGTTATGATGTGCATTGAGCATGCATAATACACGTAAACATCGTCGGCAGAAGGCAGCCAAAGCCGCCGAACTGAATCGCCGCGAAAGCAACGTGGTATAATACCCATAAGGCACACGGAAAAGGGCACGCGAACCACGGGAAGTGAACGGTCTAAAGAATAGAGTGGAACAAAAATATTATAAATTAAATTAAGAATATGTGTAGGTATTTAATTTTTGTACATTGCGGGAGCATTCTCCTTAAGGGGTAAGGGCAGTTGCTTTTATACTTAAGGCATAAATAGCACGTGACACGTACGGAACGCAGTCTTTTAAAAATTTGGCATTTAAGGCTTTTCAGGTTATGTATCTGTCAAAGTATAGTCAACGAAAGAAATAATATTATGTTTAGGCGTTAAAAATGTATAAATCTTTATAACATTACAATAACAATGGATGGTTTAAGAATTTAAGAATATAAATACTGCATTTAATGAAATTCTAAAGTGTATGGTGCCAAATAAGTAATATTTTTGGGCATTTGGTCCAAATATCTGGTTTTCTCCATAAAATAATTTTAACTAAACAGCATTTATTAAAAAAAATCTAGCTTCTCTATTATGGAATAAGAATATCTGTATTAAAGGTAGGTTAATATATTATAACAAAAATATCATCTAATTTTGTAATTTTAAGGTTAGAAAAATTTATTTTGACCAAAATAAATAAGTATTTTGGATTATTTAAAAGACAGTATAATATGGTATTTAAAAATGTGGATTTTCTTATCCAGCTTAAAGTGTACCTACATAAAGTTTTGTCAATACAAATAGTTAAAAAGCTTCGACAGAACTTGATCTACATCGAAAAACCATTATAACTTTAAAAATTTTAATAAATCACATGTCATGGGAGTATTAAATATTTTCACATTGCAAGTTTGTCTAAAAATTGTTTGTTTTCTTATAATCTAACTTAAAGTAAGTATGCCGAGAGGTATGCACAAGTTTTGTCGTTAGAAGTGTAACTATATTCAACAATTATTTAGTATACCTATATTTATTTATGACCATATTAACACACTCTTTCAAATAATCCACTTATTTATTTTGGTCAAAATAGATTTTTCTAACCTTAAAATTCAAAATTAGGTGATATTTTTTGTTCTTATACATTAACCTACCTTTGATACAGATATTCCTATTTCATAATAGAGAAGTTAGATTTTTTTAATAAATGCTGTTTAGTTAAAACTATTTTATGGAGAAATGTAGACCCAATGAACAAAAATATCACTTATATTGCACCTTACAGTTTGGAATTTCATTAAATGCAGTATTTATATTCCTAAATTCTTAAACCAACCATTGTTATTGTGATACTAAGAAGATTTATTAACTTTTAACGCTTAAACATAAGCGGTAACACTATAAATATTATTTCTTTCATTGACTATACTTTGACAGATACATACCCTGAAAAGCTTTAAATGACAAATTTTCAAAAGACTGCGTTCCGTACGTGGTCACGTGGTGGGACTTTGAGGTGTGGAGCATAGTACTTATTTAGATAATAAAATAATTTTCACATTTCGTATGACATTTGACAACTGTCAACTAACTGTTAGCTAACTTCATCCCGTGACTAAAGCGCCATAAAGCCACAACTTGTCAATGTGTTTT